AAAGTTGGTATTTGACTTTGGTGGGAAGGTCAGTGGTGAGCAGGGAGTTGTTATATCTCTTAACTACTGAACTTATCTTTTTTGTAGGAAAGATTTTGTAGTAGGGGGCTAGTTTGATCTTACAAGCAACGAGTCTGTGGTCTGAGTTAGTAGCAAGACCGCCATATGCTCTACAATCTTGGAACATGAATCTGCTGCGTGTTCTGCACACAACACAAAATTTCACGAAGATCATGCGTGCGCAATTACATTAAAACGTATGATAGTAAACGAAGACCTTTATATTGCGATTTGTTATTTCCTAACACTATTACTAATTACTATTTCTATTTTAAGCACCAGCCACCAGATAATAATTTAAAGGCGTCCACGGACGCCTGGACGCCCTCAATAGCCGCCTCTGTTCTGCACAGAATATAATCTAATTGGGCAAAGACTGGACGAGTAAGTTTGCTACCTTTAGGGCGACCTTTGGCAGAAATACACATAGAGAAAGTAGTTCGATGTCTACAAGGATGATCAAAATAGGTATTGGTAGCAAACAGTTTGTTTAAGCACATGAAGTTTAATAAATGTTCACCGTTGAAATTCCTTGTACCCATTCCAAACTTGCCCATATACTCTGTTACACCATACTGATAGTCTAAAGGAGATAAGGTTCCCAACTTACTGTTGAGATCACCACAAACAAACAATTCATGAGATGCAGGAACTGAAATAGCATGGGTGAGTTCTCTGTAGAACTTTCTAAGAAGGGCAGGGTTTCCTTCTGCTTTAGGATTAGTCGGGCCATAACCGTTAACAATTCTGATATTTTTAGGATGGGATGAGAGATTAGAAGGAATGACGACATTAAGATAGGAAACCCGGTCTGAGGTATACTGATAGTCTGTGACATAAGGTAGTAATCTAGGACTTATGATGAAACCTAGTCCACCATGTCGTCCTTGATTTTGCTCCATCATGATCAATTTGTAATTGTTTCTGAGATATCTAGTGGAATGATTTTTGACTTTTGTCTCTTGAACGCACAAGATATCAACACTATATTCAAAACAATCCGTTCCGAGTTCTTCCTGTTTCTCCGTCTTAGAGAGCCCTTTTGCATTCAGTGATGCTAGGCTCAGTAAGGAAGTAGAAGAAAACTTTGAACTCATAACTGTCTCTTTCTGCTTTAACGTCTGTTTCGTCACACCAGTTTTCGCTGATGCTTGTGTCACGCGTCACCGTGTCATACCACCTAGATATAAAATTATATAATGTAGGACTTCTAGGCAGAGTGCTTGGTTGTGGGACACACTCGACTTTAAGAATGGTGAGAAACCACAAATCTCACTAGTGAGATATCAACAGAGTGTGAACCACTGCCTGACTTACCTGTGGTTTGAGTATAGAAGAGAGTATCTTCCGTGTTGTTGAGATTCTGTGAGTCCTTTGACCACGTTGCTGGTTACAAACTCTTGTTGTGGGAGGTGGAAGGATCATAGGCGCAATTGCATGATGGATAAGAGATGAGGTTTAACAAGTGATAGTTGTGGGGTATCTCTTTAATGAGTAATAATATAAATGAACACAAGGTAAACATAAGTAATGTCAAAACAATGTCATTCTGCGAATCTCAGGTAAAGGGGAATGCTAAGGTGGAACTTGAGTAAAGAATGGGGTGAGATGCTGTTAAAATCTGCTAGGTGAGGAGAGGAGCCGAGGTGTTTTAGCCGATCGAACTCCAGGGCTGGGCAGAAAAAGAGAACGTGGTAAATGACTTGGCGTCCAGAGAAACAGTACGAACAATTAGGATTGATCGTGATTCGTGTCGTCTATTTTGTTCAGAAATGCTTGAAGTGGTGCACGGTTATCCAGAAAAGCAGTAATAATGCGAGAGTTACGCCTGTTAAGAGACCTGAAGAATTTAATGTGCTGTGGTAAGGAGTAGAGGGTAAGTAGGGAGAGTAGAGGGTTAGAGGAAGTGGAGTCAGACCAGTTATTGACTCTGGAGGTAAAGCTGTTATCTCGCAGTGTCGTCTTGTAATGGCTTACGGGAAGAGGAACTGTTTTAATGGAGCTGCAGGTGGTCCCTTCCTTCGCAAGAGTGTCAGCCAGATCGTTTCCTTTTATACCTGAGTGTCCTCTTATCCATGTTAGGGAAACAGAAGAGCAAAATGATGTGAGCATATCTAGTACTTTTCTTGTTTCGATGCATGAGGGCTAGACGAGGCGTCGGCAGATAGGGCATGAACTGCAGAAAGTGAGTCTGTGAAGATGGCTACTGATGCGTTCTGACAGGGCAGGGAGCGAAGGCATGCGCAAGCTTCTCTTATGGCCATCATTTCGGCTTGGAAAACGGTGTTGTGGTCATCCAGTCTCCATTCGAATGTAGCTAAGGGGTCTACGTCATGCATGGAGTATACCACAAGTGCTGAGCCTGTTTTGTTATTGAGGCTGTTTTGTTATTGAGGCGGGATCCATCAGTAAAGCAGCAGAAGTGGAAACAGAGGAACAGAGAGGAGGTAACTCGTGATGTAGCCACGTGTTAAGAATTCCTCGTGTAGGAGGAGGTTGAACAATTAAAGTAGCAGGTAATTATCACTATGCTGGGTAAACGGACAGTGAAAACAAGGAGAGAAGGGTTACTAATGGCGTAAACACTAATTGCAGACTATTGTGAGTGAAGTGCTAGTCACAGAGTAAGGGGGAATTAAACTATTAAGGATAAAAAGTGGGCTGAAGCTATTAACTTGTAAACATGTCGCAATAGAGATTGAAACATATCACGACAAAGAGGGACTAAAAGTCGAGAAAGATTAAAGTTTCAGGTAATTATCCCTGTGCTGGGTAAACGGACCGTGAAAACAAAGAGAGAAGGGATACTAATGACTTAATCACTAATTGCAGAGTAATGTGAGTGGAGTACAGAGTAAGGGAGAATTAGACTACTAGAAGAAAATTAGTGGGCTGAAGCTATTAACTTGTAAACATGTCGCAATAGAGATTGAAACATATCACTAATAAGAGTGTGCTACAATATGAAATCCGAATATATTGAAGATTGCGGAAAACAGTAATAGTGGGATAATTATAGTGGTAAAGTGTTTACTAGAGAGTGGTCCACAAGGAGGTTACGTGGGAGAGGTTGAGGTGCATGCTGTGGTGGGTGGTCAAGAGCTGTCCAGCCAATTTTATATGGCCTAAAATATACACACAAAGCCTACAATAGTAGTTAAGGAGCCGCCACACTGCACTTGGCCAGGCAAGTGAACGAGGAGAGATCAGTGCAGTCCGGCAGCATCAAAAGAACGTTTTGAATTACAGTTCAATGGTAGGCAGGGCTAGGTAGCAGCACTGTAATCACTGAGGAGAAGTCCGAAAGAAGGCCTAATTTAACATTGTTTTTAATGTGCACCGTAGTTGTGCTGTTCTTCGATTGAATGTTTAAACTGTGCAAAATGGAGTCATCTCCAGTGCCTAGCTGTAAAAAAATGCTACGTGCGCGGGAGTGTGTGAACGAAAATGCGGCACTAACTAGCGAGCATGAGCAAGGAAAACGGGACTCAGTCGAAAAGGAGCCCTACACTAGTGTTTGTGACACTAAGGGGAGCGCAAGCGAGAGTAAAGAGGGCAAAAATTTAAGCAAGCAAATGCGCGAGCAATAAGACTCTGCCGACTTAAGTTGTAAAAAAGTGACCAAAAACAGAATCTAAAATAGAAGTATATCCATAATATGTTAAAACTTAAAGGAGTAGCAGGTTACCAGCTGATGAGAAGGGTGCTCATGAAAATGTTAGATGACAAATAAAAGAAAGGTGATGGCATGAGTAAAGTCATAATAAAACGTCAGCGCAGAGAAGTAGTAGATGAATTTATAAAGTAAAAGCTAAAAACTTAGAAGAGGATTATGGTTAATAATTAGTTAAAGAGTGGCAGGTTACCAGCTTTAGAGAAAATGCGTTAGTTGAAATGTTATTGAAATCTAATCTAAGTAAACTATAGGTAAAAATATAATATTAATCATAAGCTAAAATGTACTAATCTTTGTATTCTAAATGGGGAAAAAGAAGAAACATTGTCAGTCAGTCGAGAAAATTGTCAGTCAGGCTATATGGCAGCTTTGTAGATGTTGTGACAATGCTAGTAGTGGTCCCAGGCTTGCGACTGGAATTGCGGTGTTAAATCGATTTAAAGGTATACCAACGATCCACCTCCCACTTGTTGTTTGGTACTTAGCATTAATAGTGTTAGCTGTAGCCATTTATAGCAAGAATCTTAAAACTAAAGGGGATGACAAGGAAAAGAGGAAGGAAAAAGAATAACGGAACAAACAATTAATTAAAGTATTTACAGGAGCATTAGTAAAATGAAAGATTGCAAATAAAAGAACGTTGAAGACGTAAGTAAAGTCATAATAAATCGTTACGTAAGTAAAGTCATATTAAAACTTACGTAAGTAAAGTCATATTAAAATTTAAGCGCAAAAGGAATAGCAGATGGGTTTATTAATAAAGTGATACGCCAAACCCTGATCTGACAACGTGATGTTTCCCCCTATCAAGATTCTAAAAAAAGTGCGACGAGACCGGATTCCGACACTAAAAGTGCGACCCCCACGCGCCACGTGCAGCGGCGAAATGCACTCCCCACCCCCCCCCCCCCCCCCCCCAGCCTGCAAGACCCCCCGCCCCACAAACCACTTTCCACCTAAAAAGACTTCGCGCACCCCTATGAACCACACTATGTTACACACCGCAATTACGGCAAGCGTCTCGCAGCACGACGGTCCAGGGCGCGGCCGTCAAGCAGCCGGCCCCGGCCCGAGTCTCGCCAGCGGTCATTCCTTTGGCAACCATCAATCATCCCACCAAAATTATCATCAGAGCACCCCGTAATACACGCTATCCGTTTCAGTAGAATACTCCTCAAGTGTAGTGAGCCTTACGATTAATTATAGTGCCAACCCTCCCCAAACCAAATTTGTTCTTTAAATTGTCAGTAATATGTTATTGCAGGTGCAGAGAAATCCAAGCAAATTTGACGGCTACCGCCGTGAAGAACATTCCAGACTCGTTACGAGAGTTGGCACAACAGAACCGTGTCATGAAGCGAGAACTGCTCCTTCATCAAGATAGCATCTACGAGACGGAGCAAGAGATTGAGCAAATCAAAGAGGACATAAGGTTTAAGGTCGAAATTTTCTGAACAATCTTATAACATTAAATGGCTACCAATGTTTTAATTTTCACTGAAAATATACAACATCTGCTCATTTTCAGGCAACTTCAGAGGCAATTCAAAAAGAAGCCTGGGTACGTTGTTCCTGTATCAACGTGAGTATAACAGGCTCAGTAATCTAAATTCTGATCTCAGATTGTTAGGTTCGAACATATTTAAGCGACAAGAGAAACGCCATTGTTGGACGTGAGGAGAGTGAGGACTCCTCAAACTACATTAAATAAATTCCTTCTGTAACGTCCTCAATAAATGTAATAGATTGGTAGTGTTGTAATTAGTTTAAAACTGTATACTATCAGAGTTCTTGAAGGTTTGCGTTTCGGTTGTGCTCGCTAAATTTTTAAAACTCTAGTGGCGGCCCCGAGGATATAACTATAAGAGCAGCTTGAATCCATGTAATGTATTTTGAACGCTGATTCCGTTCGGTTGTTATAAATTCTGTTGTTGATCGCATCAGCTAGCATGGCATGTATGCAAAATTATATAAACAGTCATTTTGTTAATTGGTCTTTCTCATGCATGAACACCTGTTTTAACTTCTTACACACTTCTGCCAGTCTTACTTAACAAATAAATTTTACGTAACGCGCGAGCACCGAATCTTATTCCAATATTCCAAGTTTTTAATGTTTGACGTATGTGTAACATGTTTGGAAGTGCCGCGCAGGCGAGATATTTCTAAGATTTGTGTATATTTAAGTTGCTTTTAGAAAAATTGTATCTCAGATCACAGTGCTGGCAAGCATGACCGTGCCTCTTATATATTCTATGCTATTATACCCCTTTTACTGTTTTTTCAGGCATTAAGGCTCATTGGAAGTCGTTCGGCAGGGTATTTTTAGTTCAAATCATTCTAATTCGATGTCAAAGATGACAGGAACAAGAAATAGTTATGTTATGTTATAGTATAGACAGATCCGTTTGAAAAAATCGATCTGCCGACACACCGGGATTTTCGACGTTTTTGAGTTCCATTAGGTACCCTTTATGGCTGAGCAACTTTTCAAAACTTTTCCACGTGTCTACTCGCCATTACATGTTCCCCAAAAGTTACCATTTTTGATGTACCTTGCTCTCCATGTATGTGTTCACTAAAAGTTACCAGTTTTTATGTACCTTTTTCGTCATGTTCACTAAATTTTACCAGTTTCAATGTATCTTTCTCACCATTTTCAGTGTTCACTAGTTTTGTCGTTTTGATGAATAATCGTGATTGATAGTTTTGGTGAATCGAGTTTCCAAATAGTAGAACCTCAACTTACTTTAAATATAATGAAACACTTTATATCCTCAAATTCTGAGTTAATAACCATCAAATTGTTTTGAGTGGCAACACCAGGTCAAAACTAAAACTAGAAGGCAAATACTCATCGAAAAAATGGTGAAATTCTACAATTTCACCATTTAACATGCGCGACTGGTAAATCGTTCGCCGCGCCTGCGGTTAAGAATATCGATTGTACGGTTTTGTGACCGAAATCAGAAATATTGTGCTCTGTTATGACAAGAAAATGCCAAATGTTGCCATCGCATCGATACATCAGTAATTAAAATCATTAATGCGCAGCATTCTATTCAAGTTTAATTTCAGGGACATTTGCACGCCTGACACAGAACTAAGCTTAGATATCCCCACCTACAAGATGCTGCCAGTATGAGTGGATCGACCAGCGACCTTATCGTCTAGTAGCAACTTTGATACCATTGAACAATACTAAATACTTGCTCGATTATTAAACATAGTTTTAATTTTACTAAAGAAGGGTTAAGAAGAATAGGAAATCGATTTTATGATGTTATTTTGTACTAAAATTGAAGCTCATGTAAGTTATTTTGTACCAAAATTAGTTGTTTTGTAATTTGTTTGGCCTACCTTACGTCCGCAAAGTTTGGACTTTGGACAAAATTTAACTCTGCGCAAAGTTCGGGTACAATTAGTTGGATGTGGGACAGGTTGCCCTGATGAATACTTTTTTAGGAGATATAGTCGTCTAAAAGAATATTTAAGTATAGCCCTGGGGTCAAAGCGGCAAATTTAACTACATTTTAATATACTTTAATACGTTCAGCCTCCTCTCCCCCCCCCCCCCCCCCCCCCCATTTTTTATCGAGTAAAAATTACTTACTAGAGTTTGGTTTATCGTACAAAAAAAAACAGATTTCTCGACAAACGGAATTCAGAGATTGAATCGGTTAACATTTTAATCAGGAAACAATTCAAAAAATTAAGAGAGCAGTTGATCAATTCGTATGGAGAACTCCCATAGCACCATAACTGAGTTATTTTTCGTTTTGCCACATCTACAAGAAAATACCACTCAGCCATACTAATCTGGCGAATTCCATCGACAGGTTCACACTCTGTGAAATAGCATACTCCGGGATGGGGATAGTAGCACAATGCACATGATCCTAGCACCTTGCTCAGAGGAACAGCGACCCCAGGGCAAGTTTCCTTATCATCACCACACAATATCTTGACAGTCATATTTCTATAATTTCAATCGTTGTCTAACATACCTGAGTTGCCTGATATCTCATGTGGAAGGTCCTGCCTAACGGGCGTGAACCTGTAATGTGAGGGATGGTAGTGAGCCAGGTTGGTCAGGTTAGACGTGTAAATCTCTGCAAAGCGTGACAAGCGTCTGTAGAATAGTGTCGGCATGAGGTGTGTTCTGAACGAACTGCAGAACTCTGAGATGTGCAGTCTACGCAGCTCTGCACGGACCTGTATAAAGAAATATAAACTTTTAATACATGATAATACCCGCAGTGGCTACACTACGCAGCTCTGCACGGACCTGTATAAAGAAATATAAACTTTTAACACATGATGATACCTGCAGTGGCGTAACTAGTGTAGGAATTTCGTTACGCCACTAGTTTTACACATATTCAGAGCCTAAGCGTTTAAAAAACGTAAGTCTTTTTACTCTGAGCGTCACAAAGACTTGAATTTTAGCCGCAAAGGCCATATTTACATCTTTACATAATACAAGTTAGGAAGCTACATCAGGAATTAAGTGCTTCGTTTTTATGAAATTCCCAAAAATGTTTGGCTCTGAGTGGCCAAAAATAGCCCTGGATTTTTGTAACTTGAACAAGGCGTAGACCGCATGATGAGTGAGTATATATCTTGAATCACCTCAAAACGACGGTTACAAAGACCTTATAAACTCCTCCGGGACACTGCTATGAGTAATTCGTTTAAAAACTTACCCTTCATTCTCGTTATTTGGGATCAGTATAGAAAATGAAAAATGGAACTGGAGAAGTAAGATATTTGTAAATTTACTAAATAAATAAAACTAAGGTAGGAGTTGATGTTCTATTTGTCAGTAGTTCCTCAATCCGAAAGTTGAATGAAGAAGGGGTGTCGAATTCAGCTCGGCAAGCAAAAAAAGTATCCTCCTTTAGGGCTGTCGATTACCATAAATGTGACCTCGATTCCATCATCGACAAAGTGCAAGTCGAGTCATCATTTGGAATATTGAAGCCCTCTGTAACGGCTGTAGGACTATTGAGCGGTGGACTGTTGAGCGTAGGACTGTAGGTCGGTGAAGGTCGGAAGTAGGACTGTAGAGCGGTGTCAAATCGCCAGGGTAGGACTCTAGAGCGGCCGCCCTTATAGATCTCACAACATGAGGACTTTAGAGCGGTACGATCCTAAAATGAGGACTGTAGAGCGGTGGACTGTTGAGCGGTGGACTGTAGGCCGGTGAAGGTCGGAAGTAGGACTGCAGAGCGGCCCTCCCTTATAGATCCCATAACATGAGGACTCTAGAGCGGTACCCTCCTATAACATGAGGACTCTATAGCGGTTGAAAATTTGAAGATTGAACACTCAACGAAGCTAAGTTATACATTGTAACTCGTGATTGAATATGGTCATGACATTCTAGGATGATAACTTTATTGAAGAGCCATGGAGTTAATGAACATTTTCATTTACTTATTATATGATGCGCCTACTAAGGGTCATGGAGAGTCATGGAGTTAATAAACATTTTCATTTACTTATTATAAATATTGACCCTTAGTAGGCGATGCGCCTACTAAGGGTCATGGAGAGTCATGGAGTTAATGAACATTTTCATTTACTTATTATAAATATTTTATTACTAATATTATAGTGTAACTTAATTTAAGATTATTGGTCGGTCTCAACGTCTTCCAAATGATTGAAATATTCTTCTGCTACTCAAAAATGTAAAACTTGTCTTCGGTATTTTAGTGAACTGTTCGTATCAATGTGATTTCGCTGACGCTAAGCAGAGTACCGATCAAGTTCGTGCAGATCATTTAGGAATGAGGATCGCATCGCGTGACGCTTTAGCGCCTACTAAGGATATCTCATGTTCATCAATCTGGTGACGGGACTGATTCAGATCAGATCCCATCGCAGTGCGATATCTTGTTAGGATTTCGAAGGTATGGTATAAATATCACGGAGTATCCAGTTTTCTTAAATAAAGTTATCATCCTAGAATGTCATGACCATAATCAATCAAGAGTTACAATTTATAACTTAGCTTCGTTGAGTGTTCAATCTTCAAATTTTCAACCGCTATAGAGTCCTCATGTTATGGGATCTATAAGGGAGGGCCGTTCTGCAGTCCTACTTCCGACCTTCACCGGCCTACAGTCCACCGCTCAACAGTCCACCGCTCTACAGTCCTTATTTTAGGATCGTACCGCTCTAAAGTCCTTAGTAGGCGCTAAAGCGTCACGCGATGCGATCCTCATTCCTAAATGATCTGCACGAACTTAATCGGTACTCTGCTTAGCGTCAGCGAAATCACATTGATACGAACAGTTCACTAAAATACCGAAGACACGTTTTACATTTTTGAGTAGCAGAAGAATATTTCAATCATTTGGAAGACGTTGAGACCGACCAATAATCTTAAATTAAGTTACACTATAATATTAGTAATGAAATATTTATAATAAGTAAATGAAAATGTTCATTAACTCCATGACTCTCCATGACCCTTAGTAGGCGCAATGTATAACTTAGCTTCGTTGAGTGTTCAATCTTCAAATTTTCAACCGCTATAGAGTCCTCATGTTATAGGAGGGTACCGCTCTAGAGTCCTCATGTTATGGGATCTATAAGGGAGGGCCGCTCTGCAGTCCTACTTCCGACCTTCACCGGCCTACAGTCCACCGCTCAACAGTCCACCGCTCTACAGTCCTCATTTTAGGATCGTACCGCTCTAAAGTCCTCATGTTGTGAGATCTATAAGGGCGGCCGCTCTAGAGTCCTACCCTGGCGATTTGACACCGCTCTACAGTCCTACTTCCGACCTTCACCGACCTACAGTCCTACGCTCAACAGTCCACCGCTCAATAGTCCTGCTCCCCTCTGTAACAGCGAAGATGACGAAAATAGGAGCAAGTTTCTTACGCTCTGCAACCTCACAGTTATTAATAACCAACTCAAAATTCTTAATGGCCGTACCCATAATTTATTCTGCCCATTAGAAATAGACATGGTTCGACCCACAAGTCAATTTCTCGAGCAGGTTTTGGCGTGAAATACTTGAGATATACCTGTTTCCTCGGGGTTTCCTCTCTACCTGTTTCCTCTCTACCTGTTTCCTCTCTACCTGTTTCCTCTCTCCCTGTTTCCTCTCTACCTGTTTCCTCTCTACCTGTTTCCTCTCTACCTGTTTCCTCTCTACCTGTTTCCTCTCTACCTGTTTCCTCTCTACCTGTTTCCTCTCTACCTGTTTCCTCTCTACCTGTTTCCTCTCTACCTGTTTCCTCTCTACCTGTTTCCTCTCTACCTGTTTCCTCTCTACCTGTTTCCTCTCTACCTGTTTCCTCTCTACCTGTTTCCTCTCTACCTGTTTCCTCTCTACCTCTTTCCTCTCTACCTGTTTCCTCTCTACCTCTTTCCTCTCTACCTGTTTCCTCTCTACCTGTTTCCTCTCTACCTGTTTCCTCTCTGCCTGTTTCCTCTCTACCTGTTTCCTCTCTACCTGTTTCCTCTACATGTTTCCTCTCTACCTGTTTCCTCTCTACCTGTTTCCTCTCTGCCTGTTTCCTCTCTACCTGTTTCCTCTCTACCTGTTTCCTCTCTACCTGTTTCCTCTCTGCCTGTTTCCTCTCTACCTGTTTCCTCCCTACCTGTTTCCTCTCGATGCACCACAAATCAGTGTAGTGGACTGCTGTAGGGTCGGGTAAGAACCTTTGTACTTCACGTATCAAGTTATTAAGTTCCTTGAGGATGAACATGTTGTGCTGATGTTCCGCACTGTTCAACAGCTCAATTTCCTTCTCCAGCTCTCTTATTATAGCTCCTGGTAAACATTTGAGTTCAACTCTAATTTGAAATGATTATTTTTTTTCGAACACATATTCAATATCACAGTCCAGCTAACGATCAAATGATGCTATAAATTTGTCTATGTGTCTATCAAAACGAATAGTGTGTTCTGATCACCTGTGTGCCACCCCTGATTGAGGACAGGTTCTGCCAAGTCTGCATACATCTGATCTCCGAAATAAAGAATATTGCAGGGCTGCCAGCCTGTCAGTCTGTGTAAATCTCTCACGTTACCCTCGCAGTATACCTCACCTGAGAAAGGTACGTTACCCTCGCAGTATACCTCACCTGAGAAAGGTATGTTACCCTCGCAGTATACATCACCTGAGAAAGGTACGTTACCCTCGCAGTATACCTCACCTGAGAAAGGTATGTTACCCTCACAGTATACCTCACCTGAGAAAGGTATGTTACCCTCGCAGTATACATCACCTGAGAAAGGTATGTTACCCTCACAGTATACCTCACCTGAGAAAGGTATGTTACCCTCGCAGTATACCTCACCTGAGAAAGGTATGTTACCCTCGCAGTGTACCTCACCTGAGAAAGGTACGTTACCCTCGCAGTATACCTCACCTGAGAAAGGTATGTTACCCTCGCAGTATACCTCACCTGAGAAAGGTATGTTACCCTCGCAGTATACCTCACCTGAGAAAGGTATGTTACCCTCGCAGTATACCTCACCTGAGAAAGGTACGTTACCCTCGCAGTATACATCACCTGAGAAAGGTATGTTACCCTCGCAGTATACCTCACCTGAGAAAGGTATGTTACCCTCGCAGTATACCTCACCTGAGAAAGGTATGTTACCCTCGCAGTATACCTCACCTGAGAAAGGTATGTTACCCTCGCAGTATACCTCACCTGAGAAAGGTATGTTACCCTCGCAGTATACCTCACCTGAGAAAGGTATGTTACCCTCGCAGTATACCTCACCTGAGAAAGGTATGTTACCCTCGCAGTATACCTCACCTGAGAAAGGTATGTTACCCTCGCAGTATACCTCACCTGAGAAAGGTACGTTACCCTCGCAGTATACCTCACCTGAGAAAGGTACGTTACCCTCGCAGTATACCTCACCTGAGAAAGGTACGTTACCCTCGCAGTATACCTCGCAGACGTAAAATTCGGAAATTAAATGGTGAGCAAATCATAAAGATTAGATGTTTCTAACCAAGCCTGTAGTTTAAGCTTATATATCATAGTTAAATAAGACGAACCTTCCTTGAACTCCGTGACTTGTCCGTAAGCAGGAGTGTTATGAGAAGTTAGTCTCCGGAACACCCTGTACTTGTCTTCAAAGAACTTGGGCTTCATCGATTGGCAAATCACAACGTCAAACGATTTCCGCCAGTTTTCACCCATTATATGCTTCATACCAACATTCAAAAACTCGTACGGACTGAAAATGGAAAGGTTTGTGGTCTCTACAAATTTGCAAATTTGAATCTCACCTTGTAACGGCAGCAAAAACTGCTCAAAAATTAACAAAATCGCCCATATCTCAATTTGGGGGGGGGGGGGGGGGGGGGGGGGGGGCCAACCATATTAAAGTATATTAAAATGTAGGATTTTTCCCGATTTTGACCCGGGGATATACTTTAATATACTTTAATATACTTTAATATATCCCTACCTCCTTGGAGGCCTACATCAAAAATTGTTGCCCAAAATAAGCTTGAAATGCAATCCTTGATCGATTCCAAAAAGTTCTTGAAAAAATATTGAAAACTGATGGAGTTATTTCAATTTTAATGAAGTTATTTTGGCTAGTATTCTGAACCGAGATATTATGTGCAATTTTCCCAATTTTGTTCATGGAGGTCTTTTTACTTAGTATCCACTATATCCAACAAACACTGAGTTATATCTTTCACATAGAGTTAGTCTCATAAAAAAATATTGAAATTTTATCGAATTTGGGCAAAAGCGAATTTGGACAAAAGCGTATGCCCAAATATGGGCATATTTTTTAAAGCTCATAGCTCAGCCAATTTTTGACCAATCTGGATGGAAATTCATGTACTAGTCCTAAAACAGGCTTATCTTGCGAATCTGAGTGAAAAATATAGTTCATCATGTAAATCTTAACGAAGAATATAAATCTTCTAATTGTAGGTATATTAAAGTGGCAACTTGTACGAACACCGATGGGACATTAAGACAACATTAAGACAACATTAAGACAACAATAAGACAACATTAAGACAACATTAAGACAACAATAAGACAACGTTAACGCAACAAACACCAATAAGACAACAAACGATAAGACAACATTAAGACAACATTAAGGCAACATTAAGGCAACATTAAAGCAAACATTAAGACAACATTAAGACAACATTAAAGCAACAATAAGACAACAATAAGACAACAATAAGACAAGATTAAGACAACAAACACCGATAAGACAACAAAATAGGATAAAATATTAAGACAACATTAAGACAACATTAAGACAACATTAAGACAACAAACTCAATTAAGACAACATTAAGACAACATTAAGACAACAAACTCATTTAAGACAACATTAAAACAACAAATTCTTTAAAACAACATTAAGACAACAAACTCGTTTAAGACTACATTAATGCAACATGTTTAGAATATGTAATATACGGCCGGGATTTCATTGCCGCAGTTAAAAAGGGTAGGATTATTACACACACAGATTTTTTCCGTTCACACCCTTTTGTAAAAAGGCAATAGTGAAAGGTTACGAATGGAGGTTTTTGCAGAAAAACGTGGATTTTGGAGATTGCAGTAGGTGGGTCTGAGTATGTCGTGTTCCTTGCTTCCGTTCGTTACCATGCAACGAAAAGGCCGCACGCGTGCGCGAGGATTGCTTGCGGAGATGTGATGTATAGATAGCCTTTGGTCAATGAATGCGCGGCGCGAGTGTATTTTAATGCGCGAAAAGTGGCATGCAACGTATGTATTGATGTGTACACTGTACACGAGTATAGTTTACTTTTGCTTACAGTTTTTTGCATTTGAATTGAATTTCAAATGTTTCCCCTATTTAATGCATAACTTATCAATATTATTATTATGAGGTGAGCTGATTGGAGCTTATTCTTAAAGTTATAGTGAATGGAAATCTAGCGTCCGCCAAAACGAAACAACGGGCGCAATTCTTGTTAAATTATCTGTTCAAATACTTTGGACTGCTAGTTAAAAGTCGGAAATTTAAATTGATGCTTAATTGGGGGGGGGGAGGAGGGGTCACTGGAGCTGCTGGAGGAGGGGTTACTGGAGCTGCGTGAGGAGATCACTTCTCCTGGATCGCATCATCACCATGGCTCACGTGACTTTAAATGATATCTGGCTCACTCAACTTTTTACGATGCATCACATGTCAAATCACCTCAGATAATAATGTAACATCTTGTTAGCGATTCTCAGATCGCAGCTTGTAATTGTACAGTTCACGTCATGACCAGATCGGGTGGTATTAATGAGGGCCGTTGTTCGTGTTCTGCTCACGTGACAAATAATATAAATAGAGGCCATCAAACCAACATTTTATCTAACGATACAACATGAACTCCCTTCCCTCCTACGAAGAGCTAAGACGCGGATCACTATCATCGGAAACGGAATGTCTACAGTACTGCTTAGATATCGGAATGCTGCGACCTTTCCAAACTTGTGAAGAGTGCAACAACTTTATGACCTTGAAGAAATGCCCAACGAGCAAGTACACAGACGGCTACTGCTGGCAGTGTTCAGACACTTCTTCAGACATCGACCACTTCTGCTCAGTGAGAACCGGGAGTATCCTCCACAAACGCAAGCTACCCTTCTCCGTATTCCTCCACATCATCTGGCTGTTCTGCAACCGACTGAGCGTCTGCGACGTAGCACGGATCATAACCATCAGCACCGGCTGTGTACGGTCCATCTTCTCCTCGATCCGAAATTGCATGCTTGAAGACCTGTTCGACAACGGTGCACGTAGAAAGATTGGTGGGGTCGGCTGTATAGTGGAGATTGACGAATCCAAATTCGGTAAACGAAAATATAACAGAGGTCGACGTGTAGTCGGAAAATGGGTGCTGGGTGGGTTCTGTAGGACTACTGGCGAATGCTTCTTAGTGGAGTGTACCGGCAATCGACGCGATCACAACACCCTAATCACACTCATCAAGGAGCACGTTCTACCGGGTACAACTATTCTCACCGACAAGTGGAAAGGTTATAACGCCATGCAACACCACGGATTTCCTCATCAAGTTGTCAACCATAGTCGAGGATTTGTGGAACCGGTCACTGGTGTTCACACCAACAGCTGCGAAGGGATGTGGTTCCACGCTAAGAACCACATGAGAAGAGGAACCGGTCGTACCCGAACGGATTCAGCAGCCATGACTGTATCCCTGTCAGAATTTATGTGGTGTAAGCGATACGGACTGACAAGAGACAACGCCTCCGTGAGGAAAGCCTTCAACCAAGATATCCCAGCCCTATTCAGAAGAATTTTTGATTAATTTATTGCTCTGTAAATTTGTATTACCTGATAAATAATGAGACCTAATTATTTCATTTTCAGAGTTTAAGTCACAATTTCGTATTACTCTAACTCAGTTGATGAAGTAAAATATAATTTGACAAAGTAAAATATATTCGAAGAAATAGTATTATACTGTTATACATAATTTGTTGTCTTAAACGAATTTGTTGCTTTAATGTTGCCTTAATGTTGCCTTAATGTTGTCTTAATGTTGTCTTATCGTTTGTTGTCTTATTGGTGTTTGTTGCGTTAATGTTGTCTTAAAACATTCTAAGTATGGGGTTCAGTTCCTTAGGAAGTATCTTAATGACTTAATTGACACCACTAAGCAGTTATTTCCCGCTGCAATTATAATTATCCAATGTTGTCTTCCTATTAAATGTTTATATTCCTACATAGCAAAGAATGTTCTAGATTTTAATAATCTACTTAAAGACTTATGCCTAAATAATAATTGCGTGTTCTTAGACTGTTTCTCAGTCTTTTTAACTCGAGACTTTAGATCATGTAATGAACTTCTATACCATGATTGGCTTCATCTCAACATGAGAGGAGTAGGTTTACTGTCCACTTCTCCACTTGGCTTAAGTTTTTTGTAAACGAACACAGTTTTGACAGGGTTGTAAATAATCTTCTGGGAATTTAAATCTTTGATCTTTTCTTTCATTTAATATTTTGATTAAGACGTTGCGCCTAAAATTAAAACTCAAACAAATCTCTGATTTAATCTTTTTCTAAATTTTATGCCTCCTATTTCAGGTACATTCGGTCACTGCCCATTTTCCCATATGTTAGACAATGAATCGTTTAGACTTAGAATAGGTCTTTTTGCATGCAAAAGGCCTCGTACACAGTCAAAAAATGCACATATACATATCAACACATTTATACCTAACAAAATTTACACATTTAAGTCTCCATACACCCCACACATCAACTACAATTATCATAATCATATGTTTCTCTTCTATTCTCTCATCATGACTTACTTTCTCCCAATTCTTCTCTCCACGACTAGGTCCATGAACACCGTATTCCCCCTAGATTCTAATATTCATTCCTCTCTACTCCTTGACAGCCCACGTTATCTTATACCATTTCTTGCTTGCTCCCACATCAAACTTTTCTTTGTAATTATCTCCTCATGGTTTATAAGAAATGTTCTTCTCCCTGGTAAGATGAATAGAGTCAAGTATTCCAGCCGCCTCAGGCGTCTAGTCTCTTTATTCATTCTTTGGGTTTTCTCTCTTAACTTTCTTTTGATAACTCTTGTTAATCCTTCTATGCTTAATCCAGGTCCCAACTCCCTATCTGTACTCTACCAAAATGTCCAAGGTCTCATTCCTTTCAGTAACCTAAGCTCCTCCCATCCCCTTCTTGATGGTAATAAGATTTCCGAACTTCAATCCTTTGCTAACATAGAGCAGCCTGACATAATTGCCCTAAATGAGACTTGGCTCAAAAAATCTATTTCTAGCAACGAAATCTTTCCTTCTTCTCAATATGAAATCTTCCGCAATGACCGCACGAGAAAGACTCATCCTCAAGATCCTAATAACCCTAAAAAGTTTAGGGAAAATGGAGGTGGTGTTCTTTTGGCTGTTCGGTCTGATCTCGACGCCACTACAACCCGACTACCAGTTAGCCTAGGTGCAGAAATGCTTGCCGTTAAAATTTCTTTTCCTAACAAAGAGAGTATTGTAATCTGTACTTGTTATAGAGTAGGAACTCTTGGGTTACCTAATCATGATGTCATAGTTAGTTATATTCGCAAGCTAGTTTCCAAAAAGAATCCCCCTAAAATCTATGTTATTGGTGATTTTAATCTCCCCCATACAGATTGGCTATCTTCATCCAGTACCGTACCTATTGAGCAATCCTTCATAGATTCTTTCAGTGATCTTTCTCTCTCCCAGTTGATCACATCACCCACCCATAAAAGTGGTAATATACATTAGACATTCTTCTCAGTAATTATGATAACACAATCGATAACTTGAATGTCTGTGATCCTCATTCCGTGTGCAAATCTGATCATTTTCCTGTCACTTTTTCAATTAAAAGCTCCTTTTCCCGTAAGAAAACTCCTAAACGTAAAATCTATAATTTTAAGAAAGCAAACTGGGACATGATTAATCGTGAATTATGCTCGATTAATTGGCAAGTCCTAGAATGCCTAGATCCTGATTCGTCTTGGAAGTTAGTTAAAGACTGCATTATGAATTTAGTTGATATACATATTCCTAAAGTAATTATTAAATCAGAGTTCCAACCCCCGTGGTTCGATAGTGAATTTTTTTCTTCATGCCGTAAAAAAGATAGACTCAGAGCTAAATTTAAAATTTCTGGTTCTATTTCTGATGAGTTAAAGTTTGTTACTAGCCGTAAAGATTTTAAGAGGCTCTCATCAGCCAAAATAAGAGATAATCTTTTTAATAGTGATGATCCAGCGCTTATAACTAAGAAGTTTTGGTCACATGTTAAGTATAAATCTAACTCCTGCCGTATTCCTAATTGTGTTAGTTATTCTGGACAGCTTCGGTTCAATCCCAAAGATCAAGCTGAACTTTTCAATTCTTTCTTTTTTAACCAGTTTTCGGATCCTTCACTTTATGACACTGACATCTCCTATGTCAATGATGTTGATTTTGATATTGACTTCGATCATCGGGATGTTCGTAAGCTTCTTTCAAATATTAATTCAAATAAAGCCCAGGGACCAGATGGCATACACGGTAAAATTCTAAAAAATTGTTCCGTAGGTTTAGCTTACCCTCTAACATGCATTTTTCGTGGATCCTACAACAGCGGCTACATTCCACAAGAATGGAAACTTGCAAATGTTGTCCCAATATTTAAGAAAGGTAAGAAAAGTGAGGTTGAAAACTATAGACCAATATCCCTTACTTGTTTAGTCATGAAAGTTTTTGAGCGCATTGTTAAACGTAAACTGCTTTCTTTGACAAGTACCCTTCTTGATCCCAGGCAGCATGGTTTTCTAGAGCACAAGTCATGCACAACCAATATGGTTGATTTTTGTGATAGCCTGGCATTGTCTCTTAACGAAAACATTATCAATCATGTTGTGTATTTTGATTTTGCTAAGGCATTTGATTCTGTAAATCATGATATCCTTCTTCATAAGCTAAAGACCTTATATAACATTGATGGTACACTTCTCAAATTTCTTACCAATTACCTTCAAGGCCGTTACCAAAGAGTGGTTATTGGTAATGAGATGTCATCTACCCTCTCAGTTAATTCTGGTGTCCCCCAGGGCTCTATCCTTGGTCCCTTACTTTTTGTATTGTTTATCAATGATATTCCTCTTGGCCTTTCGGATAATACTGATATTGTTTTGTATGCCGATGATACAAAAATCTGGCGTAAAATACATTCATCTTCTGATAATACCAATTTACAAATGGATATAGACTATCTCTCTGACTGGGCACTTAGAAACAAAATGCGATTCCATCCAGCAAAATGTAAAGTGCTTATTGTTTCAGGAAAACCATCTTTATCTCCTCCATTCGCATATAATCTTGATGGCTCTCCTCTTGTGTATGTAGAGTTAGAAAAAGATCTTGGAGTCGATGTTACTCCTAAGCTAAGTTGGAATAGTCAGTGCGACAGAATTTATACTAAGGCCTGCCAACAACTTGGTATGGTCAGAAGAGATGGCCATATTGTCATTGATCTGAAACGTCGCCGGGCGCTTTACCTCTCCCTAGTTCGTAGCCAATTCGAAAATTGTTCCATAATCTGGCGCCCTTGTAATAAATCACTTAGTGATAAATTAGAAAGTCTCCAAAAGAGAGCTATTAAATGGATTCTGTCTGAAGAGGGCCGCAGTTATCCACCTGAGCAATATGTCAAAAAGTGCAAGCTTGTCGACATTCTCCCTTTGTCTCAAAAGTTTGACTTGAATGATCTTATTTTTTTCCACAAAGTTCTGAACAATTTAATTCCTGTATCGCTGCCTCACTATCTCACTTTATATCAGGGCACTTCTCGACTAAGACGTTGCCACCTCGACAGTCTGTCTATTGTGTCATCAATTTTACCTAAGTTAAGTCAGAATTCACACACCTTATGTACCTCAAATAGCCCACTGGCAAAGTCATTTTTCTACAGAACTCATATACTGTGGAATGGACTCCCTTTACAGGTAAGACAGATTGTGTCTACTAGTGTTTTCAAAGCTGAGGTCACTAAGCATCTATGGAAATGTTTATTGGATAGTGAAACAACAGCCTAGCCTAGTTTCTTTGCTCCCCATATTATTATTATTTTTGTTTTATTAACTTTTATCTACCTTCCTATACTTTCAACATCATATCACACTTCACCCGCACACCTCACACATTAATGACCATATCAGACCTGTATCTTATGTATCTGGAATTTGACGTATTGAAATACCAATTTTGACTATATATCCACAGTTATTCACCATGGATTTGTTTGTTATTAAATAGTTTTTCATAAATTTTTGGATTTAGATTGATTCGATGTAATGGGTCCAAGTTACTGCGGACATAGTTCACTATGTGTTTACCGTGTTTGGGTGCCCATCATATTTTACAGATGGGGGCGATATTTTGAACGATTCTATTTTATATTCATCTATTGCTGTACTCTGTAAAATTTGAAAAGTATTTAATAAAAAAAATGTTGTCTTATTGGTGTCTTAATGTTGTCTTATTTTTGTGTTAATGTGTCTTATTGGTGTCTTAATGTTGTCTTATTGTTGTCTTAATGTGTCTTAATGTTGTCTTAATGTCCCATCGGTGTTCGTTCTAGTTGCCATTAAAGTATATTAAAATGTAGGATTTTTTCCGATTTTGACCCGGGGATATACTTTAATATACTTTAATATGTTTGGGCCCCCCCCCCCCCCCCCCCCCCCCCCCCCCAATTTGCGAAACTGATTCCGGTCAAAACAATATAATTCAATTGGCTTAAAATATTTTTGCGTGAAATTATCAGAAACAATGTAGAATCGGTAGCCCAGGTGGTTGCAATTATACATGATGATTGACACGACTTGAGCTTCGTATATTCTGAGCTTGCGATCAAGTGATATCTTAGACTGATATCTAACACAACAAATTAACCAAAAAGTAAAAACCGACCCTTCGATGTGAAAAATTACAGCTCGCAAATGGAGTTGAAAACGAATTTTAACAGGGTTATAGAAAAAGGATATAATGCACTATGCAGCTATTAAATCATGTTTACAATTTTGATTAAGGCTGTTTGTTTTTCTTAATTAACGTTGTATTGGAGGAGAGATAGTTTGACTGTGTCGTTGTAACTATGGTAACTAGTAGTGTCGTTGCGTAGAAACATCATAAGATTGCAAGAGCGCGAGCAAGCACAGATAATCAATGCGCACTTTTATGTTTTATGAAACATCAATCGTCATGACTACTGACTAGCTCACATTTACGCTCATGCTATGACTAATATCTATTCATAACTTTGGTTTTTTTATAAAACTTTTAAAACTTTTTCATAACTTTTAATTTTTAATATTCGCAACAAAAGATCTAACCTGTTTGTAAGAATGAAGAGTTGTTTATTCTCCCTCCTCAACATGACCAGCATATCTACCAGCTTAGGGTTTGGCTCTATATATTCCTCTATATTACGCATGATATGTGAGTGTAGCGTGCCGTGCACGTGCAACTCTGATGTAACATTCTTGATGTCTTCATAGACTAGGACGGGGTGGGGTGTGCTCTGAGTGGACTGCAGGTAGTCTAGTACTGAGCACCACGCGTATAGTTCTGGTATTTGAAATAAGTCCACTATTTGACGGAATCTCTTAGAGTCGCCCTGTAATTTAATCAGGTGTCGTGGTAGCAGATTAATTTCACACAGCACTCACAGCAAATAAGAAAATTATGATTTTCATTGTCATTTTGAATCAACGTGCATACTGCATAACAATTATAAGTACTCACCCCAGGAAAAAAGAGTCTCATGCCTGGGTACATGTCTTGTATCTCCTTCTCAGTCAACTTCCTAAAACACTGGTACACTGAATCTGGAGCAATCCTATGGTATGCATCCACCTGGAGGATAATCGTGATGAAGAACACTGCTGACTAGTGTTCGCAACAGCTCATTTAATTAATCAGATATTAGAATTTAGAAGAAAACCAATTTCTTGTCTTAACCGTTATTTATAAACACCTTTTCAAGACATCTGAGAAGGTAAGACTTTAAAGTGAGTGAACTTACTTTCATAAAAACTCCAGTCAGTATATCGAAGTGGACACCTCTTGCCAAAAAATCAGGGTTGTAATTTAACTGTGATATTTCCTGGAAAAGTACATTGTATTCCCGCATTTCACCATGTGAATTTTTATGTGAACAGGTTAGATACAGATTATAAAAATGGAAGTGATTATATTTTTATTATATTTTGTTCTTCTTCTACAACAGACTCTTAATCACAGCACAATAAATACTGCAAGATGCCCATCTTAAAACGTTATTTTAGACACTTACGGGAGGGTAATGTCTAGAAGAAACAAGACCTTCTATGATCATGTTGAAGATTGTACCCTCCAGTGCTCCATTGTATGGAGCTAATGTGTAATCGTAGTCAAACCCAATAACTTCTATGTCAGTTAGTCGGAGTTCTGAATTCGTGAACACCTGACTCGGATCCAACTGAATTGTTTCAACTTTTTTGATTTGGAATAGAAATTAAATTATAAGTTATATAATATTAGTATTTGAACAAATTAAATAATGTTTCGGTACAAACCTTTCTCAAACACTTTCGGGGTAAAAAACCCTAGTATAATTTTCGAACCTCTAATGAGAGCCTCCACTGCACCACTCGCTGAGGGGGGGGGGGGGGGGGGTGCACCATTCACTCGCTGAGGGGGGGGGGGGGGGGGGGGGTGCACCATTCACTCGCTGAGGGGGGGGGGGGGGGGTGCACCATTCACTCGCTGAGGGGGGGGGGGTGCACCATTCACTCGCTGAGGGGGGGGGGGGGGGGTGCACCATTCACTCGCTGAGGGGGGGGGGTGCACCATTCACTCGCTGAGGGGGGGGGTGCACCATTCACTCGCTGAGGGGGGGGGGGGTGCACCATTCACTCGCTGAGGGGGGGGGGGGTTGCACCATTCACTCGCTGAGGGGGGGTGCACCATTCACTCGCTGAGGGGGGGGGGGGGTGCACCATTCACTCGCTGAGGGGGGGGTGCACCATTCACTCGCTGAGGGGGGGGGGGGGTGTATTCTAGTAGCTGGTGTTAATGGCTGCCATCACTTTTTAAACCCGGGACCAGACATAATTCGGGGCCAGTAAACAGGCGGAATATTGTATTATACAACTGAGCCAAGTTCGGTCAAAATTGTCCAATACTCATAGAGTATTATATATGAAATGAAATGAAATGAAATGAAATGAAATGAGGTATTTATATCCCGCTCATATGATTAACCAACAACACAAGGAAGGTGGTTAACCATGTCATATATAATATATATATATAATATAATATATAATATATTATATACATTAATATTTGGATTGTCAAACCAAATTTGGATAAGTTTATAAATGACTTCCTTTTTATTGCCAGCAGATATAAATTACCAGTTGCTGTTGCCAATTACATTCTATAAAGTTTCAATTTTCAAGTTATGGAGAAAAAAAATAGTGAGGTTCACGTGAGCTCAATTGCATAGAACCTGTCTTTTATCACAGTCAGTGCTGTCAGGGTCAATGGGAAGGTAAGTTGATGTCAACTCGGGTACCGGACAAGGAGTCAGGAGATATACAGGGTCCTACAATCTTCAACTTTTGTCTCGATTAATCATGTACCTTACCTTCATGACAAACGGAAATCTGTGTTTAGTAATGATAAAGCTTGTGAAGAATTAGCGTTTATTAGAAAGTATTTTGTTTTATGTCCGGTGGACAAAGCAACTAAGAACGTCGCTATAATTTGTAAACATTATTATTTAAGTGATATTATACAAGAGTGTCAATCTAATGAGGGTATTGATGATGTTAGTGGGGAACATGATGTTCGTGATATTAACAGAGATATTTTCAAGTTCATAGAAGACGTTGGGATAAAAGTAGATTCTAATATTGATAATTTGCCTCACATGTTTTCGAGTCCTAAATTTCATAAGCCAATTTTAAAGTTTAGGTATGTTATTTCTTATGCTAATTGTAGTATTAAGCCCTTGGCAGTAAAGATTTCTTTAGCCTTAAAGGCTGTTTATTCAGAGATCTGCCGATATACTAACATGTTGTTTAAAGTAACAGGAGTTAATAGGAATTGGGTCATTTTGAATAATAAGCCGATTTTAGAAGCTTTAGATAAAATTAATGATAATAGCTTAGCGAGAAACATCCAAACTTTTGATTTTTCTACTTTATACACGAATTTAGCCCATAAAGATATCAAGGATGCTCTCAAGTTTACTGTTAAATTAGCCTTTAGGAATAGTAGGAAGAAGTTTATAGCTGTTTACGATAAAGGGTCTGCTTGGGTAAATAGCTTTAGAGATGGGACTGTGGCTTTTGATGAAGTTAAGTTGATTAAATGTGTTGAGTTTCTACTGGATAATTGTTACTTTAAAGTAGGAGAGATCTTATATCGGCAACATATCGGTGTACCTATTGGAATCAACCCTGGTCCATATATTGCTAACTTAACACTTTTTTATTTTGAGAACAGTTTCCTAGATAGTACGTATAAAAATAGATACTATATTGTAAAGAAGTTAAATAATACATTTAGACTTATAGATGATATTACTACCCTTAACTCTGATGGTTACTTAGAGGAATATTTTAAGTTAATATATCCAGACTCACTTACTCTTAATGAGGAAAATGAAGTAGATAGTGCCACCAATGTATTAGATCTTGATATTTCGATAAATAGAGAGGGGAAGTTTTCTTGTAGAGTTTATGATAAAAGGGATAAGTTTGGTTTTAAAGTGGTTAAGTTTCAACCTTTGATGAGTAATCAAGCTAGTAGTGTATTATATGGCACGTACTGTTCACAGGTTGTGAGATATTCTAGGATCTGTAATAACGTTGTTGCTTTTTCTGATAGGGTTTTGAAATTTACTGATGATTTAATTGAGTTGGGTTTTAGACGGGATCGTCTTAGTAAAATATACTTATCTGTGGTAAAGAGGCATGGGCTAAAGAATAAGTTTGGTATTGGGTGTGGAAATATATTAATGCCATAGCTTGACCTATTGGCATCTATTTCTATTGTTGCGCAATATTTGTTGCACGTGTTGAATTTAGTTTTATAATAACTTTGCAACGGCGCAAATCGGAGTTCTAGAAAGGAGGCTGGTCACATTAAAATGTAAGTTTGGTCACATTAAAATGTAAGTTTTTTCCGATTTGAGGCCGGGGATTTAATATACTTTAATATACCTATTTCCCTATCCTTTTGGAGCTCTAAATAAAAAATCGCTGCACGCAATAAGCTTGAAATGCGATGTTTAATCGATTCCGAACATTTCATGCAAAAACATTGAAAACTGATTTAGTTATTTCGATTTTAATGAAGTCATTTTATTTAGCGAGTATCGCAAACCGAGATATTATGGGCAATTTTGTTTATGGTGATTTTTTTACTTACTATCCACTATTCAACAGATATTGAGCTATATCTTTCATGTGAAGTAAGTCTCATTTAAAAATGTTGAAATTTAATCGATTTTTGGGCAAAAGCTTTCAAATTTGGTGCGTATGTCCAAATATGGGCATATGGTTTTTAGCTCATAACTCAGCCACTTTTTGTCCAAACTGGATGTAAATTCATATACTAGTTCAGGAGTCCATAACCAGGCTTATCATGCAAATCTAAACAAAGAATATAGCTCGACTCAATTATGGGTATATTAAAGGGTTGCGTGTGGGCCCAGAAGTAACTGCCCACACGCAACCCTTTAATATCTCATGTAATTGGTGTCAGAATTGCTCTAAAATGAATATAGGGTCAAACTTAAATTTCCTGAAAGTTTAGTAAAACTAGCAGGAACCTGTATAACCCTAAAATAGTGTCAAGAATCAAGAGACTAAAATAATTATTACCTATTTAATTCGCGTTTTTGACATCACTTGGGGTTTAAATTTTGGTCTCTAAAATTACTATTCCTTGGCCAATTTCTTATTTTTTCATGCTGATTTGGAGGCCATTAAAGCATTTGACCCAGTCAAAAAAGTTTCAGTTGTATATATCTTTTATGGTTTTTGCGGAAAGTCGCGTTAAAGTTGATGCCGTGGTGTGGCACGTCACTCCCTCTTTTTAACCATTGTCATCATAAAGTGGTAACTCTTTGAGCTAGGAACTACAAACTTTCTATACACATTTTCTTTGATAATTAAAGTGCTTCCCCCAAATGTCATGTTGGTTGTTCACAATTTAACCAAGTTATGACCCTTTTAAGATCTTGCAGATACGTGATCTTGGCACCTTCTCAGTGAGCAATTCTAACACTAATTACGTGAGTTATTAAAGGGTTGCATGTGGGCAGTTACTTCTGGGCCACCCTGTATACATATTAAAATGTAGGTTTTTTGTCCAATTTAATATGTATGTTAATGTATACATTAATATAATTTAATATGGTTACCCCCCCCCCCCCCACCTTGCATCTCCTGGGGTAAAAGAGAAACATCTCTTGGACACTAACTATACTGGTGAAATGTAAGACGACTCAAAGGAGGGGCTGCAGGAAACCACTGAGCTTCTCTGTAAATACAGTTTTTATGCATGTCTGAAGATTAATGATGGCAAAACAAATAGCATGGCTGTCAGCAAAAGTGCATTGCAGATGCCGTATTCTAAAGACAACACCGTGGAAGGTCTCCCAATACTCCGATACACTCAGTTCGTTATACTTTACCGTCTTAATGTCATCTTAACTGTCTTTAAATTTGCTGGTAGAAACAAAGTCAGTGTGCTTTATTAAATCCGATCTATTTTGAGTCCTGTTGTGGCGTCATTTGAAGGCTTTGTCTTTATAAAGCGCGTCTTTATAAAACAAACTGACTAGTGTACAACAGGTCAGCAACTTCACTTATTTGGGTGCTATCATCAGTGCGGATGGAACAATTGACCAAGAACTTTCAGCTTGTATTAAAAATGTCTCTGGGCATTCTATCAGCTCAGCAACATTAAGACACGAACTAAAATCAGGATCTATAAAGCGGCTGTGCCCCCTGAGTCCGTTTATATATTTTTTCAAGCAGCTAGGCTCAGATGGTTTGGTCATGTGGTGAAATTGCCAGAAGATCGAATACCCAACTATCTTCTGCGCTGGATCCCAAAAAAGGCAAAAGGTTATCATGTGTCCTAGAGGATGTGGTTATTTTCAGTTTTCACAGGTGTAAATAATATCACAATGGAAGCTGCAGATCAACAAGCAACAGACAGTGTACATTGGAGAGGTCTCGTACATCGGAATAAGGAGTAACTGTGTGGTGCAGGCCACTCCAACAATAAGGAGTAACTGTGTGGTGCAGGCCACTCCAACAATAAGGAGTAACTGTGTGGTGCAGGCCACTCCAACAATAAGGAGTAACTGTGTGGTGCAGGCCACTCCAACAATAAGGAGTAACTGTGTGGTGCAGGCCACTCCAACAATAAGGAGTAACTGTGTGGTGCAGGCCACTCAAACAATAAGGAGTAACTGTGTGGTGCAGGCCACTCCAACAATAAGGAGTAACTGTGTGGTGCAGGCCACTCCAACAATAAGGAGTAACTGTGTGGTGCAGGCCACTCCAACAATAAGGAGTAACTGTGTGGTGCAGGCCACTCCAACAATAAGGAGTCGAGTAACTGTGTGGTGCAGGCCACTCAAACAATAAGGAGTAACTGTGTGGTGCAGGCCACTCCAACAATAAGGAGTAACTGTGTGGTGCAGGCCACTCAAACAATAAGGAGTAACTGTGTGGTGCAGGCCACTCCAACAATAAGGAGTAACTGTGTGGTGCAGGCCACTCCAACAATAAGGAGTAACTGTGTGGTGCAGGCCACTCCAACAATAAGGAGTAACTGTGTGGTGCAGGCCACTCCAACAATAAGGAGTAACTGTGTGGTGCAGGCCACTCCAACAATAAGGAGTAACTGTGTGGTGCAGGCCACTCCAACAATAAGGAGTAACTGTGTGGTGCAGGCCACTCCAACAATAAGGAGTAACTGTGTGGTGCAGGCCACTCCAACAATAAGGAGTAACTGTGTGGTGCAGGCCACTCCAACAATAAGGAGTAACTGTGTGGTGCAGGCCACTCCAACAATAAGGAGTAACTGTGTGGTGCAGGCCACTCCAACAATAAGGAGTAACTGTGTGGTGCAGGCCACTCCAACAATAAGGAGTAACTGTGTGGTGCAGGCCACTCCAACAATAAGAAGTAACTGTGTGGTGCAGGCCACTCCAACAATAAGAAGTAACTGTGTGGTGCAGGCCACTCCAACGATTAGGAGTAACTGTGTGGTGCAGGCCACTCCAACGATTAGGAGTCAAGACCTTTTCAAGTGCAATTAGAATTAGAATTAGACATTCAAATCAGTCGAACACTTTTAATAGAGTGCCCTTCTAAGGACTAAGAATCAAAACATATTATAGTATATAAATAATAAGTTAATGAGTATAAAGTATGGTACAAGTAAATAAGTATTAAATACTGAGGAAAAAATAGTAGTATCCACTCACTTTTTTAATGTAAATTATTTTAAACTATTTATTTAGCCTTATGCTTGTTTCGTTTACACATTTGTAGTTTACCCTATTGCCGGTTATTATATTTTGAGGTTTATTTTAACCATTGTGTGTTGCTGCTATGTAAAGTGGTATGACTGTATTGGATTTTCAGATACCTATAATCTTTATCATCAGTTACTGTTCTGCAGTAAACTTCTTCAATCAATTTTTATTGTATATTGGAAACTTCAGATTGTTTGTATATTTGGAGTCTATAAAATTTCTATGGATTTTTTAAGGAATTTTTATTGAGTTTTTATAGAATTTTTAATATACAGGGAATTTCATTTTTATAAACCTGATTTTTAAATTTGTTAGGCTGTTGAGTTTCATACTGCGATTTCTTGTAGTCATTATCCTTTCCTCTAGTCCTCTGTTAGAAAACCTGCTAACCCTTCTTGGATATCTGCTTGTTAGGTGCATCTGCCTTATTTAGTCACGTTATATTTTACAGTTTTTATCACCTGTTTTCTGAACAGTTTCTTGTTCCACCTCCGTCTAAGGCAAAGATGCACACTCTCGTTAATTTAAGTATCATTTACAGCTGTGCATAAGGGTTAAATTTAAATTATTTAACCTTTTGGTGCTGTATAAAAATAACATTAATTTATTATTATTATTATTAAAGTGTAATTTAACGATTTATCTAGGACAGACGTATATATAATGTATCCAGAACTTTCATGTTGCCTGATATATTTTGTTTTAAAGTCTGTGGAAACTCTCATTTCGTCCTCAGTCATGAATCATCATCGACCCAGAGTAAAGACTGAAAAGTTCATAGATCTGATCTAAATGTCCCTAACAATTTCTGAAGCATATTTTAATTATTTAATTTGAGAAATTAATTTGATTAAAATTATAATTCTAATACCTGGGCGAAAGTAGTCTTTGGAACCAAGCATCTGATCCGTTTATGATGCTCAATAAGATTATTTATAGAAGCCGTGCTAAACAATCTGCGGTGGATTATTATGTTTCGTTTATGGGCCCTTTCCCATACACAGCCAGGTATTGCAACAGACTGATTAGAGATGCAGCGCAGAGCTCTTGTAGCTATCAAAGCCCCTGCCATCCCTTCATTAACTTTAAGAATTATGTTACAGTATGTACCATTTACATACTCTTCGTTAGAGGTGTAAGCAGTAGTAAAATCGGTAAACCATTAATTGGGTAATGTAAGAATTAAACAACAAAATGTGGTCTGGGCCGTAAATTCTTAGTTTAAATCAGAAGTGTTAACCGTGGTGTCTGCAGTTTCATTAGACCTGAGGAGCATCTTCTAGTCTAACCCGAGCATGTGACTGTGGTAGGAGGAGTAGTAGTAGGAGCATTTTAACATTTTTGTTTTCACGCGCTCGATTCGATCGAGTTATATATTATTGCACCCAGCTCGATGATTAAAAATGGTCCATTGCGCGGCGCTATTATGCGTATTTTATAACAAGTTAATTGATTTTAATAGATTTTAAAAAATGATTTGTTCATAATTTTGTATTTGATTTATATTGAACAATATATCTTTATTTTAAAAGTATTTATTTATTATAAAATTTAGCAATAAAACTACTACTACCGATTTGTAGTTTTATTGGTTAATTTGTTTGCGCCGCGCACATTCCAAGACCATTTTCGCAAAATTTAGCGCAGATAAAATTTTGCGGAGGGTTTCCATAGCGTTCCTAAGTAACTTACTATAATCTTTCATTGTGTGTTCTCGATTTCAAATAGGAATTGATCTGTCAAATTCTATCAGTAAAACTTGTTGATTGTTAGAAGTAGTGTTACATTTGATTTGTCTATAAATTTGCAAGTTGTTTACGGTTCCTCGTGTTTAAGTCATCTGATATTGCTGATTCTACACCACTTTGTTTAAGATCGATACACTAAACCTGGGTTTATCAACCATGCCTGTGGACAAAATTCAACTTCAGCACAAATTTGGTATTATATCTCACAATCATCGCCAAAATCTCTTAGAGCGGATTTCTGCACCACCAACTCCTACCAATAACATAAGAAAACCCATTCCATGTGAAATTTCTCACGATTTTATCTTATCTTACAATCGGGCCGACCTTTTTGAAAGGTCGAAGTTTGATGTCAAAGCATCTCAGCTCCTTCAAAGAGTTAAACGAAGAGCTGGCCTTTTATCAGGTGGATCTGGAAGACATGTCCACATTCCACGTTCATGGGTAGAATTGACGTTGCTTGCAAGATGTAAAGGTCATTTTCGTGACGAAGTTTTGAAAGTATTGTTTGCATCTCTGCTTACGGCACCTCCAAGCGTTGATAATATCCCCAGCTTGTTCTTAGTCTGTGAAACTGTTATTGAATGGATCAAAGAATTGGGTAACCCTATTCCTGAGACTGCGTGGTCAAACACTCAAATACTTACATACAACATCTCCGAGCTTTGTTTTTGGAGAGTCTACAACCATGCATTGCTGCACAATTTGCAGGGGTGCGACTCATTTCTGTCAGATTTGAGTTGGCATGTTGAGAACCTCGACTTTGTACGGAAAGTATACTCAAAGTATCCTGACGGGGAACTCTTATTGCGTCTTCTCGAATCCATTAAGACTGTGTTATCGGAAATTTACCCCAGCAAAAATGAACCGGATTGCCTTCTGAAGAAAAATTTCACCAGTGACGGTTTGATGTATGGTTTGGACTTTTATCAGAGTGTGAGGAACGGGTCAGATCCGAGTACATCACTCAGCGCCTTATTAACCACACTAACACTCTTAGGAACTGAGGACCATCTTAACACGGTTTTAACATTTAAATTGATGACGGTTGTTTGCTGTAAGAACTACCTTGCTCTACAAATCATACAAGCAGCAGCAACCGGCAATCTCCCAATTTCTGGCTCAGATAATACTGAAAACTCTGGCATATGTAAGTCAAGTTTTCAAAGTTGGGACTGGGTCACAGCATCCGAATTTATCAGTCTTTTGGTTCACACTGCAATCGATGGGGAAACAAGTGAAATCCAGAAAAGTGCAATACAGGCTGGTGAAATGACGTCAGTCAGAGTTGACAGTGCTCCAGTGCTAGGATACGGATTGCTGGACCTCGTTGCTTTGAACACTACTGAGGCTTTTGGTCCGGCTGTTCAATACGCCCTCCAGCAAGCTTTAACTCGTCTTCATATTCATGTCAAAAAGCACTCTCTCAGAAAAAGTGCTGCTCACTTGATATGGTCAGCCCTGCAAACCACAAAAAACTGTGTCGGCCATAGAATTATTGTTGGAATTGCTCAGAATAAGATGAATTGTCTCGAATCAGTTGAATCTGAACTTGAACCCCATGGAAAATTGCTGTTTGAACGAATTTTTGATAATCTAGCTGATCATTACATTCCGCAGAATGTACCAATTTCGTGTAATAAAACTTCAAAACAAAAGCTATTACCAAAGAAACTCCATTGTGAACCATACGTTCAACCAACGGTATCCTTAGCCAGTAACATATCAGTGATTTCAAAACCAGGTTCAGTCGTCAAGCTAATGAACAAAGTTCGAACGATCCCTGATCTCCATCTAGAGTCCTACACAGATCGCAACAACAAGATCCTTCAGGAGGTTGTAGCTGATCAGTGGTATAAGGAGCTGGTGGCAGTGTTCCGTGCTGCAGAGAAGGTGCAGCAAACTGTCCAGGAATGTGAGGAGCTGAGTGAAGCGGAACAAAACCGGGCTCAACAGATTGTTGAAGAACTTGAGCTTACTGAGAGTGAAGTTTGTAACGTCATGAACACTCTTGTCGTCAGACCTTAGTAAATCACTTTCATCTTAATTGGGTTGTGTTGGATGATTTAAATTTTAGTATTTTATGTGATGCCGAAAATTAGAGGTAAATTAACAAATTCCAAGAGTAAACTCTATCTCTTATTTAATCATAATCAGAAATCTGTTGCTTTTAATATTCTTGATTTTTGAGTTTCTTTGATGATTTTAATGATCTTCGAAAAATTAGTCGTGAATTTTACTCAAGTTGATACATTTTAAAACAAGGCACAAGCTCTTCTGGTGATCTTAAAGATATTTCTGTGATTGAATCTTGATAACTAGTTTTATTTATATTTCCAGTTGACAGACCGTTGCATCACATCTAACCCTCTATAGGTAGGATGGACACAGCCCTTGAAGTGCCGGCAGGGGGCGACTCTTTTGCTGAATTCCCAACCTATGAGGACTTTCTTAACTCACAGGTACATATTATATATATATAAGTTCAAATAATCTATATTTTCGGATTAAACGGGGGGAGCGGAGGGGGTTCTGGTTATCTAAACTTTTTTACACCATACATAAAAAAAGGCAAAAGTGTACTGTAACAAAGTGTAGTGTAAAATAGCCTAAAAATGCCTTAAAAGTGTAAAAAAGTGACATTTTTTCTCACCAAAGGTATGTTTTTCCTTTGGAAATGTACTACGTGAAGACTGATGGGAAAATATTAGGAAAAAAGAAGATTTTGAGAAAATAATTTGGTTAAGTGTAATTTAAGATGTAAAGAAGTGTAAGAAAGTGTAATTTAGTGTACCTTTTTTACTACACTTTTTAATACACCATACACCAAAAAAGGCAAAAGTGTAGTGTAAAAAAGTGTAGTGAACACTGAACCCCCCACATGTAACAAAATCACTAGATGTCTATTAATGCTTTTCATACAAAGTTACAACGAATTCTTCATGTTTACAGTGATCATTAGGAAATTTGCTACCGATCTAGTTTAAATCCTATGTGCGTCCACAGTTGTTAGCAAAAAAGAAGCTAGACATTTTGAACGTCCATTTCTTAGGTCAACAACAAAACAGAGAGGATTAAAACAGATAATGTCTACTGTTGACGGAAAATCCATTAGTCAATCAGAGATAAACAATAACTTAAAGATATCAGTTTTTCGGAAGGATTCTCGGACGTCCGGATTTCCAGCTACTTTTAAGAGTACAAATAAAACCAACTCAAATTCATTGTTAATAACGTACATGTAGTTACTTAAAATAGACAATAATACATTTGGTGTCGAACAAGTTTAGCACAAGTACTATAAGTTATACTTAAGTAGCCATCCAATCGAATAAGTTTTAAGGCAGTAGTAGAATATGCGAGTTGTGTCTCGGCTCTCATGAGCTGCTCATGCTCTGAGAATCGAATTTTCGTTTAAAATACAGGGATCTAAACTTACAGAGTAATTAGTGTCAAAGAGTTAAAATAAATGGGACTTTTTTCGTTAATTCTGCCAAAATTTCCGGACGTCCAGATTTTCAGAAACCACCCCCCCCCCTCCCCTTGTCCGGATTTGTCCGAAATTCAAAAACCACCCCTCCCTATTGCCGGACGTCCTAAGTAGATGGCCCCTAACCGGATCGGCACTAACGCCTTAAAATTGTATATTTAAGGAATAAGGATATTAACAATAAATAATTATATTTCACCAAATTTCTGTAAAGTTGATATTGTTATTACTAAATTTCCAGATTACCTCCATGGATTTGTATTATCTGGAGGACGAAGAACTAGCTCGTCAACTTGTTGAACTAGGATACCGGGGAAGTGGTGAAGTTCTGAAGCGGGAGGAATTCGAAGCACGCAAACAGCTAGCTGAGGCAAGCAGGCTCTCGAAACGGAGCCAAAAGAAAACCCTAGCGAGTGCTAATAAAAATCTTGAGAATTATCCTTTCTTGGAAGCTTTAGCACAAAGAGAGGAAGCCAACAAAACAGGAAAGATGACGTCTATTATTTTTATCAGAGATAAGAACGCTAAAGGTCAAGAGATATCAGGGTATATTGACTTTGCTCATCGCCTAAAAACAGAGGATTTCGAGCCGTACTTCACAGGAAAGAAAAGAGTCCTCCCAAAACTTACCGACCTCAGTTTTTACAACTGGGAAACCCAAAAGAGTACATCAAATGCGACTCCCAACTATCAAGTCATCGCTGATAACGCCTCAGGGCTTCTCTTCAAAAACAAGAGAGATAGAAAGATCGTCAATGTTGATCCTAAAGCTGCCCGGCCTGGTGACAACTCATCTCGGGTTCCTATAGATAGTCAGGGACAATATATTCAGGTTGTTATCTACGATCATATCACCCGACGGAAAACGTGAAGTGTTTCTATTCAATTCTTTATCGGTTTTATGAGACCTTATTGGCATGAATTCCTTGTCTTTACCGTCATGAAATGTACACTTGCTAACCAATGAAATGGTTTGAGCTGCAAGATGGCTCTTGGTCAAAGTTTTAAAAATATTTATGCTGGCCGATTCATCTGTAATTCGTTGTAATAATTGTGATACGAAAGAAATTTTTATATTTTAATGATTTGATTGTCTTGTAAAAATTCATTTATTATCATGGTAGGAATATTCTAGTTGGTTCGTGCATTGATTTTTCGGGAAAGGAGGAGTGTGTTCAGATTATTTCGTGCTTTTTCTTATGCGCGGCACCCATCTGTATACATGCTAGAAAGAAATTCGACTGCTTGGAAGTATTCCAGAACAGTTGCTTGTACTGTGAACAGTATTCACTGTGCACTCGTCACTGTGCACTCGTCACTGTTTGCTGTTTGCTGTTCACTGTTTGCTGTTCACTGTACACTTACAGCACGTAAAAACATCCGTTAGAATAGTCGAATAGTCGAGAGAATATCAAAACACACCTTCAACTCTATGTCTTTCAAATGCAGTTTCTTCTTTAACTCTTGGTTTGAAGTACCCTGTACTTGCTATTCCATTCCAGGTGTAGCTTAAAACATGTTTGCTGAGATATTTCGTGCCAAAGTTTGAGTTTTACCTGTAATTACATGTACAACTTAAACTTAAATAGGTTTTCCTCTTTAAGGTTTTCCTCTTTAAGTTTCCTCCTCAGGCTATTAGGGGTTGTTCAAATATTACGTAATCAGCTGAGGGGGGGGGGGGGAGGTTTCCAAATGATTACTCTAGTGTAATTTTATTTTTGACACAAAAGCAATGTGTAAACTGATTATGGAGGGGGGGGGGGGGGGTAAAAATGTTCCAAAAATGATAACGTAATATGTGAACGACCCCTTACCCAAAATCCTTATGTACAGAATTTTGATATTTTTCTTTGTCCTTGAGATATGAGGTTAACTTGAAATTTTGATGCGGTTTTTTCGTACCTTTTCATCTCGAGCAGCTCTATTGCATAATGTTGAGGCTAACTAAATGATCCCACTGACCTTCAGCTAAATATTGCGAGCACAAAACATGTTTTAAGCTACCCCAGTACCCCTTTTGATCCGCCCAACTTGTTCCAGTAGAGCTCACAGAACGTTATCAATTATCATGTCTCCAGTTGTACCGCTTTGAGTTCCTGGCAATAGTGCAGAGAGCCATAATTAGCTTGATGTTGTACTCCCTCTCTCTAATTATCATGTCTCCAGTTGTACCGCTTTGAGTTCCTGGCAATAGTGCAGAGAGCCATAATTAGCTTGTACTCCCTCTCTCTAAGAGTGTCATGCACGAACCAACTATAATGATGAAACATTTTTTTGAAAATATCTTTGTTGCTAAAATCATCAAATCAACAGTAAATACCCCTAATTTTAATCTTAGCAAAATGGGGGATAGTAAAAGACCACGATCCAAGACACAACGAAGTCCGAGTTCGAATAGTCTGAAAGCAGAGAGACAGAGGTCACAGAGCAAGGCTGAACCTCAAACACCAGACGTCGAGCCAGAGCCAGAAGCGATCGAGAATGTTCTTCCCTGGGAAATCTTCAACAAAGACCAGATCACGTTAGTTATGCAGGGAGAATTAATAAGTCTATAGATTGACACATGTGTGATCTTATGTATTAGAGGGGAGGGGGTCGAGGTCTTCATGAAAATTCTCTCGAAATTGAGTTTAAAGTTATATCTGATACCGGAGTGATATGTGTTTTTGGGTGATTGCTCAAAAAATGTGGAAGACGGATTTTTTCAGTTTTTCCAGAGCTACTAGACGAAAATCTAGTAGAGAAAACTGCATCAAAATTCGACCTTGCGTTCCTGAGATATTATGCGCTAAAGTTTGAGGTTTATTTTTAATTACTAGTTAGGGTAAGAATAAGAATTCTGTGAATGAATTTGTCTATAATTATGACCATCCTGCTCGAAATTGATTTTATAGTTGTTTCTGATAGAGGGGAGTTATATCTATCTGTTGCTTTTGGTCGCATGGAAAAATATTGATTCTACCCGAAGTTATTGCCGGTCAAAGGTCAGCGCTCATGAGTAATTGTATTGCGCGAGCTATTTTCAATCGCGCGCCCTGAAAATCGAGTCTAAAAATCTATTGAAACTTTCAGGATGTGTTCTAAGGACCATTTAGAAGATTCTGGTCTATCAGAATTTTAAGATCTAAGGCATTAGGAAATTTGTTATTAAATTTTGAAAATCTTGGACCTGGAAAAATCGTCAAAAAACGAGGTCCAAGATTTTCAAAATTGAATAAAAGTTTCTAAGGCCTATCTTAAAATTCTGATCGCTCGAGCAATACAATTACCAATCGAACCAATTTATCCATAGACACAGTGTTTCGTCCTATTAGGACTCATCAGTATGGCTATATATATATATATATATATATACAAACATGCAAATTGAAACGACCGGTTGAGTCAGACAAATGTTTCAATCATGATACAAAACCATGATATCATCTGAGACAACTGAGGTAACTAAAATTAAAATTACAAAGCTAAAAGTTTACATAAATATTCACTCGTGAAACAATATATAATTACTAGGGTTTAGATAGATTGAGGAAGATGATTGTTAAATCACTTTAAAAGACATCGTACGTCTGCCATAATATGACAACTGTGGTCCTTTGCCACCCACTATCGAGGTCTCATTGACTTCCAAAATCGAGTTATGACATTTAAGGTTGGGGCGTATAGGCGCCTGGAAAACATTAGTTTTCCATCAGTTTCAGTCTAACCACTTTTTGGCATGGTTTCTGGAACTATGGACAGCACATTCCCACAGAGAAACATTTGTTACGAATTTATTCACAAAAAGTCCCATAACTATACTGTAACTATACTGTAAATACCTGTAAAAATACTATACTTGTAAAACTGAAACTTAACATTTGTCTTCTGAACTATTGGAAAAGACTAGCCACTCCCAGGACCTGAAACTTGGCACAGCTGATATTCCTTTGGCGAATACCAAAAATCAATATGTTACAGAATTTTACCTTTTTTCTTGTAACATGAGGTTGAATTTACCCAAATTCATCGAAAATTACACTTTTTTAGAAAGTTAACTTCATAGTTCATAAACAGAGGCGAAATTTCAAAGTCTGTTTCAAAAGTTGAGGTTAATCTGATTTTCAGGAGAGCAAATTTCAATTTAAGTTTGACTTGTAATTACAGGTAAACCTCAAACTTTGGCGCGCAAGGAATGCAAGGTCGGATTTTTATGCGGTTTTTTCCTATTTGTACAATGTACATCTCCGGCATGAGCAGCTCTGTCACATATATAATATATATAATGTGAAAACTGAAAACATATGCTAACAAACGAATCGATGGAAATTCGTGGGTAAATAATGATTGTTTAATTTAATAACCTAACATAACATTTCCAACAGGGAGTTGTTGTCGTGCACACCAACTGAGATGCTCTCTAAACTTAACACCCTCATACCATCCCCAAACACCCACGTTAACTTAAAGAATAGTATCAAAGCAGACCTATACCTCTTAGTCTTACATTTTGCTCAACAGCAGCATTTCTTAGAGGACCAAGCAGGGGCTATCGTTACACTCTATCAACATATCCTAAACATGGTTCTTGAGGGTAAGGAGCTGATGGCTCTTGTTCTAGAAACTTCCCTGCTGTTAACATGCCAGAAGGAGTTCACACCAGGCATGAAGTTTAATTTTTTCAACCCAGACCAAGTCAGCAAGATATCAAAATACTTCTCAATGGGAGTTTTCCAACATTTCAAACTGTACCGCTTTAGTATGCTTCAAGAACAAGATCAAAATATCATTAGTCTGGAGAAAATTGTCCACACCTGTCCACCACAAGGGTCCTTCGATCCACCCCCACTTGCAGAAGCTATATCGGAACACGATATTGAGTCGTATCTGAACGCTTCCCCTCCAGAATCACCTCGCTCAGAGGAGGAGGTAGCGGGTGAGGAGGGTGAGCTGGGAACTGAAGAGCAGGTCGAACAACCTAACCCTCTTATCTCAATGGCTAACGTTCAGACTGTTCTCGATACAGTTGGCAACGACATAATGGACAAGTTTACAAAAGACATGAAGAATAAGTGTACCGAGAAGGAAAATCAGTATGTGAACAGGTTGAACAAGGTCAAGAAGGCTCTAGATTGAAGATTTTATATTTGACTGTAGCTGTCGTTGATTCGATTTGGGTCGTTGATTTCGCTGTGGGTCTAAGGAGTTTAAAAAAGAGTGAGGCATTTTCCCAACTCCCAAAATATGTACTTCAACAATAAAAATGTGGGGAATGCGTTTGCTTGACATGTTACGAATTATGGTAAATTATGAGAAACGAGGGAAATATTTTCTGGTTCAGTACTATTCTGAACATTCTGAGAATTACGAATTTTATGAAATCAGATTTCAATTTGAGAATTTCCTGTGAAAATGTGATCTTTACGTATGGTTTAACTTTTGATATGTGTTACTTTTATTGTTTTAGCCCTTTTGGGCGACCGACAACTGAACCTAGTTCCCACACAGTTAATACTAATAGGGCACCCAAATCCCAATCAGATTAAGGGGCCTTAACGAACAAAATATTGTTCCTGGTCGAAGTTATCGCTGGTCAAAGGTCAGCGCTTACAATGTGTTATTGTATTGCGTGAGCGAACTTTGATCGCTTGTACGAAATCGAGTCTTAAAATCTATGTTATTCTACATTCTTTAAGCAATCACCCTGAAACTTTCAGGATATGTTCTGAAAATCATTTAGACGAGATTCTGTAGGCTAAATTTTGAGACAATTACGAAACATCGTCAAAAAACCAGGTTTTAGAAACCTGTTCAACTGTTATGTTAAGTAATTTCAAGTGAAAATTGGGTTCAGTTGTCGTTTCAAAGATAACTAGATAGACTGATTCAGATTGGGGTTATAATTATTTTTCCTATAATCGTTTCAAAACAATTGTGATAGATACGTTTTTAATCCAAATCCATTTGCATTACTTAACATCCCATCCTCACTATTTCAAAAGTTTTACTTATTCTTTATTAGATTTTATAGCATGATAGAGGCCAGAGAGAATGGTTGAGACGGCTTCTTTACCGGAACTAAAACTCCGGCCAGAATTCCGGGCAGATGCAGAGGTCAAGTTCATGAACACCCTTGTCAAGCCAAAAAAGGTAAGATGCTATTAGATTTTTTTCTTTTTTCCTTATTTTGCTGCTCTACTGATAAATCATCATTATGCGCTTAGTCAATAAAGACACCGTGGTTGTTATAAAAAGGAGATGATGAAGTATTCAGGAACATAGGCATGACACAAAGAAAAATGGTCGGTGGGGATTGGGACCCACTTAATCAGTAATCCATCCTGTCACTCAAATTATTTGTTATATAGTAGTGTTGAAAGTATTAAAACATCATTATGATTTATCAGTGGAGCAGCAAAATAAGTAAAATATCTTTTGCAAGGTTTTTTAAGGGTTCAGCCTGAAATTTTTGTGAAACTTGATTCTGACTGTATAGCACTAGCATGAGCAGTTGACCAACTAACTAGGACATGTGACCAAACTTTTGAGGGGGTCCCGGACCCCAACCGCCCACCGGTGCCTGCGGTGCAGCCGTGCCCATATTTGTGCCCAAATAGGCCAAATCACCTTAACATGCCCAAAACCCAGATTTGTTTCTCCCTGAACACGTATATGGATTTTCATCCAGATTGGACAAAAAATGACTGAGTTATGAGCCAAAAACCATAGGCCCATATTTGGGTATAGGCACCAAATTTGATTGATTTTGGCCCATAAATTGAAAAATTGGTCAAATATCAATATTTTTGAATGAAACCAACTTTATATGAAAGGTAAGCCCAAACTTACATTCTCTGAGATAATATTATATAGCTTAATATTTATATAAATGTGGAAACTAAGGCCACTAAGACCACTAAAAATGGAGAAAACTGCCCATATATGCAGGCCAAATACATGCGGCACGTGTATTTTAAGGGGGCAGGGGGGGTCTTTATGAAATTTCTCTCGAAATTGATTTTATAGTTGTTTCTAATAGAGGGGAGTGATATCTATCTGCTACTTTTGGTCCCATGGAAAAATATTGTTCCTAGCCGAAATTATTGCCGGTCAAAGGTCAGTGCTCATGTGTAATTGTATTGCGCGAGCGATTTTCAATCGTGCGCCCTGAAAATCGAGTCTAAAAATCTAAACATTCAAAATGTTTACTAATACATCATTTTATTTCAAAGAAAATTCGCCGAATGACCTTACATGCCTTGACAAGTGACCGAATGTAAACAAAATTAGGGACACCGAAACACCAGTTGACCAGTAAACTGGTCATAGCAATTACATCGGGCCCTATATGCACCTATAAGTGACGCGATGCTGCAACCGAGGCATGCTAAGTTTATATCATTGGACTAATAAGGTTACAGCCTAAAATATGAATATAATAACAATGTACCATAATTATAAACACAATTTATAAGCATAATATAATGATTATGAAGTTAACTGAGCTTTTAGTGAACGGAAATCTAGCGTCCACCACAACGAAAAAAACGGGCGCAATTCTTGATGAGTTAGGCCTTTAAAAAATTAACCCAGGCCTAACTCAAAAATCTGGGGCAAAAGATAAGGCCCTGAGACTTACTTACTTTGGATACTTTGGAGAGATTCGTAGATTCCTCTACTGGGTCATCGAAAAGTTCGACCGCCCTTGCAGCATCGCTGCTGCCTTATTCATACTCCAGTCCAGCAAAGAATTTCCATTAGGGCAGCTGTAATTGCTCACAGGTGGGTTATCTGGAAACGGTTTAAGAAATGCTGATAGTTTTGCTTTGAACAGCAGTGGGTCTTCAATGAGGTGAAGATCTGATGGAATGGTGTTCCATAAACGTGGCCCCATTACTGCAAATGAACCATCATACAATGACTGTTGACGTTGAGTACTGCTCTTGCTGAGACTTGGAATGGTGGCCTTGATTCCGTGTCTTGATGGAGTAGAAAAAAGAATCCCAAGGTCATTTGGGCAGCGTTGATGTAAGATTTTCCACATGTGGATGATAACATAACGCTCTCTCCTCCTTTGCATCGACATTAGATTTAGTGCTTTGAGCCGCTGCCAATAGTCAAGATGTTGAACACCCCAAATCCTTGAGGTGAAAGTACGCTGTACTCCTTCAATCTGTTGGATGTCTGAGATTTTACTGGTATTCCACAGAGGGCAGCAGTACTCTAAATGACTTCGGATAAGTGACTTGTAAAGTGTCAACATTGTTATTCTATTTCTGCACTTGAACGCACTGAGCACCCAGGCTGCCACTTTTCTAGCTCGAGATGCCATAGAACTGACATGATGTGACCACGACATATCAGAAGACACTATAACTCCAAGATCCTTAACTTGGTCTGTAGGATAGAGCATATTACCGCCTGACACCTTGTATGTTTGTGTTTGACATACAAAAGGCAGCTCATACAGACTCTCATTAGGATTCCCCCGGTGAACTAGGAGCTCAAACTTATCCTCATGTAAAACCATGTTATTACGTTTGGCCCATGCAATGACATGGTCGAGATCTTGCTGAAGAACGATAACATCCTGTTCTGTATATATGTGCTTCAGTATACGGGTGTCATCAGCAAAGAATCTTATAATTGAACCAGTAACACAAAGCTTCATGTCATTTATGAAGAGCTTAAAAAGGAGGGGTCCAAGAACGGTTCCTTGGGGGACTCCACTGATAACCAAGGCTGCGAAGGAAGACACCCCGTTCAGAACAACATGTTGATGACGGTCCGACAGAAACGACTCCAGCCACTTAAGAATCCTTCCGTTAAATCCATACTTTTGCAATTTATCAATGAGAAGACGATGATCCACCTTGTCGAAGGCCTTCGCAAAGTCTAGATATATTGCATCAGTATCTGACCCACTCAAAAGGCCACTCATAATGTCGTCGAAGTGGCTAAGAAGCTGAGTCAAACAGCTCCTTCCCGAACGAAATCCATGTTGATTATCACACAAAATTTCATTTTCATCTAAGTACTTGACCATGGTGCTCCGTAGAATGCGCTCATAGATCTTGATGATGTGTGAGGTGAGGGCAACGGGACGGTAGTTCACTGCATGTGCCCGGTTTCCCTTTTTGTAGAGAGGAGAAATGTGTGTCTCCTTATAGAATTTGGGTACAAGACCCAGGGTGTATGATTCCGTCCAGATAAGTTTAATGGGTTGGCACAGTTCTTGAGCACATGTCTTGAGAAGACAAACTGGCACTCCATCTGGTCCACAACCCGAATCGGGTGAGATTGCAGAAATAGCCGATATGATGTCTTCATCAGAAATAACAAAATCTTCGTCAGTTAGTGGTTGCGTTATATCTGCTGCCATGAACTGGGGATCTTGAACATCGGGACAATCTGGATCACTGAAAACAGAGCTAAATTGCTCTTGTAGAAGATCTGCCATTGACTTAGGATCAGTGATTATTTCATCACGTTTGTTGAACAGCATGCTAATTGAAGATTTGATTTTTGATAAGGACTTGGCATAACTATAAAAGACGATTTCAAACATAACCTAAAAATTTCATAGGAAAATTTTGAAAAATGAAAATTCCTGAGGCGAAATTGTCTTATACACATAAATTCACTACATGTGTCACGTAAAAATTGAGCTTACTGTATAATTATACATTAAAATACACGTGCCGCGTGTATTTGGCCTGCATTATATGGACAGTTTTCTTCATTTTTAGTGGTCTTTTAGCCTTAGTTTCCACATTTCTATAAATATCAAGCTATTATATATCTCAGAGAATGTAAGTTTGGGCTTACCTTTCATATAAAGTTGGTTTCATTAAAAAATATTATTCAAATTTGGTGCGTATACCTATTTTTTTTTATTTGAAAATTCAATTAATCATTATATATATAAATCAAGCGTTACATTTCAGCCATGCAAAAATACAATGACATATTTTGATATACTAAATGGTAAATGGTACTGCAATATAAGTTGCTTAATGTTTGGCCGGATGACAACTAACGAGAAAAATAAACTTGATTATATAATAATTAATTCGGCTGAACCAACACATAGCAAGAGCCACATTAACGTTGGGGCCGTCTAAACGTTGGGGCCGTCTATGGGCATATGTTTTTTGACTCAGTCATTTTTGTCTAATCTGGATGAAAATCTATACCTTACTCGGGAATATTATAACCGGGATAAAGTGGTGGGTTTTGGAAGATTCCGCCATATTTTTCCCGGTCAAAAATTTTACCAGTCATAAAAACTCAGATTATGGGGTTCCAAGGGGGTGGTGATCATCATATTTTACCTGAAGTCTCATATGTGCTAGAGAAGACTTTTGAAGCAGTGGATGGAGGGCTGTAACTTTATTGGCGGTTGCTACCATAATTTCGGTATAAAAATCACAATTTGGTTATAGAAATTTGGTTATAGATTTGGTTATAGAAATCAGATTTCAGGCCAACTTGTGGCCACATCCCGCTAGAAGTGAGTAAACTGTGCCACTATTTCATGGTCCACGGTGGATTGATTCAGATTACTGGAGCAGTTGAAGATGCAAAGCCAAGACGTTCCCCAATACCATTACCAAGCGGTGGGCAGGAAATTAAGCTCCGGCTGACCTTCAGAGCAGTAGCCCCATTAGCGGACAAAATGAAAGTCTTGTTAAGACAACAATACAACTTCGAATTTGACGATCAGCAGCAGGGGGATATCAATAATGATAATGGAGGGGACATTAGCGATAATGAGAATGAGAATACGCTTTAATGAAGATTTGACTTATTATTGCTTAGATTTATTTTCCTTTAAATAGACGTGTCTTTTTTTTCTATTTCTGAGTAATATCAATAACTGTAAATTGAAATAACTTCTTTAACAAGTAACAAAAACAGAAATTTCGGTTGAAAATTTGTTGACCTCTGAAAAAAAACTTGAAAGGTCGGCCACCGGTAAATACATGACCGGGATAATTTGGCGGGTTTTGGGAAAGTCCGCCATATTTTTCCCGGTCATTAATTTTCCCAGTCATAAATTAACCCGCTATAATATTCCCGAGTAAGGTATACGAGTTCAAGGGACCACTAGCTACAGGTAGAACACCTAAAATCTGGGTTTTGGGCATGTTAAGGTGATTTGGGACAAATATGGGTGCAGCTGCACCGCAGGCACCGGTGGGCGTTTGGGGTCCGGGACCCCCTCAAAAATTTGGTCACAGGTCCTAGTTTGTTGGTCAACTGCTATGTCGGAATAAAAGTTTTTAATAGAGACTAACAAGTTACTAAGTTACGATACTTTTGCAGTTGATAACTTAACAATATTTGTATTTGCCTAGGTGACATCAGTTAGATCAGGGAAGATACCGCTCGTGAAAACAACAGAGAAGACTGAAGGCTGGCCAGCTGGTAATCCCACTGCTATAAAACATGCACTTGACAGTGGTCATTATGAAATGGCAGAAGATGAACCCTTTTACGCCAGCAAGGTGAATCACAGTGCTGGCAAGCACGACCGTCAGCCTTTAAAGTTTATACTCCCTCGCTATTTTAAGACTACGAATACTAGTAGAACTGGAACTTCAAGAAAATTCTCTCGAAATTCTAAAGCCTGACTACATGTGCACATTATGCAGTTAGGTTGCGTCTCATTTTTCAATGAAAGTTACAGATAACAAACACTACACTACAAAATTCAAAATCATAGACTCAGACTGATCAACCAAAAGATGAACGCAATTGTGGCAATCTAGTAATATAAGCTATCATTCCAGGAGGTTGAACGTTTGGAGGATAACCTGTACCTCGTAACTGGACAAGGTAAAGAGACAAAGAAGAGTGACATAATTGAGCGTATAACAGAGAGTAGAAGACAACGGCATAAGAATGCTCTGGAAGACTTACACGAGGAACTGGGCCATTTGAATAAAGCTGTCGAACCTCAGGTCAGCCTTGAAAGAGCTGATTTCAGCCTTAATCCGATTGTAACTTAGTTATCTTTTGTTCAATCAATTATTCGAATTCCTTTTGAGAGGTTCTTGTAGGTATTAATTTAAAATTCCAGACAAAACATTATAACTCGATACCTTTAAAAATTACCAAAAAATATATATTAAGGCCTGAGGAGGGTAAAGTTAAACACATATTTTTCAGTTTTCACATAATGTGACAGAGCTGCTGGAGACGAACAAGAAGAAAAACCTGTATCAAACTCCGACCTTGCGTTCCTGAGATATTGCTCGCCAAAGTTTGAGGTTTACTTGTTATAAATAGTGAAACTTAAACCTAAAATTGCTCTCCTAAACATAGGGTAAACCTCAACTTTTGGAAAAGACTGGCCACACCCAGGACCTGCGACTTTGCACAAGTGTTCCTTCGGCTATTTCCCAAAAAACTTATGTAACAGAATTTTGAATTTTGCCTTTTGCCTTTTTCCTTGAAATATGAGGCTAACTTTCTAAAAAAGTGTAATTTTTAATGAAATTGGGTTATAGTTAACCTCATATATCAAGAACAAAGGCAAAATTCAAAATTCTGTTATATGAGTTATTTAAGTATTCATCCGAGGAACACCCTATGTTCAGGAGAGCAATATTAAGTCTAAGTTTTACTAATAGTAAACCTCAAACTTTGACGCACAATATCTCACAAGCTCAAGGTCGGATTTTTATGCAATTTTGTGTACTTGTTTATCTCCAGCAGCTATGTCATACATGTGAAAACTTCGCCTTATTACGCAAAAACATTTTGAGCGCTCCTCGAATTGTTTCGAAAATGCGAATGCTAAACAAATTCACGAGGTACCAAAATATATGTGTTTACCGACGTGTCCAACCCAAGAAAAATGTAGCTTTGTTATTATCAGGTAGCGAACGAACTAGACAGTACTAAAGAACAGATAAGTTGGATACTATCAGAGATACATATCCTGTTTTCTGGGATAGAAAACGACAATATTCTCTTCACATATCCTCTAAAAAGACTCCAAGTCCTGTGGGAAGACGTCGTTACTCTCCTCCAAAAACGTAGCAACAAAATCACAGATCTTAGAGAGCAACTTAACGAAACAGAGTCCCAGAGAAAGGACCAAATATCAGAACTTTTCAAGCACTACAGCGCTTCGTTCCACGATATCGCGTATTTGAATACGGGCGCAATCAACTTACTGATGGACCTGGAAGTCTACACATCCAACCAACTGCTACTAACAAACTACAAACACTACTCCAACATGATTTCTCAGATACAGCTGGAGAACGTGGTCAGGTTAAGACAGTACAGGGTGCGATGGGAAGAGAGGTTAGCCACCTGGCGAGACCTCCATACTCACCAAACCACTGATAAATTCACTACCTTCATGTACACTCCCGCCATCACTGATTGTCCGGATATTGAGTCAATATCAGAGATGATGAAGTGCGAGCTTAACGGATTGGTAGAACGGAGGTTTAACAAGCTGCAAAGTGTCAGAGAGATGAAACCTCCCTCGTTTACTTGTAAAACAGTGTTGCGCTGGTATGAAGAGGTGTGTGAGCTTAGCCTCACCTTGGAAAACACGCACCGGAAATACGTTGCTAAGCTAGCTGCTGTGGGAGACAAAGTTTTGCTAGATTGTGAAACAGTTGCTGACAGAATGTTGGAAACGCTTCAAGAAGAGGGAGTTTGTTCTGATTCTGAAGCTCAAGATCTAAAGTTTTCTGATCTGATGCCGCTGATCGCTGTGTGGGGCACAAAACACAGAGAGAAGATTCTTCGGTTGGAGGAAAAGTTTTCAGATGAAGCTGCAAAGTTCAAATCAAACCTTCATTTGCTCTATGACTTCCAAAACGGTGCCGCTAATATTTGGACCGAGTATTGCTCGAGAGTGACTGATAAGAATAGCGAACTATCAGCCTTGGTGAGGAAATGTCGACGAAAACACGACGAAATCAATCAACGGTTAGAGAGCTCTTTAGACATGGAGATGGACAGAATGAGACAGGACACCAATGATTTTGAGTTGAAGAAACATCTGGATAAAGCGACAGAAGCTCTGGAGGAGATTGCTGCTGCTTACACCAATTTCAAACGAGATATGGCCGATGTTATCAAGACATATCCTGATATGATCTCAAATGAGCTACTCAACTATTCGATGCAGATAAGGAAACATTTAAGTTGCTACACGGAAGAAGATACCAAAGTGGAAGATGGAGAGGAAGGACTAGGATCTGACAATGCTTCCATCGGTGGAATTGTCGATCAAGCTCCACACGAGTCGACTGAGAAGGGTGGAGTTGATATCGCGTTCATGACAGAAGTCTCGGCGGCAGCACCTCAACAACCACCGTCATACTCTGATGAAAGGTTCAAAGTATTAGAAGAGGGCCTGACTATTGTCTACTTGGAGCATCTTGACCTACTAACTCACGAGGTCGCTCAACATTCTGATCAAACCGTAGGGGAGAAGTTGAGTGAGCTGAAAAGCGAAGTTGAACTGCGACATCACATCCACAAACCCAGGGTCACTAGAATGAAGTTGGACATTTACAACGTGAGACTGAACGAACTGAAGAACCACGATGAAAGAGTTAAGCAACATGGAGCAGGAATTACGCTGGAAATAAGCACCTTGAGAAGCGAGTTCAAGAAGCTCGGCATGGAGCATGATGTGAAGGGAAAGAAATTTAAACAACTTGTGGAGGATTGTGAAAAGACGCTTCCCACTCTTGAGAAAACTGCTCATTTACAGACCTTACAAAATAAAGTTACTACTGCGTATGAAGGCCATATGAATGTGATAAAGTTGGAGCTGTCGTCTTTCAGAAATAAAATGGAGATGAAACTAAACGATTTGAGGGAGAGTAACCAGCACTTTGGTTTGGCTTTCAAACCCTTCGCTGAAGGTGGCAATTTTGGACCGGACGAAATCGAAACGTTCCGGAAGAAACTTGAGAAATGTAACCTCAAGATTGACAACTGTGAAACGTTTATTCTTACCGAACTTGATGGAATGGAGTCCAAATGTCTCGATGCCGCAGTTGAGATGACAAGCAGCTTTGAAGCGAGACTGAAGATGCACATTCTCGACGTGGCATTCCTGGAGAAAGTGAACAGCTGGATGTCAAATTGTCAGGTGAAGATCAAGACGGAGGTTGCCGCCTGCAATATGATGTCCAAGAAGTTGAAAACAAAGATAGAAAGTCTAAGAAAACTGATCGACAGCTGTGCCAGACCTCATCCTGACAAACCGACTGTAAAACCGGAAGAAGTACTTTCTGCGATTCCCGATATGTACAACTTGTTCCAGCAGAGAATCATGTATCTAGACTGTGCTAAACCTGCTACTAAAACATCTGTTCAGATAAATCCAGATCACCCTGATTTTCAAATGTCTCGAGAGTCTACGCACGATTTCCAAAGTGTCGTTAACCTGACTAAGAATATCCTCACGATGTCCAGAAAATACAGCTCTCCTTCGATGGACTCTGAGTCAGTAACCATTGACAAGAGAAAACCTATCGTAACGGAGTCTCTTTATCAGTGGTTTATAGCGAAACAGGAAAATCCGAAACCAATGTCCAAACGAGGCAAAAGTCGGGTTGAGACATCAGAGCGGACCAAAAGACTCGGCTCTGCCTCTTCTCGATCATCCATGATGTCTGTGGTTCTGACAGACGCGCAGTCATTCATGCCTATTATCAAGAAGATTCTCCAGGAGACCCAGGGAGCGCTGTTTATTTCTAGCGAAGCGTACTACACGCAGTACCAAGGTCCTCCCCTTAGAACGGGTATTGCTGAGACTCTGGAGGGGTGCATGGAGGAGCTAAACAAGCGGTTGAATAATTACTACGTCCAAACTCAGGAGTTTTACAACAAGTGTATTCAGGATCTGAGGAGCATACTGACTGATGTCCTTCAGTTGCACATGGAGATTCCACCGCTACTTTACGACGAAATACTGGAGAAATATGTCACTGAGGTATCCCAGAAGACGTCTGTCATAAAACATCAGTTTGACCAAAACAGAGCAAAAATAGCTGATCTACGAGAGACCAATAAAGTTCAGTTGAAACCTATTTTAGGACATCCAAATAGAGAAATAGATATGAATAATCTGTGTAGAAGAGAGGAAGGTAGGGCTTTGGAATCGGGCGATGTTCTTTATGAGTACTACAACGAACTGACCAACACTGAACGTTCCATCGCACAAAATTTCATAGAGTCTATAAATTATTGCACAGAGCGGCTCATGAACCTGTTTGACCAGCTGATAACAACAGATGATGTCATCCTTGGAACAGTTGCTGAAGAGAAGCTGCCTACCACGGTTCTCCTGAAACGGGAGCTTAGAGCCAAGCAGGGCGACCAGACCTCTTTGCCAGGTCTCAGTAGAGAAGGACAACAGATAAAACTTTTAAGATTAGCCGACATAGCGGTGGATCGAACAGCTTCCTCTAAATCTGAAAACTTTAAAACGGGCAAGTTTACTCCGGTGCACGAGGAAGCGCTTAGTTCAATGAACAGAGTTTGTGGTGAGTATAAGGAGCGTTTTGGGCTGGTTATGGAGGAAATTGAATCTTTGTCCGCAAAGTGGACTTCCAGCGAAGAAAAGTGGAAGAGACAGTGGCTGTCTTCCGTTCAACACGTACGTAACTTGTATAAACCTAACAACATTTCTTAGTCTCCTGTTATTCGAGCCCGTTATTTGAGCTACATCGGTAGAAGTTTGTGTTTTCTGACGTGTTTTTGGTCAAAAAGACTAGGGTTCAGGGAAAAAATCTTCTATTTACATGAAGCAGCTTTAGATTTAACATGGTAGGTACTAGGTTTTCTTTATTTAGATACTGCGTGGGATGGACCGTCTTCTTTCTTTAGTTCAGGGTTTTTCGCTAAGATGAGAAGTACGGGGGATAAATTTACGTATCCGTACGCTAAATTGTAAAGTGCCACGTACTTTTCGCTCAAAATTCTATACAATTTTTTTTTGTAATATGAAATTGTCAAGTGTCGACGCGATAGTTTGAAATTTTGAAGGTAATTAATAGTTTTCCGGTAATAATTAGGTGAGAATCAATATTCAAGGTAATAAAAAAATTAGGATAGAATAATTTAAGTCCGTTTTTGAAAAGATCGACGTTCATACTATACTAAGTCGTATGTTACATATATGTATATCTATTATATGTATTATTGTATATATATATAGATATTCAAGACTCATACACAGGTTTTACACACATTTTTTGGACTGTACCTACTTTTCAATACAAATTTAAAAGTACGTATGAAATATCGTATGATATCGTCGAATTTAGAAGTGTGTCTACTCCGTACTTCTCATCTTAGGTTTGTTGATATAGGTAATTTGAATTCAGATATTTAATTGCGGACAGAGGGTGGTTTTTCAGTTTCAGATCGTTTTCTACTGATTCCATATTTAACACAAACTGTAATTTATTATTAAGTTTTTTCGCTTTTTGAAATGCTAGGGTCGCTGCTTTTATAACTTATTCACAGACATAAATTACCAAGAATTTGGCGAAATTGTGCATACATAAATTTAAAATCCAATGTTGATTTTTCGTTTATCTGAATTGTTTGTTTTTTTTTTCAGAGTGATCAGTACTGCATCCAATTCATCGAATTCTTTCAAAGATTCCACAACGATCCGGATCACTCATCTCGCCAAACCATAAATCACAGATTTTCTCTTTATCCTGGCTTCAGCGATTTTATGAGACACTAGAAAATGATTTAAGCATAACCAGAAAATTTATATTTGAAATAATTTATCAAGTTGTTAAGTCATTTTAGCATTACATGTATTAAATCACACTCTTACTGATTCTCCGAATCAAAATAGAATAACCCAAAATTCCACTATAACATATTATATAATATATATTATATAGGGATACATGAAATGCCAACAGTAGCATCGGAGTTGCGCTTACTGCGGCCTTCAACAAGATGTGCTACAATCACATCACGACCGGCTGATTACAAGAGTACCGGGGGAGGTAGTGCTCTTTCAGGTGGCACCCACCACACCCCAAAACTAGCTCAAAATGGTCAGTCAAGTTTTGTTGATTCTAAATAATGTAAATTAATCTGAAATAGATATTGATAATTGTATAATCATAATTGTATAATCATAATTGTATAATCATAAATTATGTGATCTATAGGAAATGAAACGGCGGGTTACTGTCACAAACAATTATTATTATATATTGTTCGATGTGTTTTATATATTTAGAGGTATCATCATAAAATCCATACTTCATAAAAATAAGTTCTTATGTACATGTTACTCATGAGTCGCTTTAGATGGTTTGAACTGAATCTTTGGGTTTTGAGTTCTTTATGGCTATAAAGCGATGTATAAATTCCTACTTATTATTATTATTATTATAAAATATAAAATATATTAAAGCTTTTCCATATTATTATGTTACTAGTGTAACCCGTGCATACGGCCGGGACTTCACTATCGCAGTTGAAATGCAAAAGTATAAACCCGCCTATTATATTCGAAAACACATAAATTTACATTTTTGTAATTTTGTGCTAAAGTATGAACTCACTGAGATCAAACATACCTCAATTTCATTCTGAGTGCCTCCTATTAAGCTTATAGTATTACTATTACATAACAGGCTATCTTGTGGCTGATCCACTGCCAACTAACCTATTTATGCACTTGAAGCAACGCTGTAATGGGGGGACAGAGCGAGGAGGAGCGGAAGAGGGAGGAAAAGTGAGGCATTTTATGTCACATATGTGGTACAAAACCATAAATAATACCACCGGCCAATTAAAACACTTAAGCTGTTGGCTTGGGCTTCTTCAGAGTTGTGCTGGAAATATTCCGAAAAAACCAGGCCCATGCCCCATAACTCTTACCGTTTTCTTGATTAAGCCGTTCGTAAATTACAAACGAACAAACCCACAGATTTTTTAGGATGGGCGACAATAATTGACCCCCCGACAATTGACCCCCCGACAATTGACCCCCCGACAATTGACCCCCCGACATTTGACCCCCCGACAATTGACCCCCCGACAATTGACCCCCGACAATTGACCCCCCGACAATTGACCCCCGACAATCGACCCCCCGACAGTATAATTTAATACAATTAACCCTGACCCTGACCCTGACCCTGACCCTGACCCTGACCCTGACCCTGACCCTGACCCTGACCCTGACCCTGACCCTGACCCTGACCCTGACCCTGACCCTGACCCTGACCCTGACCCTGACCCTGACCCTGACCCTGACCCTGACCCTGACCCAGGACCCTGACCCAAGACTCTGACCCTGACCCTGACCCTGACCCTGACCCTGACCCTGACCCTGACCCTGACCCTGACCCTGACCCTGACCCTGACCCTGACCCTGACCCTGACCCTGACCCTGACCCTGACCCTGACCCTGACCCTGACCCGATCAATTGACCCCAGTGAAATTACATGGGGGGTCAATTGTCGGGGGGTCAATTGTCGTACTAAGTCCTAGATTTTACGACAATTGACCCCAGTGTAATTACATAGGGGGTCAATTGTCGGGGGGTCAATTGTCGGGGGGTCAATTGTCGCGGTACCATTTTTTAGATTATATATATAGATAGAACTATATCATATGGATTTGTTTACCACTTTGTAAGAGAACAATTTAGCTTAACACTGTTAGTATATCTTCAGTTGCTAACGCATTTCTAACGAGTCTAGGAGACTTTGACGATGCCGAAAGCCCTCTACCAGAAAAAAAGCTCTCAGGAGATGAGCTTATTTTTAAGCTCAAAGAGAAGATTAGGACCCATTACCCTGAAATCAAGCAGGTAGAGGATTGTCATCTTAAGAATTTAACCAACTGCAACAGTAGTTGTTTATTTACTGTTAGTAAAGTGTTGATACAATAGAGAGGTTCACATGAACCCAATCCACAGTACATATATATGGATGTGTAGCCTCTCATATAACCTGTATAATGTATATAACCTGTCAAGCGTCTTAAGGGGGCAGGGGGTCTTCATGGAAATTTTCTCAAAACCGAATTTTTAGTTGTTTCTAATAGAAGAGAGTAATATCTATCAGCTGCTTGTCACCAAGTCGTCGAGTAGTTATGGATTCATTGTATTGGATCTATGCGATCTCCTCGGTCGACTCAGCCGAATGATAGGAAACTTCATTGAGGGTTAAATGAGGAGGGGTGCCTGAAATGATATCCTTTCAGAACATCTACATTGTAGTGTACTGACTGTACTGTAAAAAAGGGCGGTCGAACTATTCGATGACCCTGTAGAGGAATCTACGAACTTTTCAAAATATCCAAATTAATTAATTAATTAAATCATATGATTTAAGGGTAGTTTACTATGTTAAATCATATGGGAATAGTTTACTATGTCAAGTTTGTCTTCATTATCTGATACTTATGTTTCTTCTTAAACATTATTTCTATTCTCGCATTATTCAACTGTTTTGGATTGATCATTTTCTCGCAGGCGTTCCATTCGTTTGATAGCGATCGAAGCAGTTTTGTTAGATTGGAGGATTTCCGTAAAGTTGTTGAAAACTTTGTTTTTCCCCTGACGAGATCCCAATTTGACGAGCTGATCAAAAAGATAGACGGAATTTCCAACCAGAGACTGAACTACAATCAGTTTATGTTTAAGATAAAGAAGGGTGGTTTGACGCGGGAAACACCGACAATGGGCAGAGTTACACCGGCCAATAATACTCTCGATAACGTTGTTTCTAAACTTCAACAAAAGGTAACATTGAAGTTCATTTTACAACTTTTGCTGGTTAAAAGGTTTTATTGCTGTCAGGAGCTATCGCTTCATCTCTTAAGAATAGTGCATAATCAGTGGTCACTAAAATATCTACCCTATTCCAGAAATATACGTTATGATTCTTCACGATCAATCGAGTTTTTCTTAGCCACAAGTTTGCTTTGGAAAAATAAATAATTAAGATCATGGTAACTTCAAAAATTATATGACATAAATATCATGATAGAAAATTGTTCAAAAATTAGCACAAAATACTTAGTACCTCCTAACATATATATAACTGATTAATGATTGTTGTAATTTTTGATCAACCATCATATAGAATTTATTATTAAATAATCTTTAATCTTTACTTTGCCAGAGAATAGAGATCAATGCTAGCTTATTGAGCCAGTAAAATTTTAACTATGCCAATAAGGCTCTCTAAGACTTTTTTAAGTCCTGTATGATCACTCACAAAAAGTAAAATACTGAACATAAAACGTGTTGCAAACACTTATACCAGCAAGGTCACATCGAAACAATTAATTTGTCACGGAAATTAATTTGTCACGGAAACTGTTGTGTTAATGAGTTCGCTATCGCTCTCGTCTGACAGAACAAATACAACAACGTTGCGACTGCGGTTCTCTTCATCAATAACGCGTTTGACTACGCTTTTCAGAGTTTCCGAGCTGCAGATTACTTGCTCGTTTGGTTGTGAATTGTGCACGATTGAACTGTACATTTGATATCCGGTTTTAACTGAGTCAACAACAGACGACTTGACTTTTCAAGTTGTTAAATCTTACAGTCTGAGAGCTCTGCCTGAACACTGATAAACTGCCTCTTACTTCCTATGAGACTGTTCTGCAGTAAATCGACCCCATTCCGTAGATCCTCATAGTCTATAAATTACCAACGAACTGAAACGAGTTAGAAAACAAAAAAACTAGCTCTTGCATGTTTAACTTGTTGAATGTCCCTCTTATCGATATCACTAATCCTGGATTATCACTAATTCTGACGTAAGGTTTTCTTCATTATACCCACCATCAATTCCAGTTAGTAACTCCCTTTTATTACAAGGTGAGGCTTTGGCGGTTAAACAAGCCGTGTCGGATATTAAACAGAGATCATAAGCTAAGCGATAACAGAGCTACAATTTAGCAACGAATGTAAAAGTATAATTACTGCAACGATAAAAGTGTAATTACTGCAACGAATGTAAAAGTATAATTACTGCAACGATAAAAGTGTAATTACTGCAACGAATGTAAAAGTATAATTACTGCAACGAATGTAAAAGTATAATTACTGCAACGATAAAAGTGTAATTACTGCAATTTTCAGTTGCAAGAGAATGGCCCAAAGATAAGTAAAGCTATGCGAATGTTCGATATCAAATTGGATGGCAAGATTAAAAGACCTGATATGAAACGAGTTATCGAGAACTTTGCTTTCCACATCACTAAAGAGCAATTCGAAAAGTGGGTGGATTAAAGTATTTCATAGATAAAAACAATTTTTGTTTATTCTATTTTAAGAGCAGTTGTTATTATTTCTGGCACAGTTTGATTTCATTATTCCTTCATAAAACCTTCCCCTTCTATAGGCTGTGTACCCACTACGAGGTACCACAAGGATCCTGTGACTACATGTCTTTTTTAAGATCAGTTGTAGCAACCCAGCTCCCCATTAAGTCTTCATCTTCTACTCCCACCCGATCTTTGGTGATTTATGAAGAGGGGGATGCGGAGAAACAGGCCGAGGAGGAGCCTGCCGAGGAACTGTGGTGTGAAACTGTACCGCTCGTTGAAGTTGAAATCAAACTTAGGAACAAGGTATATATTGTGCATTTTTGTTTTATTTTGTTATGGAGTTAGTTTCCGTTTCATCTAGCACTAGCAGCTAGTTCCTGATCGTCGATAAGCTAGGATGCCGGAACTTGCCGGAAAGTTAATATGAATCCCTTTTTTAACTTCTATTATTTAAAAATGTGACCATACGAATATTCAATAATTGTTTAAATTGGCAAGCACAAGCTTATTAGACCCTGATATCCGAAACTAAGGACCCAGCATGTAACCTAATTAAACGAAATCAGATCTTGAGACATCTCATTCGGTCCTGAGATGCAAACCTACCCGTCATGTTATCAGTTACTGGATTAATTTTCAACTGTTTTACAAATTTTCCGAAAATGTTTGAAATTTTCGATGTAAATAAATTACCTGATATTCATCACACTCAGAATACGATAACTCTTTTCTACTTTTAAGGGGGCCTCAGAATCCTTTAACTCGTTATTTGATGGTTCTAGATTCTTTTGCCGGTCATAGCCCTAAAATACGTTGCTTTAAATGGTAATTAGTTAAATTAGTACAGGCACTTGGTTACTGGGAAATGAGGTTAGGGTTAATTTTGGTTAGGCTAAATTTGGCACATTGTATGGAATTTTTGATGAATTGCCCAAATCATTATATTTCTGATTTTGGTTTGAAAGGCGGGAAAACTTAATATACGCGATATAATGAAGATACAGTTCATTAAAGTTAAGGGCAGTCGATGTTAACATTGTCACAAAAATGATAATTTTTCTAATCACTAAACATACTAAAGATGTGAAAAATTGACTTTCCCTGCCCAAACAGTATCAAGTTAGTATGTAAAAATTAACATAGGCTGCTATATCCCCTATATTAATCAATTCAAGCTATAAAAAGGAACTGTTGATGTGATAAAGAGATTATCTGATCATCTGACCAATGGCGCAACGTTAAATATTGACGCAGACGCCCCCCTTTCGCTCTTTCGGTGCCCCCTCCCCCTCTTAAAGTAGAAAGGTAAAATTGGACAAATTAGGTTATTTTAGAGGATACGCTGGTAAAATCTCTAAAAAAGTGCGTTTCTACTTCTAGATCAAAACGCGCAATTTTGCTAGTACTTTAGCAAGATTACTTTAGTTAAGTTTACTTTAGTTAATTTTACTTTAGTTAATTTTACTTTAGTTAAGTTTACTTTAGTTAAGTTTACTTAAGTTAAGTTTACTTTAGTTAAGTTTACTTAAGTTAAGTTTACTTTAGTTAAGTTTACTTTAGTTAAGTTTACTTTAGTTAAGTTTACTTTAGTTAAGTTTACTTTAGTTAAGTTCACTTTAGTTAAATTCACTTTAGTTAAGTTCACTTTAGTTAAGTTCACTTTAGTTAAGTTTACTTTAGTTAAGTAAACGTAACTAAATCGTCGTTTAGTGCTCCCTAAGATACTCAGATCAGCATTCCTTGTCAGGGTGCCCTAAATATTCGTCATACAATTTCTTAAATGTGTGACGGAATTAACCTGGGGGCATCATGTAAGCTTTCCGGTTAGAATCCGGCTAAAGAGCTTTAAAACTGAACTGGAGTTGATCACTACAAAGCTCAAAAATGTATAGATAATCAAACTTCAAAAAACTTTCTGTTTTCGTCGTATCAATTTACCAAAGGGTTCGTGACTCCTTATTAGAGTTATACTAAATATATCATACCCTTTAAGCAAGAAGGGGGAGGGGGGTCAAAATCATTCTTTGATAATAAATATGTGATAGAGCTGCTGGAGAGGACCAAATTTTTTTTAAAACGTATCAAAATTCGACCTGTAATTACTATTAATTACTTCTGGAACATCTCTAATTGGAACAGCTTTAACTGGAACAGCTTTTACTGGAACAGCTTTAACTGGAACAGCTTTAACTGGAACAGCTTTAACTGGAACAGCTTTACCTGGAACAGCTTTAACTGGAACACCTTTAACTGGAACAGCTTTAACTGGAACAGCTTTAACTGGAACAGCTTTAACTGGAACAGCTTTAACTGGAACAGCTTTAACTGGAACAGCTTTAACTGGAACAGCTTTAACTGGAACAGCTTTAACTGGAGCAGCTTTAACTGGAACAGCTTTAACTGGAACAGCTTTAACTGGAACAGCTTTAACTGGAACAGCTTTAACTGGAACAGCTTTAACTGGAACAGCTTTAACTGGAACAGCTTTAACTGGAACAGCTTTAACTGGAACAGCTTTAACTGGAACAGCTTTAACTGGAGCAGCTTTAACTGGAACAGCTTTACCTGGAACAGCTCTAACTGGAACAGCTTTAACTGGAACAGCTCTAACGTTTTTTGACCTTCCAGTTGAGAAAACCAGGCACTACCTGATATTGAGGTTTGGTACAGTGTTTCCATGGACAATTATCTAGAAAAGTGGTGTAGCGATTTCTTTTATTCGACTGGGTCCTTGAATCATGAGGTAAACTATTTAAAAAATGGTTAAATTCGCACTGTTGCTCCAGCAACTCTATCACATATCAATAATTTTTAAATAGACCCCCCCCCCCCCCCACATGATAAACTTAACTGATATGTGAATCCAACTCAGATAAAGCACAAGATACAGCTGCTGTTCAGAACGTTTAAATCTATGGATACGCACGGAGAAGGCTACATAACAATTGAACAACTCCGCAGGGCTCTTAACAAATTCGCTTTCCCAATGAATGACCAAGTTTTTAAAGCACTAATGGAAAGGTAATTTACCTGCGCAGTGCATTTACCTAGAGATTAACAATGTTTCAATCATCATGGCATGATACTTTAAATGTTTGCAGAATATCTGACAGTAACATTCTATGGAGAATTTAGCTTGATCGTTCAGGATGGATGTAAAGGCAAAGCACAAGCTTAGATACGAAGTTTTCCTACACAAAATGCAGGATAGAAGAGTAGGTGGTTACGGACAAACCCTCGTCATAAAACCGAATCATAGGTTCGTTTAATGATCATCCTAGACCTAATAGCTTCATAGGTGTCCCTAAAATTGGCGATTAAGTGACCTTTATTAATAACTCGCCTCAGTAACGACAGGCATGTGCTATATTATGAGCACTACCGAAAATAAGTCACCGGAAATTACTCACTCACTTCAAACGAGTATGAAGGGACTGGTTTGCCAAATCAGTCCCAAAGATATCACAAGAATTGCAACACATTCCCTCACCAGACACTACTAACTAAACTACTGCCTTTAAGTTTAAATCGACAACATTCTCCAAAAATTATCTAGCAGCTTGGATGTTGGACGAATTAAGGGGGCAGGGGGGGTCTTCATGAAAATTTTCTCAAAATCGAAATTATTGCCGGTCAAAGGTCAACGCGTTCGTGTAATTGTATTGCGCGAGCGATTTTTGATCGCACGCCCTGAAAATCGAGTCTAAAAATCTATCTTCTCCTACATTTTTTAAGCAATCACCCTGAAACTTTCAGGATATGTTCTAGGGATTATTTAGAAGAGATGAGCTTGACATAATTTTGAGATAGGCCTTTAAATAATTTTTGTTCGATTTTGAAAATCTTGGACCTCTTTTTTTGATGATTTTTTGAGGTCCAAGATTTTCAAAATCGAGTAAAAAAGCCTATCTCAAAATTCTGTCCGGCTCATCTCTTCTAAATGATCCCTAGAACATATCCTGAAAGTTTCATCCCTCAAAAAATGTAGGAGAAGATAGATTTTTAGACTCGATTTTCAGGGCGTGCGATCAAAAATCGCTCGCGCAATACAATTACACACACACACTGACCTTTGACCGGCAATAACTTCGGCTAGGAACAATAATTTTCCATGAGATCAAAAGCATCTAATAGATATCACTCCCCTCTATTAGAAACAACTAAAAAGTCGATTTTGAGAAAATTTCCATGAAGACCCCCCTGCCCCCTTAACACGAAGAAATAATTGAACTAATATTTTTTTAACTTACTTTCCTTAAAACACTAACTGACCTACATATGACATAACTCCATACCTTTGCGCTTAATCCCATTTATTAACTAAACTACTTACATATACTACAGGGTGGCCCAAAAGTAACTGCCCACACGCAACCCTTTAATAACTCACGTAATTCTTCTTAGAATTGCACAGAAATTTCAGAGATTATAGATATGGGTCAAACTTAGATTTCCTGAAAGTTTCGTCAAATTTGATTAATTACAGTGCAGTGGGTGTGGCACGCCAATCCCTCTTTTTTTGCTATTGTCACCATAAAGTGAGAGCGCTTTCAGCTAGGAACTTAAAAGTTTCTAGACATGTTTGGTTTGATAATTAAAGTGCTTTCCCAAAATTTGTTGGTTGTTTACAATTTAAACGAATTATGACCCTTCTAAGATATTGCAGATACGTGATCTTGGCACTTAAACAGGAAATCTAAGTTTGACCCATATCTATAATCTCTCAAATTTCTGTGCAATTCTAAGAAGAATTACGTGAGTTATTAAAGGGTTGCGTGTGGGCAGTTACTTTTGGGCCACCCTGTACTAAATAAAATCTTTAAAACTTTCGTTTTCTCCACAGGTTTCATCCAGTAGTAGAAAGCACTGAAGAGGTGAGCTTGGATACTCTCCTGGAGAAATTGAAAACTAAGATAATCAGTGGATATAGTTCCGTTAGACAAGCTTTCCTTGTGTTTGACGAGGTGAGCAATTATCTATACTAGCAGGAACCCGTCTAACCCTAAAGTGGTGTCAAGACTCGAGAGACTAAAATAATTATTACCTATTTAATTCGCGTTTTTGACACCACTTGGGAGTCCAAATTTTGGGCACTAAAATTATTATTCCTTGGCCAATTTTTTATTTTTTTCATGCTTATTTGAAGGCCATTAAAGCATTTGAACCAGTCAAAAAAGTTTCAGTTGTATATCTTTTACGGTTTTTGCGGAAAGTTGCGTTAAAGTTGATGCCGTGGTGTCAGTAAAATGGCACGGATATATATATATCGTCTCGCTTTATATATAGTAAGATTTAGCCTATTACCATGTACCTTAGAACGACAAATTTAGTCTACCATAAATTTTGTCAAAATTTTGACTAAAATTGTTGTAAACCAAATTTACTGAGACTAAATTTTTCGGCGACTAATTTAAAAGCAGACTAAAATTTCAGTAGAATTGATAAAGATAGCATTTTATTTTAAAATTTTTTATTTTATTACAAATTATCTGCTTTATTTCTTTATTGCAACAAATCATTTATTCAACCTGTCTGACGTTAAAATGTGACTAAAATTGTTGTAGACTAAAAATTTGCGAAGTTTGTGACTAAAATTAGTTTTTTAAAAGAATTTGAGGTAAAGTTAACCTCATATTTCAAGAACAGAGGCAAATATTAAAATTCTGTACAATAGAATCTTGTAAAACAGTCTAAGGAACACCTGTGCCAAGTTTCAGGTCCTGGGTGTGGCCAGTCTTTTCCAAAAGTTGAGCTCTATCTGGAAAAAAGATATTTAAAGTTTAAGTTAATTACATGTAATTAGAGCCTACATGTAAACCTCAAATTTTGGCGAGCAATATCTCAGCAACGCAAGGTCAGATTTGTATGCAGTTTTTTTCTACTTGTTCATCTTCAGCAGCTGGATCACAAGTGTAAAATGGAAAAATGATAATTTACCCCCCTCTACTCTGGCCTTAAAAGGTTGTGTTGCTTTATTACCCTCCTCTACTCTGGCCTTAAAAGGTTGTGTTGCTTTATTTTTTGGACTTCAGACAAAACAAAATAAAATTTCGATAGGAATGTGCTAAGATCTTTTCGTACAACAACTTTTCGTGCAAAATTCCAGCTCGATATCATAAGAAATGGCTGAGTTACACCCTCCCAATCAAACAAAACTGTAATTTCCGAGAAATATTCTTAAACCATAAAATTGCCAATTACAGAAATAAGTGTTCTCAAAAAACTGTTCGGTGTAAAAATGATATGCAAGATGGTCGTTGAACTTCCTGTGAAGTAATTTGGGCTCTATTAAGTATTAAGGGGTCCAGCATGATATTCTGTGAATCTTGTTTTTAAGATGGCTGGCAGTTCACCTCGGACAAATTTTGGAATTTGGCTGCCAAATCTTTTACACGCCTAAATTGAAAATCACCGCCTGCTATGCGATTCTACACCGATGTCATGCAAAAATATTAAAAGCTCATAGATTTATTTCAACTTTGGTGAGATAACTTGCGCGAATATTGCAAACTGAGATATAAACAATTCTGTTCATTTTTGGCGGGCTTTTCGCCCATCCATCTTTAAACAAATTGTAAGCTTTTTTTGTATGGGCCCAACGTTAATGTGGCTTCTTCTATGTATTGGTTCAGTCGAATTAATTATTATATTAAATCAAGTTTATTTTACTAGTTAAGTTAGTTGTCATACGGCCACACAGTATGCGAATTATATTGCAATACCACTTTTTTCATTAGTTGTACATCAAACACTGGTGTTATTTTGCATGGCTGAAATGTAACGCTTGATTCCCATATACAATTATAATAATTAATTGAATTTTCAAATAAAATATATCATAGGGAATATTTATTTTATGCTAACCTTTAAGGCCACAGGGGGGGGGGGGGGTCCGAGGTCAATTTTGAGATTTTGAGATATGTTGTAGAGCTCGATCTAAATTTTCAAATGCTTTTGTCCTTACCGAAAACAAAGTTTCCTATTTGAAGATATTACGCGTTGAATTTTGAGGTTTACCTGTAATTCTATTGTAAATGAAAACTTTAAATGAAATTGTGTTCAAAATCTATCTTCTTTTTCAGTTTATGACTTAGAACCTTGTAACTTGGCAACAATGTTCTTCAAGGTATTTTGAGTTTTTCTTATGTAACGATTTATGATATCTTGCTCCAAAGCTGAGATATGAGGTTAACCATGAGTGCGGGTTACAAAATTTAAAATGGTTAACCTCATAAAAAGAGTTAGGAGCAAAATTACAACATTCGTTACATAACAAATTATCAAATTTTTGTCAGGAACATAAGTTCCTAATTTGAGGTGAAAAGGATAAAAGCTCTAGGAGAAGATAGGTTTTTGAGGTGGTAAATAAATTGTTCAGGAGAGTCAAAAGACTGATTCTGAGAAAATATGTTAACCTCAATTTTCCAACAAATAAAGGACATATTATAATAGTTTTGTTCACATTGGATGGCCAATTGATACCCATTGATAAGTTTAACTTGTGATGAGAGCAACAAAATGTTAAGAACTGGTTATTTGTGAGGTTAACTGATTAAAAAGGCAATAGTTAACCTCAATTTTACGACAAACTAGGCGCTCTGGGGGGCTAAGGGTGGTGTGCAAGCGTCAGATAGTATGTGGTCTACCAACTGGCAAAAAACGTTTTTTCGACCTCGGACCCCCCCCCCCCCCTGTGGCCTTAACTTTAATATGAATTTCAAAATAGGTTCCGTTCAAAAATATTGATACTTGACCAATTTGTGGACTAAAAGCTATCAAAATATTTGGTGCGTATGCCCAAATATGGGCATATGGTTTTTGGCTCATAACTTGGCCAATTTGTCCAATCTTGATGAAACTTTATATACAAGTTCAGGAGACGACAAGCTTCAAGTTCAAGTATACCCATAAGCTTTGTTTTGGGCATGTTTGAAGTCGAGGTGATTGGAAATTGGCATTAGGCATAATTGGGCCAAAAATGAGCATGGCGGGCACCCGGGGTCCGTGACCCCTCGAATTTTGGTTACGGGTCCGGGTCCTCGTTTGTTGAACAACTGCTATCTCGAAAACAAGTTTCACAAAAAAATCAGGTTGGATTTATATATACAACTGCGTGCTATCACCGCTATTCAAATTGTTCTATTTTTCCAGAATAGAAGCGGAAAGATTTCGAGAAAAGATTTTAAAAACGTGATAGATGGTTTCTGTTTTCGAATGACGGAATCGCAGTTCGCCAAATTGATGACAATTCTCGATCCTGGAAGCAAAGGGTCGGTCTCGTATCTCAACTTCTTCAAACTTTTCGAGGACTCAGAATCCAGTGTGAGTCTTTTGTTTTTTGAGGGCCAGGGTATTCTCATGGGCAAAAAATGGCTAATTTTAGTTCTTGTAATCTCAATTAAAACACCAGTTAATCTTTTTTCTGTGTTTTTCAGGCAGCTCACAAGTGGCTGAATTCAGTGCATCGTACAAACCCACATAAGACTCCTAAACACTTGGGAGACTCTGAATTCGAGAAACTGCTTGCCAAGAAAATAACGGACGAGAGCAAGATGGTAGCACTGGCATTTCAGCAATACGACAAAGATAACACTGGTACTGTTAGCAAAAACCAGCTGAAAAAGTTTTTGGAGAGATTCAATATTCCTTTCTCCCAGGTTTGGTGTTCGTTTCTTATGTAGATAAGCTACATTTCTTTGAAATAATTCTTTTTGATCGGTAATAACAAAAGACAGTTACGTCTTTTTTAAATGAACAGATTTTGAATTTGAATTTCAATCTTTGAGTCTAATTATATTATCAGGCGCAGTTTGACAAATTAGCCGATCGGTGTGCCCTAAATTCTGACGATACAATAATGTTTTACGACTTCATGAAAGTGTTAGGTGCAGATATAGTTGGAGGTGACCGCGGCTTGAGTCACAAAATTGCAGAAGAAACTGTTGCCTCGGAATTTGAGAGGTAATAAAAGCATATTATATCATCTTCGGAGTCAGTCGATGAATTAATCCAATATTAATATCCAATGATTTATATAATATTATATGTTTCTCTGAGCGGTGGTTTTCTTGCAACATCTCCGGGGGATCATATGGTCAGAATCGTACGTGACGTTGGGTGGGTGGGTGGGTCATATTTTCTTCCAAAACGCAGTTAGTACTCTTGTACTAAGTGGTGGGTCTGCTGCTCATTTCCCTGAAAAACAGTTAGTACATGGTACATGGTTTTTTTGGGTGTCCAACCCCAAAAAACCTATTTTACCTCGAATTTCAATTTTGGGAATGGGTTTTGAGGTTTTTTTGAGTTTTTTGTAATTTTTAAAATTTTGTTGTAACTTTTTATCTAATTTGACTACCTTACAAGACATATTTATGGCGGCCTAATTTGCGACGACAGAAATTTTGGCGGTCCGAAAATATGGCGAAATTGAACAAAAACCGTCAAATTTCGGACGTCACAGAAAATAAGGGTATTTTTCATCATTTTTTGTGACAGTAAGCAGTAAGGAAATTTCTGAAATTCGGTAAAATCATGTTCAAACTTAGTCTGTACTCTGTATTAAAGACTTTCATGTTAGCACATACATGTATTTTAATGCAAATTTAAACTGTATTGCTTGACATTCAATTCGTCATTGGTGTGGTGATAATTTGTCCCAAGATGCCAGAATTTATTTATTTATTTTACTTGATATTACTTTTTAGAAACAAAATAAAGCAGTGAAGGCACAGTCATTGAAATAAGCTAAAAGATAATGCGACGGATTCTATTACGACGACCGAAATTTTGGCGGTCCGAAAATATGGCGAAATTTTCGGAAAACCGCCACATTTCGTACGTTATAAATATGTCTTGTAAGGTACATTGAAAACAAAACCCCGACTAAATAGTGGGTATAATTTGCCCATTTCCAATGTTAAATGAGCTGGACAGAGGCACATATTAGGTGCGGTAAAAAAATCGAAATTATGCGGTACCGCACCCGACTATAAAGGTAAAATGTGCGGTAAGGTGCGGTAAATTTTTACCAATTATGCGGCAATTATGCGATTTTTTCGAAATTTGTGCGGGAATTGTGCGGTTTTCTTTTGCATTTTCTGAAGGACTTTGGAAATTCTAAACGTATAACCGCCGCTCTTATCAAAAATAGGTCTGTTTATGTGTTACTGAGGGTGTAGTTCTTTACTAAGACCATGATTGAACGTATATTGAGATTCAGTTATCTGAGAACAGCGACTTGATCTGGTAGAGATCAGGAGACAGTTATTTGAAGACGCCTCTTGATAGAGTCGATCAGATCCCATGCGTGATCGCAAATATGTGACACGCTTGTTGGCATTGATCGTCAGTACTTGTAAACCATTTGATCAAAGATCCATTAAGCCCACTATAAAGCCAACGCTACAACGAACAGAGCTCATTACCCGATAAAAAGGGCTGCAGTTATGATCGAAGTACGGTAACGACGAGGGTTCCATAACGGCCTGGGTCACGGTCCCGAAAGGGCCTGGGTCACGGTCCCGAAAGGGCCTGGGTAACGGTCCCGAAAGGGCCTGGGTCATGGTCCCGAAAGGGCCTGGGTCACGTGGTAACCGGGTCACGTGGCCTAGGCAGGAGTTCCAAAAGGGCCTGGGTCACGCTCCCGAAAGGGCCTGGGTCAGGGTCCCGAAAGGGCCTGGGTCACGTGGTAACTGGGTCACGTGGCCTAGGTATGAGTTCCAAAAGGGCCTGGGTCACGGTCCCGAAAGGGCCTGAGTCACGGTCCTAAAAGGGCCTGAGTCACGGTCCCGAAAGGGCCCGACTTTTAACATATTTTGGTTTTTACACTCGAAAATCTTAACGTGAAAATTTCAAAATTATGCGAAATTACGCGGAAAATGCTAGATTATGCGGAAATATGCAGAAAATTACAAAATGTGCGGAAAACAATAAATTATGCGGAAATGTGCGTAAAACGGTAAATTGTGCGATCCCGCACCCATCGCACCTAATATGTGCCTCTGGAGCTGTTTAAAGCAATTTATGGGTGAGTATCTTATTTTATATACCCAGACTCAGTTAGTACCGCAAAAGCCGGCAAAAGGGGGTGGGTGTCCTAAATATTATCTGAAAAATCAGTTAGTACTGTGAAGGGGGTGGGTGGGTCCTTTTTGTAAAGTCCAAACTGCACTTAGTCGACGTCACGTACGGCACTTAGTACCTTAAGGGACAGTTTAAATGGGAAAGCTTTTAGAAGAGCTCTAAAAGATTCCAGGGATGTATAGATTATGTGAATTGTGATATATCACATTTTAAGGATTTTAAATTTAAACTGTACTCTGTAGCACTACACAAAGAAACTACACAGTATGTATTTCAGGATGCAAAAGCATAGAGAAAAGTTGGAGGTTGTAGCACAGCGTGCGTTGGATCACACCAAATCACAGAGTACTGGTGAGATATTGGGGCAGCTTCAGGATTACCTACATCAGCGTGCAAGCGATATGCGCAAACTGTTCGTAAGATATGACGAAAACGGATCGGGACGCATCACGCGAGCTCATTTCAAGAAGGTTGGTATACTCTTGAATTCACGGAAATCTAGTTTACTGTCCGGAATCTTTCTATTTCAACGAAGCATGTATATCTGTGCGACTGTCATCGACTTAAACAAAAATCACTTTATTAACCCGTTTTTCAGTTTTTGTTAAAAGCTGGGTTCGTCATGGATGATGTTCAGTTTAAAGAGTTGTGCACAGTGATCAAAGTCGGTAAGTCCTTATCCTATCAGGACTTCCTAGATCATTTCCAACGTATGAACAATGACGAATATGGCGAGAAAATGAGGACATCATGGGTAAGAGAGATTTTTTCGAGGAGCCTTCCATTTTGCTGTTGATTACAGGATATTCTAAACAATTTAGATAATGATATGGCTTTGTTTTAAAAGCTTGCTAATGAATACATTGTCAGTGTTCATTTAATATACAATATACATTAAATACAATATACATATATAAGGGGCAAGGGGACATTTTAACTTTAGCTAGGAACAATATTTTTCGATGGGACCAAATGCAGCTGATAGATATCACTCCTATCCCCACTATTAAAAACTACTAAAAAGTTGATTTCGAGGAAATGTTCACGAAGACCCCTACCCCCTTAACGTGAAAAAAAAACACCAGGCACCAAAGATCATTCCGGGGGCACCAGTTGAAGGTTTGTCTTGTGAAGAAGGGATGAAATTGTTTAACTCCAAGATCCAGAACAGTTACAGAAACTTAAGGGCTGCGTTCCACGCCATGGACAGAGACAGTGACGGGCTGGTCAACAGGACGGACTTGGTTTCTTTGCTGACAAAGCTTCTGATCCCTATGAAGAGAGAAGATATCAATGATATGTGGGCTAAGATATCTGACGGTAGGTGAAGTGCGAGTTAACTTTATTGAGTAAAATTACTTGATATTTTTGTATTTCTTTTCGTCCATGGAGTTTGTGGTGCCACAAAAATCAAATGGATGAAGGATTAGAAATGCTTTTCCCATTCATTCACGGCTTGTGAATTGTAATGAGTTTATGTTTTTTACATCAAGCACACTCTGTAGGAATCTGTTTGGGTTGCTTTCGGGTCGATACCTAGCGTACTTGGGGATAAGGGCGGTAGTTAATGTGTCCAATGAGCTGAGGTTTATCGAATCGTTATTGCCGAGTACTACCTCCGGGTAATGCTTTTCACCCAATGACAAAACTATGTGGATCCTTGGAGTCTCACTCTACTAACTGAAACTATTGTATTACAAACTACAAGCAAATTTTGATCTCGAATGAACCCTTTAATCCCAAAATTACTATTGTGAAAGTTACCGTGCACTTGCCAGAGCCCAACAATTGTGAACACTATTCTATCTGAAAGACGTTAGTTAAAGTTACCAGAAGCTTCTTGCTGCTTCAAAAAAGATAAAGTAGAGTCATAGCCTAAAATAGTTAATATCACGTGAACAAAATCAAGAGACACTTGCCAGGGCCCAATTAAAAAAACCTCAAATTATTTACTCATATGTCAAGAAGAACACGACAGTTATCATTTGCTTCTTACCGCATCAAAACTATCCTTCCTAGCTTAAGATAGCGCCAAAATAATTTGTATCCCGTGACAAAAACGATAGGCACTTGCCAGGGCCATTTAAAAATGTAACGTACAATAATACAGTAACTCAATGAGAAGATGATAAGCTATCAACTGCTTTTTATCACATCAAAAAATTTTGTTAGAAATTCTCATCTTTCCGACGCGGACGTACGACTTTGAGTGGAAGTTGCGTGCGCATCCAATGTTTAGTTGAATCATCGTAAATTTTAGTATGTGTGTAGTTTATATTCTGTTTGACGAGTATCTAAAGTTTTTAAGTAAAACTCTAATCACGACGGGACCCCAAAGTTTAGACAAATCGTGAAAATATCACTTTCAGTGATTTTAGCGATTTTCAATCGATTTTGGTCCTACGTGTGAAATTTTTAGATTTTTAACTTTTAAACTTTTAAAGTAGCCTATGATACAATATCATAGGCTATATAAAGTCTATAAATAGTCTATAAATAAAAGTCTATAAATAAAGTCTATATTTGCCTCTGAAAGCACGTTTACAAATGCATCACAGCTTTGTGCAGTCTCACCTTAATTACTGCTCCCTCGTATGGGGTTTTGCTGCCAAGTCCCATATAGGTCTTAGAGCAGTACTACTTGGTTTCGTTAATTACTGGTACAAGGATGGTACTCCACCAGCAATTACCAAGTCCGGCTTCTATGTACACAAAATATTAACAGTTCACAGTATCATCGTGAAGAATGACTAGTCTTTATGCATAAGTTGAAAGTCTAGTGCCCACTTCTATAAAGAAAAAAATGCCTAACAGTGCACCAATATTCAACGTCGCCGACCCGGATTCGAGTCTCACATCACAATGGTCAGATGAATACGGTAAACATCCTTACAATAATGCAGTATTCTATAAATGTCCATTATTAGCAATAAACCGATATAGTGTCGCAGCAACTTCTTTGCCGAGTCTCTTCGACCCTAACATCTATAAAAGGTGCATGCTTATTGATCAACAAAACGAGGGCATTGCAGACGAATGGCCCAACTTTATGTTATATAATGATATAGCGGGACTAAGGAAATAAAAGCGGAACATTAACCGTAATGGCAATGCTGATAACAACCTCGTCTTAATACCATAGGCACGTCCGCAAGCATTACCGAATCAATTTCACCGGTTGACTCGGTCCTTTCAATTCGTAATAATTGTTATATACATATATTTTTGAGTAAACATTGGCTGGTACTTCGGGCCGGTCCCCAACAAATATATGTGTGATATAACAGTATTTATTCTTAAGCATTATTTCTCGACATGAAACTTAACCATTGCTACAGATTATGTTATTTTAACAAATACTGATCACGAATCTGTCTCCATAGACTATAAAGGTCGAGACGGGAATAATAGCGGCCGTTCACAAATCAAGACTTACGCACGCATTTCCCGTTTATATGCTTTTTTAGTAAGTTAATAAAATTACCTACTGAAAGCATGATCATTAACTCCTTGATACTGAAGGAAAGAAGAGAGTGAACGTACAACAGTTTGTGACAGTGTTCGAGGAAACAGAGGATGTAGCTAACCACAAGTGGCTTGTATCAGTGCACAGGTCTAACGACATTATACTTCCTGATAGAATGACTGGAGAAGCGGTTCTCAAAACCTTTCGAATGAAGGCCCTTGATCAATATTATTCTCTCAGTAAGGTTTGTGTGTTCCTCGTTTTGATATTTTGTTATTTTTAGGTATAACCCCGAATACTTATTCTCTATAAGTATTCTCTATAAATATTCCCTACATTGCCGAAGGCAATGTAGGGAAAAAATCAATGGATCCTTGATAAAGGTTGATGAAGGTTGATTACTGTCTTGAAAAAGAAGATTAACCTAATCTTTTCAGTGTTTCATGTCGCTGGATAAGGATGGGAAAGGAAAACTCAGCAAGAAGAAATTAAAACAAGCTCTACACGACTTCTGTATTCCGATCAGTAACGAAGAATTCCAGAAACTTTGGCTCCAGTAAGCGGTTAAAATGTTGTCTGTTAGAACTAGACCCTGAGATCACCAAAAATGAAACCCTCTGCCCGAGTACACTATGAATTATAACTTGTGACTAGTTTTAACCAATTCCCTAACTAACTATTAAGTAGGGGGGGGGGGGGTCATGACTATTTTTTAATGTCCCGACGAAAATGCCAAATTCTCATTCTTAAAAATTATTTTTGAGTATTTTTGAGAAAAGTTTCCAGGAGAGGCGAATACTCATTCTCAACAAGAATTTCGCCGCGGTTAAACCACGCACGATCAATTTTCCTTACGATGTACTTGTACCATTAATTCTTTTAAGTGCAAAGTTTGACTGGAAAAAATTGCAACATATTTACATACTATGTTCTTTATAAATGAGTGGGATTCGTGCATGGTAAAAATTTACGATTAATTTGACCAATGCAGCGCCGCGCATCAACATTAAATGAATCCAGAAAATTGCGGAAAATAACTTTGCGAGGAGGAATTTCACTGTAATTAATTAACACATGGCTAGCATCGCGCGCAGCATAACAGACGCTTCCTATACAATTAATTATAGGGGAGTGATCTATATTGCGAAGGAGCAGACTTTTGTCATCAACGTAGGACCGTCGGGCCACCTCATATATAATATATCCAAACCCGATTACTTATTCCCTACGATCTTTTTGCCTTCGGCAAGAGTAGGGAAAAAAATTGATTTTGAGTATTTTTGGACCACATTGCACTGATATGAAGAATGATTCGGTTATCGGTATATCACTATTTTTGAGTGGAAAATCCTGAATTTATCAGATTCAAAAATAATTTTTGAGACATTTTTGAGTATTCCCGGCGAAAATGGTCAAATTTTCAGATTCACAAATTCTCAAAAATACTCATGACCCCCCCCCCCCCCCCCCCCCCCCCCCCCCCCCCCCCCCCCCCCCCCCTAAGTATTAATTCTTTAGTTACCCCGGTTGCTATACTACCATGTTTGTTGTGATAGGAGATTATTTTTTTCAGTTTCGATGATGATCGCACTGGATTCATAGACCACGAGCAATTTGTCCGAAGAGCTGCCGACGACTTCAACCCGGGAGATAACGCTGGCACTAGCACAAACATAGTGACAAACAGCCAGGATGCAGCCACTGACTTTAACACCGGACAGCTTTGTAGACGAGAGGACCTCCTTCTTAATCAGATAAACACGCTACAGTGCATGAGTAATGATGACTTGGAAAATAAATTCAGGTTATAATCTTTATTAAGTGAACCTGGCTAACATCGTGTCCATTAACATTCAGTTTAACATTTTAACATTAAATAACATTTACATTAATTCCCTTGATTAAGTTTCATGTCAGCTCATAGAAGTAGTATTGAACTAACAAGTTGGTGGAGTGATGTTAAGGTGGTACTAAGTACTTTCCACGAATGACACTATTGTACGGCGCATGAAAATTTTACGCCGACGGCGTAACTTGATGAAACCATATTTTTGGAAGCTAATTTTAGTCACAAAGGAGCCTTGGGACCAAAATTGGGTAAGATAGTGTGAATGAACCATCGTAGTTAGTTACTACATATAGTGACGCCTAACATTGTGTGTTTCCCTTCGTGTCCAAATGCAATATATAGTGACTATATCATATATATATATATATAATATATATATACTAGAAACCCGCTAGTCAAAAGCTTTGTTCGAGGAAATTTGAAAAATCATTTATGTTGAAATTTCTCTAATCTCTTCATCATCACAGCGTTGTTAGTCTTTGGATTCCCTAAACGATACTTTTTACCGCATCAAAAAATATCGATCACAACCAAAGCTATGAATAGTCATAGCGTGAGCGTAAATGTGAGCTTGAGTCATGACGTTTCATAAAGCATGGCAACGCGCGTTGCTAATATGTTCTTGCTCGTGCACGTGCAATCTCTTGATGTTGCTAAGCAACGACGCAGGTAACCTTTGATGAAACATCGCCATTATTCTAACGTTAAATTTACCTCACTTCCGATGTTAATTATACAAAATCTTAAGCCTCAATCAAAATTCTAAGAATGCTGTCTTCTATTCCTGTCCTTTTTCTACAACCCTGGTAAAAATCGCGAGGTTCCAACTCCATTTGCGAGCTAAAATTGGTCAGGAAGAAGGGTCGGTTTTTGGTCAATTTTCATGTCCCCGTTGCCGGGGGGATTTCGTCAAGTTTATCGGCGACATCTGTCCGACAGCGACATCTGTCCGACTCAGAAAATAGGTTATTCGGACAATAGTTTATGTCGGATCCTACCCAACGATTTTCTTGAAACTTTCCATAAAGTATGGTGGTTATAGGACGGATAATCTGTGTAAGTTTGAGCGAGTTTCTATGTGCCAAATTTGAGATATCACCTTTTAAACACAAAAAATATCTCCAATTCGGTGGTTTGCAGTGGTACCAAGGCATTTATCTGGAGATCCAACGATACAATTTTCTTGAAACTTTCTAGATAGTAAGATAGCTTTAAGACAAATAATTTGTGCAAGTTTGGGTGAATTTGTGTCAAATTTGAGATATCACTTCAAACACAAGAAAATAGTGCTGTCGGACAGATGTCGCTGTCGGACAGATGTCGTGTTACCGTTACAAGTTAGGGTATGGAAGCTGAAAGTCGCAAAAATGCACAAGGCTCGTGTATAAAGCCCTAAATCGAATTCCTCAATTTGTTCCGTTCATTTCGAAGACAGCCTATATACCTACATATGCTATAGTTATTTTTATGGCGTTTTGGAAGCTCCAAAATGTCATCATCGCGATAATTTTCATTTTTGTTCATTCTATGAAAATGCGGCAATTTTCTTGAAAACAGTTTATGTTTTTTGGTTGTTCAACCAAACAACATAATAAAAGCTTCATTTTGTAGACTTGAAATTGCCAAAAAAATGTTCCAAGATCTGTCCCACTTGTCTCAAAAGTCCGGACTCGACTACTAAGACGGCGCGCGCGGTACGTTTTTATTGATTAAAATACTTTGCCTCTCGCAGTGTTTTGCCAGTTAAATTATTATTTTATTTTGTTCTATGTTATCACCATCACGTTGCTACGTAAACACGCCAGCAAAGAAAGCACATCTTGATCACGTTCGTTATAATAAGGCATAATTATTTTCAGGCTCAACATGCATGAGCATTACCCTAGCTTGAGATCGGCGTTCAAGGCTGCCGATCGTGAAAATCTGGGCTACCTCCGTAAAATGGATCTGAGGCGAATTCTGTTTGACTTTAACTTTCTGGTCGACGACGATCAGTTTGAATTTATTATAAAACGCTGTGGTATGGACAAAAAGTCTAGGATGAGCTACGAAAAGTTCCTCAACTTCTTCGAAAGTGCCCAATCTACTCCACCAGGCATTGACAACTTCGATGCAGTCGAAAACAGGCAAGTTATTCTCATCTTTAAATCTTGTTGTCAGTGTTCATCAAGGTTATACATCATTTCAAGTATCATTTACAGTGGGGTGACACATGGGGGGATTACTACACATGATTACATAAACGTGGAATGCTGCAACAGTAAACAAGTTAAATGATGTGAAGTGTGTAGGTATGTATCTAGTGTGAAGCAAAAATGGCGGGAATGGCATTGACCAATGGGGAGTGCGAAACGTGGGAGCTAAATATGGTTTGATTGAGAAATTGGAGTAGGTAATGTGTTATACTACTGCGAATCGGAAGTGTGCGTCATGTGTGAAAGGTGGGTCCCTCACTGAAAAAGTAAACAAACCTATATAAATATCACTTCATGTGTAGACGAGCCCCTGTACTGAAAAGTATAAAATATGTTACACCCTGTTATTATGTACATACTTGTAACTAAAATCTTGTAATATAATGGTTTCTAGCTCATCTCTGATCTCTCTCATTATAATGCTACTGCTAGGTTTAAACTTCAAAATAAGCATTGCCTCTCTGTTATCTTTCTTCTTGCTGTGTTGCTTTCCGGATTTTGCCCTCCCCCTCCCACCTCCCGACATAATATGTTTTGGCCATTTCTAATCATCACGATACAAACAGTTAAGGCCAGAGGGGGGGGGGGGTAAACAGTCAATCAAATTTACAAAAATTTTATTCTTTAAATAAATTCATTTTTTGATGACCAAAATTTAGCTGATATTCACATATTTGTAGCTGCTTAACTTTTTTTGATAAACGAGGTTAACCGATTCTTTACTCCTAATTTTCTTTTTTTTTAACAGTTAACCTCATATTTCAAGAACAGAGGCAAATCTAAATTCTAGGTTAAGTTCATAATTTTCATATTTATTTCCATTAATCTGTCTTTACTGCGTCTATTCAGAAACAATCAGAAATTTGAATGAAAGAAACATCACCAAACTTTGTATTAAAGGATGGATCAATAAAGGGGGGGGGGGGGGGGGGGGGGTGTCAACCATATTAAAGTATATTAAAGTATATCCCCGGGTCAAAATCGGAAAAAATCCTACATTTTAATATACTTTAATATACCTACAATTAGAAGATTTATATTCTTCGTTAAGATTTACATGATGAACTATATTTTTCACTCAGATTCGCAAGATAAGCCTGTTTTAGGACTAGTACATGAATTTCCATCCAGATTGGTCAAAAATTGGCTGAGCTATGAGCTTAAAAAAATATGCCCATATTTGGGCATACGCTTTTGCCCAAATTCGCTTTTGCCCAAATTCGATAAAATTTCAATATTTTTTAATGAGACTAACTCTATGTGAAAGATATAACTCAGTGTTTGTTGAATATAGTGGATACTAAGTAAAAAGACCTCCATGAACAAAATTGGGAAAATTGCACATAATATCTCGGTTCGGAATACTAGCCAAAATGACTTCATTAAAATTGAAATAACTCCATCAGTTTTCAATATTTTTTCAAGAACTTTTTGGAATCGATTAAGAATTGCATTTCAAGCTTATTTTGGGCAACAATTTTTGATGTAGGCCTCCAAGGAGATAGGGATATATTAAAGTATATTGTAGGTATATTAAAGTATATTAAAGTATATCCCCGGGTCAAAATCGGGAAAAATCCTACATTTTAATATACTTTAATATGGTTGGCCCCCCCCCCCCCCCCCCCCCCCCCCCAATAAAGTTCCAATGAGTGGCCATGATGTGACTTCAGAGTACCTGAGCATATCTTGCAGATAAGCTGACCTGTCAATCCTATTAAGGACTTGTGAGATAGCAGTAAGATTTTGAATGCAACCCTTTTCTTAACATCTATAGCCAGTGATGATTTATTAGGTCATCCTTAAGATGGTATTGCTTTTCCCCAAGTTTGGAGAATAAATAGGTTAAACTGGGATTGCCCCATCCCAGCGACCACATCACCCCTAATAAACCATTAAATAGCATGGGAGACAATGCAGAGCCTCGAATTATAGTGCAATGACTTCGAATAAACCGATTTTGCCTTTTGTTGGCTGCCCGAATGAGGAAAAATGAGGTTGGAGCCCCCCTAGATATATTTAGCGGTAAAAAATTGTATTATTAACTAAAAGATTTATGTTGATTAGTATTTAATGAGTCATTTAATTTTATGCTTCAACAGGATTGCTCCACATATTTCTTCCTACCCGGATATCAGTCCGACCGAAGCGGAAGTCCGAATGAGATACTGTATCTCTGAGATAAAGGATGTGTTGTTGCAAGCGTTCGGAGCGGTGGACCTCCTGGAGTATGCGAGTGTGGGGGCGGATGTTGTGAGACGAGTTTTGGATAACTTCTGTTTCATCATGACTAACAAACAGTTTAATGTGAGTATAATAATATGTTAATTGGTGGTTTACAATTTCTCTCTGTTGGTCGATATTGATACACCAAGATGAAATTCAATCTGCACACGTTTGGGCTTACTACTCAATCCCTGAAATGCCCGATTTAGATAATTATTTTCGGTATGACTTGCTATCATCACTCATAAATGAGAAATCCATCAAATCAATTAAGAATTATGTTCCAGCTTCACTCGATTATCTCTTACAACACTTTGACTATTACAATAGTGTAATAGATATTATCATAGCTGAGGATATCTTTGTTGCTAGTTAACAGAAAGTTATATTATAGGCTGAATTTTGAAATAAATTCGTTAAGTTCGCCGCGCCACATTTTTTTAAATTCGTTAAAATTCGTGAAACATTCTGCTATCAATTTTAACCGTATTTTTTTTGTTAAAATCTTCACGAAATTTTTCTCGGAATTTATTTTTATAGTTGTTTATGGACCACGGGGAGAGGTTTCTATCAGCTGCTTTTGGTCCCATGAAATATATTGTTCCTAGCCGGTCAAAGTTTATATTATGTAGTTATACTGCGCGAGCGAATTTAAATTGTGCGCCCTGAAAATAGAGTCTAAAAATCTATCTTCTCCTACCGTTTAAATCGAAAATTACCTTTACTTGCATCATTCAGAATATGTACTATGTTATATGTACATATATTCCAGTCATTTAAAGACATCTACCTGCAAATCTTCAGATACTCCTGAAACTTTGCACAATTTTTTTTGCCATGGCCAACGCCCAGGAGGGCCCACCCAACTGTCCCTTTGCTTCTAAATATCATAGAGACTTCGAAATAGACTTAAAGTAAGCCGCATATGTATGTTAGGGGGGGGGGGACTAGAGAAAATGTGCACAAAATAGAGCAAAATTGGTTAAATTTGCCATTTTTGCCTCCCGTTCTATGATAACTCGAAAAGTAAGCATTTTAGGGTACATGTTGCTTCATAAGTTGTATATAAACATCAGGCACGTAGCCAAGGGGGGGGGGGGGGCAAGGGGTCTGCGACTCAACCCCCCCCCCCCCCCCCCCCTCAAAAAATCATAAATGGTTACTGCGAAATAAAAAGTATTTCAGTTACTCAGTAGTGTGAACTCTGTGTAGGTATTTATTTTCAGACTGTTCTCACTTGCTATAAATGGATAATATTGCCCTCAAAATTGTTTAAACCGACTTTTTATAAATTGAATATTGAGACTAGTGCATTAATTCATCATTATAGATTTTATTCGCGAGGCGGCTCGAAGCCCAACTCGGAAAAAAATCCTGGCTACGTCCCTGATAAACATAGCCATTCTGCCCAATTTGCATTAATTTTTAAAAATCTCTAAGACCTTCATAGCCCAATATACGAGATACCCATATTTTTGCATGATTTCTGGAACCGAAAATCAGTTTTTCGCCAATAACTGAAAAAGTTAGCACTTTAAGGCATATGTTTCTTCGTAAGTCATATACAAATATGCCAATTGCGGTTCTTTAGCACTCTATCCGAAGACGCTATCATGCTCCTAGTTTCATGGGTATCTAGAGATTTGCAGGTACGAAACCAAATATGTCCATAAATTACTGTACTACTATACTAGTACTATACTTTTCTTTTTTTTTTATCTAGACACTTATTTTACTTCGGTGTATTCCAACAGCCACAATGTTACACAAGTGCAACCAGCCAATTACAGGAAGCCGAAGGATCTTTTTGGCCAGTGACGGTTAAGGTAGTGTGTACCATACTTTCTTCGTCCGAGACTTTGCTGCAATGTGCAGCTCCTCATTTAACCCTCACACCCGATTTCTCGAGTATTCGGCTGAGTAGACCGGGGGGCTGCATAGACCACTCATGATCCTTAGCTGAACGTCGACGACGCTCACCCCACGACCAGGCAGTCAGTGGGTTTCGAACTCGCAACCTAACGATTGTAAGACAGGCGTTCTAACCAACTGCGCTACCTGGCCGTTGAAAAAAACTGTACTAGGGATAATTTAGAAGAGATTAGCTGGACAGCATTTTGAGATTAACTTTTAAAATTTTGTATTCGATTCTGAAAATCTTGAACGTCAAAAAAACGAGGTCGAAGATTTTCAAATTAATTTGAAATTTCATTGACCGATCAGCTGTTTTGGTGCGCATATATACTATATAGGCCCGAAGGGCGGGAGGGTCATTTTTTACTGTTTTTACTGAAAAATGGCCTAATTTGTATCATTATAATCTCTAACACCCTATTGTTACTATTGAATGTTGATTATTATTGACAATATAGGTAGGGTGAACGATTCCAGACATCTAAAGATTATCTAGAGACCCCCAGGGTGCCCGTATCCATGGAAACGGCTCGTTTTGAAAAAATGCAAGCGAATTTAGCCAAAATTTGTAACCATACAAAGACTTTTAACATGGCCTTAATTAGCCAGAAAGGCCATAATTTGTATTGGAAAATGACTAAACTCAATACTGAGTGTGAATACGGGTGGTACCTGCAAATGTATTCATTAAGCATTTAGAGTTCTGTAAAACTGCAGTTACAATTGTGCTGAGTATTTTTAGTATTTACGATCGATATCAGATCTCGATCCCTACATACTTCCAAAATTTAAATCTCCAACTTTCTGCACAATATACTGGAATGTTTTTTAAAAAGTGATATAGAAATAAAATCAACGATTTAATTTTAGGAAAGTAAAATTAATTCCCTGGTTTCTTTAGTCAGCTTTAAGTCAGGAAATCAAAGTATGTAACGTCGATATCAAACCGATTATTGAGCGATGATACCTAAGTAGTAGTAGCTGATTATTAGAAACAGCTAAAAAGATTATTTTGAGAAAATTCCCATGAAGACTCTGGATGATTTTTCTCATCATTGTTCTTGATATCATAGACAATAACGTGGTACATAAAACTTTGGTTTAGAGTTTTTTTCACAGATGCAATGGTCCTTGTACATATTGAGTTAAGTTGCCCATACTAAATGATGTGCCCTCACTAAATTTGTCAGAAGCTATAAATATTAAGTCAGTGCCGACTCTGCTGTAGGCACGTTGTGACATTTTCAGTGATTTATTAAAATTTTATCTTCTTCACATTACAAATTGAGATATTTTCAGTATCATTCTTTACTATCAAGGTTATCACTTATCATACGGTTATTTTCAGTATTTCTCGAAAAAGTTCCCTTATGTTTCTGATGGAAGTGTGGATTACAAGCAATTTTTGGATCACTTCTCTGTGATCGATACTGAAGAGGTTGGTAACACAGACTTTATACTGATTACGTAGAATAAGCAGCCAACATAATATATTGAATATTGATACCACAAAATCAATTTTTCCTTGTTGACCGAGTATTTATAATTTTGCAAATCATAATTATTGACATTTGACAGTTTTTTATTGTCTAATTGTTAACGGAATTGCAGTGCCCTATTGATATTGATCGTCTGAAAAAGGTGAGTTGCATGGAGATAATGCATGGAGATAATGAATAGTCTGAGGGTGATGGTACTATGCATGTGTTACTTTGATTTTTGTGCCCTCTCTCTCTCTCACTCTCTCTCTCTCTCTCTCTCTCTCTCTCTCTCTCTCTCTCTCTCTCTCTCTCTCTCTCTCTCTCTCTCTCTCTCTCTCTCTCTCTCTCTCTCTCTCTCTCTCTCTCTCTCTCTCTCTCTCTCTCTCTCTCTCTCTCTCTCCCTCTCTCTTTCTCTCTCTCTCTCTCTCTCTCTCTCTCTCTCTCTCTCTCTCTCTCTCTCTCTCTCTCTCTCTCTCTCTCTCTCTCTCTCTCTCTCTCTCTCTCTCTCTCTCTCTCTCTCTCTCTCTTTCTCTGTGATTCACATGTCTTTTGGTGCCGTTCATTTCACAACGATCTGTTTTTGAATACTTCTCAAATAATTGCTCACATTTTATGGTTATCTTTTAAATACTCGATTAAGTATGCATTTGATCAGTAATCACCACTCATTATTTTTCTCTCTCAGGACAGTAAAGCCTGGTTGGAAGCAGTGCTGGGGCCACATAATGGAGCTAGAACCCCCAGCTCTCGACTCCTCAACACCCCCAGTCGCATACGTCGCGCTTCTTCTGTAAGTTGATTTTATTTTTTGTTTGTTAGAGTAAGAATTGGAATCAGAATTAAATTTACACAGCAACTGACACAGTGAGATAATTGAATGATTCACAGAAGCTTTTAAGAGCTGTAAAGGACACCCAAATTAGTTTTAAAACAGAGTAAGGCTAAAAATTAAACTAAAACTACCGAGATTTAAGCTAAAAATATACAACGGTTAGTCAGTTTAACGAAATCGTAGCCAATACGAACTTAAAACTTATAAAACGTGTGGAATATAAACCAGCTGCAACAAAACAAACACCGTGTCACATCTAGAATCTAGATGTGATAAAATTTTTAAAAGGAGATATAAAAGAAATAACTTTGAGTTTACACTTGAACTCTGTTCATTTTGTTTAATGAACTTCTCCGGTTCTATATAATGTGCATTAAATGACTGCCGTAATCAAATTATAACTTTCGCCAAAACTTTTAAATGTGAAGCTCTTTAGCACTACTTGGACAATCCTTCTTGTCAATAACTAAATAAATCTCAGTGTTCCAACCTGTTAACTACTCCAAAACGCCTCTCGACTGCTCCCTTTGTTTCGGCTGAACATGTCGAACAGAACATACACGGTGCAATCACTGACAACTGGATGGAACTCCACAAATACTTTAAATCTCAGTCATCTAATCATACTTCTGTACCAACTGCTGTCTTTAAAGGTAACATTCGAAGCAAAGATATTATGTTAAGTGAATGTTGAACCTAAAATGTTGTTTTATTTTGTTGTTTCTTAACCCATCCACGTGATAGTTTACCTCCTGCAGATTGTCTAAGTCGGATAGGGATCCAGCTTAGTTCTGGAGATTTGGACAAGCTCTGTAAAAAGTACGATGTACACGGGGACAACAGTATAAACTACTCTGCTTTCTTGAAACGTTTCAGTGCTCTCGGCCGAGTCAGCTCCAGAAATAGCTCCAGAAACTCCCATATGGTAGACTTGGAGATTTTTTCTAATAAATTCTTATTTGGAAGACACTCACTTTGATTCTTGACAATATTCCTTTAAAAAGTCTTCGTTACATTTTCAGAGAAGGTAATTTTGATTTGACAAGTGACAGATTCTGGGTTTTGATCGGTCAATAGTGGAAACTGATTGGTTAATTGCTTGTTTAAAAATCAATCAGTTCAACTCCCCACTGGTATCCCGATATATACCCTGCGTAGTATGTTAATCAATGTGGATCAGAAAATGGTAACAAGTTTTTTTTCAGTCTCTCCGTTCCGGTCGAATCAGTAACTTTAGTTACAACTTGTCCCGAGCTGCATCCTGCACCAGCCTAGACTCCAGACCTGACTCAGCACAGTCCGTGTCCAGGTCTCTGGTCAGTCAGGCGAGTATAAGGAGATCTACCACCAACCTCGGGGACCTCACACCCGGCCCGGGAATTGAGCCTCCGGAATACGTCATCTCCAACATTGCCTCTCATGTTGTGAGGAACTGGAAACAACTCAGAAAGGAATTTAAGGTCTGTCTAAGATGTGATTATGGCTGAGTAGAAGTTTAATGTTCAGTTTGCTAGCACTGTCATTGTTTTTTCTTCTTATTTTTTCACAAAACTGTTCCTAAATGAACTTGAAAACTTTAACAATAATCTATTGGCGCGCGCTTTATCTCCACAGAAAGCACAATCAATTTGATACGTATGAAATAATTCTATAACTTGCTCGATTAAGTTAAACACTACAGGCTTTGTTCGATAATTTTGATTCTTTTCAGAGTTACGATACCAGATCTAAAGGTTGGATTTCAACTCAAGATTTTAGAAGCGCAATGCGAAGTAACCACGTAGACATATCAGAATCAGATTTTAGCGATCTCATTCACTTTTACGATTCGCAATCAGCCGGAAAAGTTTATTACAACGACTTTTTGAGAGCGTTCTTATCGATGACGACTGTGGACTAGAATCAGAATTTAGCGAATTTGCTGTGCAGATGAGATGTATCAAGGTTCATGTCGAGTGGAACAGCCCACAAGTTCCTGTACGACAGTAATCACCTAAATATATTCCTTTTAGTCTCAATTAAATCAATCACGATGCGGAAATAACAACAAAGATTAAGCTTCTTATGATTGAATAATATAATTATATTTCAAGATTGATAATTACAAAATGTAATGTGATGGCTGACTTTTGGTAGGTCAGATTAAGAGAATTCGCGGTTGGAAATACTTATAGAGAGACTTATTGATCTCTGATTTGAATTACAGCATGCTTCTGTGATCAGCTTTGTGTGTAAAAAAACTTTATAAAAAACAATAAGTTAAATAGAATAAGGACCGTTCATATATTACGTCTGCAAAATGTTGCTAATTGTGAAGAAAAAGGTACATTAGCGTCAGCATTTCGGCCAATTTCCAATCTCTTCATGGACGCTGATGTATTATTTTGTCCTCTTCGTGAAGGGGTTTGGGGTTATTTTAGGGTCCGGACTCTACGGCGTGAGACTCTACGGCGTAAAATACACTCGCTATCAGTATTGTTTACATTTGAAAGTTTATATGATATTAACGACCCGGTAATATCTATAGTACAGTATCGTTTTGAAATCGGCTGTGTCCCGTCAGTGTTACATTCCATCGGCTGTATCTTAGGTCAAGATAAATATTTCTTGATGTGATAAAAACTGACTTTCAAAGAACACTCGCTGTGACCACGGGCATCCTTATTTAATTTGGAATTAGATCTATTTTGATCGAAAATAGGAAAATAATATTTGCCGCTGTAGAATTCTGTTTTTTCACGCCGTAGAGTCCTAGTTTGTACGGCGCCGCCGTATAGTCTTAGTCTTACGCCGTAGAAGTAGAGTCCCGGTTATGTTACGATGTATGCCACTTAGTACCTTGTACATTAAGTGAGCAGTTTTATAATGATTTAAAAGTCTTTTAGAGTTTTAATTTTTAATGCTTTATAGTTTTTTGTTCAGTTTGTAATAGATTAGTAAATAATAAATATGAGTGTTTTCAAGGGGTGGTTTTGTAAAATATTTTCATTTTAAAGAGTGTGATTTCCGATGTTCTGTTAGAGTACTCAGATATTATCTGAATTTATATCACTAGCATAATTGAAAACCAAAATACAGTATCTGTCAAACCTTATTGTAAGGGGCAATCGGGTGAACACTACATAAGTACTGCATGCTTCTAATATAATCGTGTAATCCGGCAAAATATAATGTTAATGTTAATTCTGCTAAAATTTCCGGATTTTCAGAGACCACCCCCTCCCCTTGTCCGGGGGATTCGTAAGCCGTTAACTACCCTGTTATATTATATTACGTGACCAAAACAGTTTTTGCCCATAACTCTCCAGGGAAGCATTTTTACCCTACGTCACGTCACGTCATGGGGGGTGATTCGAAAATTCATAGCGATTTAGTGGGAGCGAAATCGCTCGCCTTAAATAACAAGAATTTCGCCGCGGTTAAACCACGCACGATTAATTTTCCCTACGATGTACTTGTAGTTGTACCATCAATTCTTTTGAGTGAAAAGTGTGACTGGAAAAAAGTGCAACATATTTACATACTATGCAATGTTTTTTTATAAATGAGTAGGATTTGTGCATGGTAAAAATTGACGATTTATTTCACCAATGCAGCGCCGCGCATCAACATTTAATAAATCCAGAAAATTGCGGAAATAACTTTGCGAAGGAGGAATTTCACTGTAATAAATTAACACATGGCTAGCACATGTGTTGGCGCCCCCCGCCGAAAAGGCGCCCCCCTGTTGGCGCCGGCCCCTCCCCTTTTGGTGCCCCTCCCTAAAATTGAACAAATTAGGTGATTTTAGAGGATACGCCGGTAAAATCTCTAAAAAAGTGTGTATCTAGAGTAAAACGCGCAGTTTTGCTAGTACTTTAGTTAAGTTTTCGAAATTGTCCCACATTCAAACGACGATTTGGCGCCCCCTGCACAGCGGGGCCCTTCGTTACGCCACTGCCGGGTATGACAATGACAGCCGGCCCTGCGGGTTGCTCAAACCAGAGCCCTCTCGCTTGCAGTGGCGCGCGACCGCCGAAGGCGGCACAGGATTCTACTTGTGAAACAAGCGCGTCACGCAGTACGCGTAGACAAATGGCTATGTGAACCCTGAGGGTATGACAGTGATCCGAAACGGTGTATTTTTGGACGCTGATTCCGAATCACCCCCCATGACGTGACGCGGTAACAATCTCGAAGATCGACTGTAAAGTGATTTAGCACGCTCAAACTTGAATCGATGTATTTTCGGACGCTGATGCCGAATCACACCATGACATAGGGTTAAATTACTGGGCGGCGCTCAGCCTGTCATTTCTTGTATCACGTGGTGACCCCCACTGTCGCTTCACTGTAGAGATTCGACGATACAGGGGGAGCCACGCACTCGTGCGCGGCGGGTCATACAACGTATGACAAGTCATTTCGCCTAATAGTAATACAATAGCTTGGTGTCCCCAGTGCCCAGGTAAAGGGTAAAAATGCTCTCCTGGCGAGATATTGGCGAAAAACTGTCTCGATCACGTGATATGACCATATAAGGAAGTTGGTCTAAAGCATATGCGTTAGAGAGAGATTGGGATCAAATTAGAGGGCTAGAATTTTAACAGGTGATACTCGTAATATATCTGTTCCGAGTTGGACCGTCGACGAGTCCAACTCTGAACTCGGCGCGCGTCCTGGTAGGTTGTAAACCTACAACTAGAATTTCGAATATGGAATAGTCATTCAGGCCTCAAGGCCACCAATAGCGTGTTTAAAAAGTCACGTGACCAGTGACAGTCGAGTGTAGAGTGATTAATCATCATCCATTGCTTAGGGTTAGGGTTATAGATAGCGTCGGGTGCGGGGTCATGCATCATGGCTATAAAGTTACTGGCTCGGCTTGTTACTATGCTAGAGGTGATCGCGACGCGACATCGCGTCTTCACAGCGAGCTCATGATCGCGCGCGCTTAACTTTATTGTGCACGTGACACAATTCAGTCAATCAGACCCAGCAAACCTTACCTGGGGACCCCAGGCTGTCATATTTATGTTCATAACTGTCACCAAGATTTAACTAGGTCGAACGGAAAAATTAGGTCTCACGCAGGAATTAGGTCTCACGCAGGCGCGGCCAGAAAAGCTTACCGGCTGGCCGTGTTACTAGAGGTGGTTGTTTTTCGATAGCGCGTGTGTCAGCGCGCGTGACGTCATGTTCACTGCATGCGCATGATCGCTCGCGTGAATTACAATCTGGAGTCATGACAACGACATTACTTTGCAAAGTAATTCATTACCTGAGGACCCCAGGCTATTATGTTCATTAACATAAAGATTTGGCGGAATGACAGGCTGAGCGCGGCCCAGTAAAGTAATTCAAAGTAATTCAAAATCTAGGTTGTCCCAAATTTGGCTCCTGGGGAGCTAACTTTAGTTTTACGAGACGGACATTTTGTTGAAAACCTGAACTTTCTATCCCTTTTACTTCCGAAGTTAGGTCCCTAACGGTAAGGTTTCCTGGGCGGCTTTTAATGTATTTATATTAATATATATCACGCGCCTGCATTAAGTGATTGCATCTTCACAGCTTTTATTTGAACTCCGCGCGCGCAAGTTCATTGTATTTGCACAATTCAAACATTCCAATAATGTAATTGCACCACGTAATATACAATTTAGCCAATTAGAGGACAAAAATCCGCAAAGTTAAAGTTGGAGGACTTCGCCGCTTCGACGCGAACTAGCATTCTTGCTTCGCATCGTCGATCGTTGCTCTGCTTCGCAGAGCAACGATCTCGATGGGTTGACATCGTCAACCAAAGTTAAAGCTGTGTACTTTTATTAGGCCCAAAATAAAACTTTTCTTGTATCACGTCGTGATCCCCACGGTCGTTTCACTACTGTAGAGTTTCTACGATACAGGGGGAGCCGCGCACTCGTGCGCGGCGGGTCATACAACGTATGACAAGTTTTTCATACATAACATGGCTGTACGAGACTTTTACACTGTATGTTCCGGTTCAAGATCTTGTGTAGTGGATTGTCACGAGGGAACATATTGGTCTCCACAGTGACAGAGAACGGAGGATTGAACCAAAGGACCCTGCGTTTCCTCCTTCTATTACGTAGTGGTTTTGCCTCGCCTGCCTGGGTGTTGTAGGTCATGCACGAGTCCATATAGCCGCTTGACTTCAATGCATCCTCGTAGTATTAGTTTATGTAATCAGTAATAAGCGCCATGAGTTGGCATAGAATTTTTCCCTCCGATTTCGATAAATTTGGTACCAAAAGTTGTCTAAAAATGTGAATAAAATAATTCCACCGTGTATCAATTTTCGCTAAAAATACTGCACGGCGCTTGTTCGCCGCGCGTGCTTTTTTCCGTGCAAATTTTTAGTTTTTGGCCTATAACTTTCACAGTTTTGGTTATTATGGAATAATTGTTATGGCATCGTAATTTAATCAGCTCATCTAGACGAAACTTTTGGTATTAACATCATAAGATTTAAAGGAACAATATTTTCAAATTTTTAAAACCTGGTGAAATTTTGAAAATTTTGTCCTTCAAATATTATAATTTTAGTACCAAAAGTTGCGTCTGACTAATATACATTTATTACGATACTGTAAAATTATTTCAAAATATTCGATATTTTAGGAGTTATATGGATTTTAAGCAATAAATCACCTGTTTTCGTCCTTTTTACACTCTTGCAATGCACAGGAGGCCCACATACTATACAGCACATACTATACAGCTCGACGTTATCGTGCTACACGGTGAATTTTCATTATTCACAGTTATAGGCAACTTTTGGTACCAAATTTATCAAAATCAGAGTTGTAGGTTTATAACCTACCAGGACGCGCGCCGAGTTGGACTCGTCGACGATCCTGATATTTGGAACAAATATTTTACGAGTATCACCCGTTAAAATCAGAGACAAAAAATTCTGTGCCAACTCATGGCGCTTGTTACATAGACTAAATTTAAGGCTTGGCGTCGTCGAACACCTCATTACAGGAGGATAAGCTGTTGATTCGGTCAGCGATCATCTCCGGGATGTTACGGATGATGGACGGTGGGTGATTTGACTGGCGGTGTACATATTTCGTTACCTTCTCTGCTTTGCGGAATGAGCCATCCGATTGGAAAGTAACGTCGATGAAGTCGACAGATGTGGATGGTGGGGACACAAGCTCTCTCTCCGGAATGTAGCAAACAAATCCTTCCGAATCCGCTCCATTGACCATTCTGGGGCTGTCTATCAGCATCACGAGTCCATCGTCCCTATAAAGGCCGTGGAATTGTGGTGGGAGGATATCTCCTAATGGAAGGATAGAACGACTCAATGTCGAACTGGAGAAACTGGGCATGCCCGGGTGTAACAGCATATATAGTAAGATATACAACAGACCTACAATGTACAAATGACAAAGCGAATTTTGTGACGTCGTGTAATGCGCGCATAGCGCGCGCAACCAGTTTTAGGAAGCGAATTTTGCGAGACATCTTCATCAAGAATTCTATTGCGTGCTCCTGTTTAGTACGACCCGCAAAATATTACCACTGTCACAAAGCCATTAAGTGGTTTTAAGTTACTCTTTCATCACCCATAACCCAGGGACGGGATACAGATATCAGATAAGGAACTGGAAGGTTAACTATCGACTCTACGAGTGATCTAACCATTGAATTACCCTTTTAACTTAAGGAGATGCAGGTGAAGAATATGGAAAATGTAGATGGTGACAACAAACACCCATTTCAATTTAAAAAGTATTTTAATTTTACAAAAATATTATACACAAAGGAACAATAACACATTATGATGTATACGCTAGTAAGCAGAACTTTCAGTGTACTCAAAATAATGAAAACATGATGTAACATAACAATACGAAATTCAACATAAGACTGTTTCTATTTATTCTGCCAGTCCGAGTCAGAAACTAAAAATAGCAAGAACAATTCACCCATTATTAATTAAAACTTTTTCCCAACACCAAATTTTTTCTCAGTCATGGCCTCAGGCTTTGCGCGGTTCAGAACCTGAAATAATAATTATGACAAATCAATAACATATCGTTTAAAAATAACGTATACGGAGGTGGCCAGGGGGGAGGGGGGTTCCACGTATACTAGGCAAAGTCAGAATCTTTATGGATTGATCAAAAAGAAGTTAAATAAATTACCTTCAAGAACTCGGAAGTTTTGCTCCTCATACGAGAGTGGAGGAAAGCCTTGCTGCACTTGATGTGGTAATGTAGATAAGTTCTGAACTGGTGGATCAGATTAATGGTGTTATCCCGATTTGTTGGGCTTGTGTGTCGAGGGAACAACACAAATGTCACGTACCTGAAAGCAAACAAATCAGCAAACTTTTATTTAGATTATAGGAAAGCTTTTAAGAAAAACAATGTTTACAGGTTATTTAATTATTGACATTACCAACTGTAATTATTCCCCAATTATAGACTGAAGGCTATTAAACTATGACTATATTTCACATTATATACACTCAGTTTGTTTTTTAAAGACGGCAAGGCTTCAAAATTGAAAAATTAAAGACAGGTCTCAAAATAGATCGGATGTAATAAAGCACATTTCACACACTGACCTTACACTTCTACCAGAAAATTTAAAGACGGGTTGCGATGAATTAAAAACGGTGAAGCCTTCAAAACGCCTTCGTCAAAATTAACTGTCTTTATTCTTCTCTTCGGAATTATATCCCCGAAAAGTCGTGAACACTGAGCACTGATAATTTCCCGCAAGAGTTGCGGGACCGCCAGTCGCCTTGATGAGCAGTGCGGGAAGTTTCTAATGGCGAAAAATTGTGACTAATTTTTATGGTGAATTGAGTTTCCAAATTGTAACATTTCACCATTTTTCACCATTTTACACAATTTTTTGATAAGTTTATTAGCCTTCTAATTTTAGTTTTGACGTGGTGTTATAATTATAAAACAATATTTGATTATTAACTCAGATTTTGAGGATGTAAAGAAACAATTAAACATGTGTTTCATTATATTTAAAGTAATACAGGTTTTACAATTTAGAAACTCGATTCACCAAAACAATCATTTACCATTTTTCATCCAAACTAGTAATTTTTGGTGAACAATGAACATGGCGAGTAAGGTACATCAAAACTGGTAACTGGTAACTTTTGGTCATTATTTTATTACTAGGTGGTGGTGAAGTTATTGAGACAAAAACTCCTGTTCTGAAAGTTGTCCTTTGTACTTGTTTCACTGACCCACGCTTTTAAGCATTTATACATTTCGGCCCATTTTATATGTTTGTTCGATTTGCTGTACATTTGTATACTTGCTATTTTGTAAAAGTTTCAAATCAAATCAAATCATGGCGTCGCAAGTAAGGTACATAACTGGTAACTTTTGGTGAACATGGCGAGTAAGGTACATCGAAACTGAGCTCTTAGTATTGTCGTACAGTACCAGAATACACATTTAATATTTCAAATTTTTAATCCCGGCCGGGACCAGCTTAATCCCGGCCGGGACCGGGATTTTCATGATATTTCTATGTTGAAATGTAACATTTTAAGCAACCTTCGTATAAAGGTTCCATTGACGACATTGATATCAACATCGTTATATCTTCGGATGAAGATGAGCCTGAAATCTAATCAATCCTTCGAGTTTCGATTTTCATTTCGATTAGTTCGATTCTTAACAGTCATTTCATTTGTCAAGTAATAAAATATGAATTTGAAGCTAAATTGGATTAAAAAGATAGAAATTCTGTTTTAAAAATCCCGGCCAAAACGGTAATCCCGGCTCAGACCGGGACAAAAACTCCAAATCCCGGCCGGTATCCCGGTCGAGCTCTGTTGGAAACATTACACATACTTTCATTCAGAAACCGGAGAAAATTATAACAAATAACACCTTGGCTTAGTTTCTTGCCGACTGCCGCGTAGCCAAGGTATCATTTTATTTTAAAACAAACTGTATGTAACTTTGTTCCGAGAATCTTTGCCAAATTGAATAAATTAAACGACTTTAAGTTAAGTACCCGATGTTGTCTCCTCTCAGTAGACCAGGTTGTCCATTTAGCTCCGCGGGAGGCTCCCCATATGAAAACAGCACTTGTGGAGCCTGTTGGTGCGCTTTTCTTGCATCCTTGAACTCTTGCAAGAATACCTGATCACAAATACGTTTCCGAATTAAATCTGCCAGTTAATCAAAATATTAAAGTATAATTCCGATTTACCACACCCGATTTACCACACCCGATTTACCACACCCGATTTGCCGCAGCCATTTCTTTTCCCTCCTTCCGCTAAGGGTCGTTCAAATATTAATACGTTATCAATTTTTTGGCAATTCTCACCCCCTCTCCCCTCCGTAATTAACTGTAATTAAATTTAATCAAGACCCACCCCCCTCCTGACAGCAAATTTGTCGAATTGGCATTCCGAAATCTGCCATTTACAAATGATCTGCTCAGTTACAGCCTTACAAGAGGAGAAGTAATTGAGCCAGCAGAAACTGTCAGGGACTTGGGGGGTCATTCTATCACACGAATGCTCTTGGACACCCGTACCCCACGTCCCCACATCCAGAAAATGATCCAATGCATCATGGGTTCAAAGCTACTGTAAAAGCTACTGTACCGGCACTGAACAACAAATCACAGCACTCTATGGCAACACAAAGCTGTGGAATCTTCCCAAAGAAATAAATTCCATCTCTACTTTGGGCTTGTTAAAATCGTTACTGGCTAAATTCCCGACACGCCCCCTACTAATGATACACTGCTACTAACAACAACTCACTCTTGGAATGGTACTTACAAAAAGACCCCAGCGGAGGACGTCCTACTGCTGAAGCGATCCCAGCCAAACCTACTCAAAGCGTTCAAAGCGTTATTCTAGGTTAAAAATGAAAATTTTGATCACGGAATCAACAGCCAAAACCCCCTCCCCTCCCCCCTCGGCTGATTATGTAATATATGTGAACGACCCCTCAAAATAAATAATAAAATGATGTAAATGAAAAACCTGATTTACCGTAGTTGTATCCTTTCCTGGTAAATCAGGGTTTACTGTACTAGTCGATTCAAGTTAGACTAAAAATAAGTGAGTACCTTGCCGATGACAACATCATCAGGATCTTTAAAGAGGGTAGAGAATATGACAGTTACTCTGTCGGGGTGTGCACTGATGTAAACCGCCTCTTCTTCATGATAATGGACCACTGCTGTCCTGTCTGACGCTGTCTCTGCTTCTTGCATCTGGACATGGAGTTAAATTTGATAAATCGTCATCAAACCACGTTAAAGATTTTAAGGCCTATCTCAAAATATTTTCTGGGTAATCTTATATCTTATCTCTTCTAAATGATCCTCAGAACATATCTTGAAAGTTTAAGGGTGATTGCTTATGCACTATGTAGAAGAATATAGATTTTTAGACTTGATTTTCAGTGTACACGAATCACGATTGAAGATCGTTCGCGCAATACAAATTACTAAAATTACTCATAATGTTCGGTTAGAGAACTGTATAGTTGAAAGCACTTGACTACGTATAGAGGCGATATACTGCCTCTATACGTATATATAATAGACAAAATATTGAACGCTGAGATTACAAACTTTAAGTTTCACGAAATAAAAAATAAATCAATCATCAGCGTGTATGATACTGAATAAAATATTACTGATATGTCAGCCCTGAGCTGAGTGCCCATATTGTTAGTATTATGTAATACAATAATAGAAATGGAGGCATATGAAAATAGTGATTGCCATAGTGAATAGTGATTGGTTACCTTGAAAGTGATTGGTTACCTTGAAATATTTCTCAAAGACAGAAGCAAAGCAGTTACGCTTAAGAAGGGATGCTTTCAGAGCCAAAGCTTCTCTATCCGCAGGAAGGGACGCTAAATCAAACTTTAGAGTCACATCGTAGCTCTCCTAAATAATAGGAACATTGTCGATAATTTAACAAATACATATCTGATGAGTCTTACTTGTTCGGTATTTTTACACTACTGTATTCAATTTCAACATACCTACTCGGGAGCTGTGATAAAAAGAGAGAACTGAAAGGTAAGGAGTAAAACTCATCAGCAACACATTATGTCTGCACATTATGTCTGCACATTAAGTCTGCACATTATGTCTGCACATTATGTCTGCACATTATGTCTGCACATTATGTCTGCACATTAAGTCTGCACATTATGTCTGCACATTATGTCTGCACCTTATGTCTGCACATTATGTCTGCACATTATGTCTGCACATTATGTCTGTACCTTATGTCTGCACATTATGTCTGCACATTATGTCTGCACCTTATGTCTGCACATTATGTCTGCACATTATGTCTGTACCTTATGTCTGCACATTATGTCTGCACATTATGTCTGCACCTTATGTCTGCACATTATGTCTGCACCTTATGTATGCACCTTATGTATGCACCTTATGTCTGCACATTAAGTCTGCACATTATGTCTGCACATTATGTCTGCACATTATGTCTGCACCTTATGTATGCACCTTATGTATGCACCTTATGTCTGCACCTTATGTCTGCACCTTATGTCTGCACCTTATGTCTGCACCTTATGTCTGCACCTTATGTCTGCACCTTATGTATGCACATTATGTCTGCACCTTATGTATGCACCTTATGTCTGCACCTTATGTCTGCACATTATGTCTGCACATTATGTCTGCACATTATGTCTGCACATTATGTCTGCACATTATGTCTGCACATTATGTCTGCACATTATGTCTGCACCTTATGTCTGCACATTATGTCTGCACCTTATGTCTGCACATTATGTCTGCACCTTATGTATGCACCTTATGTATGCACCTTATGTCTGCACATTATGTCTGCACCATATGTCTGCACCTTATGTCTGCACATTATGTCTGCACCTTATGTCTGCACATTATGTCTGCACCTTATGTCTGCACATTATGTCTGCACCTTATGTCTGCACATTATGTCTGCACCTTATGTCTGCACATTATGTCTGCACCTTATGTCTGCACATTATGTCTGCACCTTATGTCTGCACATTATGTCTGCACCTTATGTCTGCACATTATGTCTGCACCTTATGTCTGCACATTATGTCTGCACCTTATGTATGCACCTTATGTCTGCACCTTATGTCTGCACCTTATGTCTGCACCTTATGTCTGCACCTTATGTCTGCACATTATGTCTGCACATTATGTCTGCACATTATCTCTGCACATTATGTCTGCACATTATGTCTGCACATTATGTCTGCACATTATGTCTGCACATTATGTCTGCACATTATGTCTGCACATTATGTCTGCACCTTATGTCTGCACCTTATGTCTGCACCTTATGTCTGCACATTATGTCTGCACATTATGTCTGCACATTATGTCTGCACATTATGTCTGCACATTATGTCTGCACATTATGTCTGCACATTATGTCTGCACATTATGTCTGCACATTATGTCTGCACCTTATGTCTGCACATTATGTCTGCACATTATGTCTGCACATTATGTCTGCACATTATGTCTGCACATTATGTCTGCACATTATGTCTGCACATTATGTCTGCACATTATGTCTGCACATTATGTCTGCACATTATGTCTGCACATTATGTCTGCACATTATGTCTGCACATTATGTCTGCACATTATGTCTGCACATTATGTCTGTCAGCACATTATGGCAGGTGATTCAATAAAGCAAAAATGCTTTTAGTTTTATACTGAAAAGTTTACCTCAGGTGTGGCTTGAAGCGCATCACCATATTCTCTTTGCAGTAAATCTTGGACTCCGTGTGCCACCAGATCTTCAAACATTCCCATTCTCGCACTCAGAAGTATAATTCCTTTATCGTTGGGAGGATTACTGAATACAATAACAATTAATACGAGTGGTAACCGTATGTTCCTTAAACTTATACATACAAGGCCAAGGGATTATTCACATATTATGGATACATAATTCAAAATTTGGACCCCTATGTAAGCCATTTTACACAAAGCCATCGTGTAGAAATTACACTAGCACAAGCTACCCCTACCAATAATATATGAATGATCGAGTCTTATGATAACAAACTTTTGTAAAAACGAAGAAATTAAAATTCATATTTCACCTTATTTGATATTGTACTCCATCAAAATCAACTGCAGCTATATTTACACTTTCAGGCTTGGCAGCAGCAAACTTTGCTTTTAGAGTTTCGCAAATAACTCTGTTGTTTTCTTCTAACAGTATCATGATCCTAAGTCATGTTTATGATTAATTGAGAGCTGATAAGTAAATCAAATAAATCTCTAAAATGAAATAGAAGGTTTCGTTTGGGTAAGGAGTGTTGGGAGGTGTCATCTCACTTAAAGCACACATACTCATTACTCAATACTGCGCAATCTATGCACTTCAAAGTAAGTTTTCTACTGAGTACTGTCTTATTTCCATTTTAAAGAGTTGAAAGGGACTTTCGACAGTTAGCTCTAAAATTTCAGAGAAATTGAGTTCCATAGTGCAAAGCTAGCTACCTAGTGTATAACAACGCATGTATAATGTATATAAATGTAAAATAAATAATGTTTTGTGAATATGGCAGTTTAGTATAGTACCCAGAAGTAACTACCCACATGCAACCCTTAAATAACTCACGTAATTCGTATCAGAATTGCTCAAAAACCCAGAGAATATAGATATGGGTCAAATTTAGATTTCCTGAAAATTTCATAAAATGTCATCGATAACATAGGGTGTGGCACGCCATTCCTCTTTTTCACTATTATCACCATAAAGTGAGAACATTTTGAGCTAGGAACTCCAAAGTTTCCATGGACACATTTGGTTTGATAATTGAATTGCTTTCCCAAAATTAGAAGTTGGTTGTTTACAATTTAACCAAGTTATGACCCTTTTAAGATCTTGCGGATACGTGATCTCGGCACATAATCAGTGATTTCGTCACCCACATTTTTATTGCGATAATAAATTTTAAAAAATTATCGCGATAATATCGGTGAAGCATCTATCGAACTGGCCCTGTCTCAAAGAAGTTCTTTGTGGAACTTGATGACTTATTGGGTTCTGAAAGTCTGAAAAGTGACTATATAATAATTTTGATTGAAATAAATTTTCGTGCACATACAGAATGAATGGTTAATAATTTAATATATATGTAGACCAAGCTCTGTGCACGGGATGCTTCCTGGAAGAATCCAGTTCTTTTAGCGGGGCACCCTACCTAAAGCCAAATTGAGATATAATAATCATATTCCTAGGGAAATAATCAGAAATCGAATACCAATCAAATAATATGATATATAGGAGTAGTAACCATATTTACTATGCAAAATGCCCCAACCTCATAGTGTAAATTTATATAAAATTCAAATTCCATACCACCACTAAACCCCAACAGTCAACACAACAGCCCAAGCAAAATTAAATAACTTCTTATATACTGTCATACTACAAATTAATTAAACATTTGAAATCTGTTAACCAGAGAATAAATTTCTAAACCTAATGCAAGTGAAATAATTTAGATGCAATAATGAATGCCTAATATGAGTATCATCTGTCAATGTCCTTGTAGAACAGTCTGTACAAGAGATATGAGTAACTAATATAGAAGGAAAAAAAACAGGAAGTTGTCGTCTGTTGGAAAATAAATAAAATGTCTAGTATATAAATTAGAATATAAAATAACATTCGGTCAATGTGTCGTCAATAAACTGTACAATTATCAAATGTTAAAACTGTACTGGGTGATACAGTCACCAAAAATAAATACTAAGTATAATAAGTTAATAAATTGGAGGAGACTTCAATATTCACACAGAGTCAATTACTGTTAACTCAACTGAACTACTGCAGACTACCTCATCTTATGGTTTCAAGCAACTTATTGAAAATCCGACCCACATGAGTGGAGGAACTATTGACCTGCTCTTTGACCAGAGTAACTTGATTGAAACGTCTACAATTGAAATCCTGAAAAACTGCACCCTAAGTGATCACTTCCCCATCATATTTGCCACCAAGAAGTTTCAAACTAACCTCACAGCTCCTAAAACAATCAACACTATAAAGCTTAAAACTGTGGATTGTGATTACTTGGCAATTGATTAATTGATTTGTTCCTCTGACTATGAATTGGCTTTGTTGAATCTTGTGAACAATTTTCCAATGTATTGGTAGCGTCCTCGATGAACATGCGCCTTTGGTTCAAAAGACTATAAGCTTTGTTCCCCATGCTCCCTGGTTTGATTCTGAGTAAAAGATCAAAGGAAACTTAGAAGGAAAGCCGAGAGAAATAAGCATAAAAGTGAAGAGAACAGGATACTCTTTGAAGAGATCCGAAATGAAACAAAAAACATGGCTAATCTTCCTGGAACAGCCAGGCATTTGGTGAGTTGGTACTGATATGGTTGGTATGAAGCCGTTGTTGAATATTATTTCTTGGAATTTGTCCTCTGATGGAGATGGGTCGTTCAAAATGTTAACATTGAAATTGGTTAACAGATTTCAAATGTTCAATTAATTTGTAGTATGACAGTAAGGTATATAAGAAGTTATTTAATTTTGCTTGGGCTATTATATTGACTATTGAGGTTTAATGATGATATGGAATTTGAATTTTATATAAATTTACACTGTGGTTGGGGCATTTTGCATAATAAATATGGTTACTACTCCTATATATCATATTATTTGATTGGTATTCGATTTCTGATTATTTCCCTAGGAATATGATTATTATATCTCAATTTGGCTTTAGGTAGGGTGCCCCGCTAAAAGAACTGGATTCTTCCAGGAAGCATCCCGTGCACAGAGCTTGGTCTACATATATATTAAATTATTAACCATTCATTCTGTATGTGCACGAAAATTTATTTCAATCAAAATCACCAAGAATATTCACATAGCCATGTGCCTACGCGTACTGCGTGACGCGCTTGTTTCCGGCGGTCGCGCGCTACTGCAAGCGAGAGGGCTCTGGTTAGAGCAACCAAGAATATATAATTTTTTGCCATTCAGTTTTGAGAGAATACGTTCATACGCTTTGTTGAACATTTTGAACAGTGATGCGTTGGGGACGGTATATAACCCATACGACAGTTGGATATTGCAAGCTAGTGATAGATACAAACAGTGATTCTATGTGTTCATTACAGAGAGATAAGCCAGTGATTCTGTTTAAGTTAAGGGAATCGTGTAGTTAAAGACACACTCTTGACCTTTTACCCTTCAACTGGTTTTTCTCTTGGCAAAAGTAGCGTGATTAGTAACAGGAGTTGACGGATGTTACTCGTCTAAGTTTCTTCGAAGTAGCGCGCGCCGCTTTCTTCTTGAAACGTTGGCAAGAGCTACGATGGCAAGAGCTACGAAGTAGCGCGCGCCGGGCCAGATCATTAACAATGGTCAATAACAGGAGGAGTATCCGTTAAGCTGATATAGAGTTCCATCTTAGGGATTAATGTTTGTTTCTGCAAGGCCAATAACAGAGAATTTGTGGTCGATACAAGACAATTCAACTGCAAAGTTGTCAAAGTTACCTGGCTCGCCAATCCCTGTGCGCGGCGCTTCCTATCGTATTCAAGCTTCCTGTTCATGAAACTTGAATACGAGAAGATTGCGCAATAAACTAGCAAGTTAGGTAAGTTGAAATAAAATGAAATAAATATTTATATCCCGCTTATAGTTATACATTATATCTTGATGGATGTTACTTTTATTTGGAGGACTTCGCCGCGCCGCGCAAACTAGCATTCTTGCTTCACATCGTTGCTCTGCTTCGATCGTTACTCTGCTTCGCAGAGCAACGATCTCGACGGATTGACATCGTCAATCAAGATGTTACTCGTCTAAATTTCTTCGAAGTAGCGCGCGCTGGGCCAGACCATTAACAATGGTCAACATTATATCAACAACCAATATTATTAAAAAGAAAAATTGCCAACTTAAAAGTGGCTGGCGTGATGTTGTAGCGCGATGCGTTACTGGGCCGGCCCCGCGCATCCAATAATGCTTCTCGCAATAATGAATAATGCTTCGTTAGATCGGTGAGATGCGCTACTGGGCCTCATCGAGCTGCGAAGAATTGACAATTAAACGTGGCGCATTTGGATGATGATTAATCACTCTACACTCGACTGTCACGTGACTTTTTCAACCTGTTCTCTAGCTGGTGCTGAATGACTATTTTAAACCCTAACCCTCTAATTTGATCCCAAACCGAACCCTAACCAAATCTGTACCAAAAGCATATGCTGAAACTCTAACCCTAACGAGAAATTAGACTAACTTCCTTAAGCTATATATATACGGTCATTTCACATAGCCATGTGTATACGCGTACTGCGTGACGCGCTTGTTTCACAAGTAGACCTTCGGCGGTCGCGCGCTACTGCAAGCGAGAGGGCTCTGGTTAGAGCAATACGGTCATGTTACGTGATCAAGACAGTTTTTCACCAATATCTCGTCAGGGGAGCATTTTAACCCTATGTCATGTTGTCATACGTTGTATGACCCGCCGCGCACGAAGTGCGCGGCTCCCCCTGTAGCGTCGAAGCGTATAGTGAAGCGACCGTGGGGGTCACCACGTGATACAAATGTCATGGGGGTGATTCGGAATCAGCGTCCGAAAATACATCGATTGCAATATATATCAACTGTCGAGGGCCCTTTTACAACAATCTCGAAGATCGACTGTAGAGTGATTTAGCACGCTCGGGCGCATTTGCCGCGGTGACAAAAACAATTAAATGTGATAATCTAAACTCCAGAATGCATGTATATTCCCAATAAATGTAAAGTGTAAGAGTTCATATAATATATATATGGCTTGACCACTTGCTCTAACCAGAGCCCTCTCGCTTGCAGTAGCGCGCGACCGCGTAGACTCATGGCTATGTGAACTTGACCACTGTTAATGGTCTGGCCCGGCGCGCGCTACTTCGTAGCACTTGCCATTTCGAGAAGAAAGCGGCGCACGCTACTTCGAAGAAATTTAGACGAGTGACATCCGTGGATGATGATTAATCACTCTACACTCGACTGTCACGTGACTTTTTCAACCCGTTCTCTAGCTGGCCCTGAAAGACTATTCGAAACCCTAACCCTCTAGTCTGATTCCAACCCTAACCCTAACCCAATCCATAACAAAAGCATATGCTGAAACCCTAACCCTAACGAGAAATTAGACTAACTTCCTTATATGGTCATATCACGTGATCGAGACAGTTTTTCGCCAATATCTCGTCAGGGGAGCATTTTAACCCTATGTCATGGGGGGTGATTCGGAATCAGCGTCCGAAAATTGATCGATTGAAGTTGATTTCAACTGTCGGGAGCCCTTTTAGAACAATCTCGAAGATCGACTGTAGAGTGATTTAGCACGCTCGGACATCCGTCAAATATATGGCCAAAACAAATTATAAAATGGCCAAAACAAATGTGTATTATTATGTAATATCTATTTTATTAAATAAAATGTAAACTATTATATTTCACTCATACATTTTCATGGACTAGACCGGCGCGCGCGCTACTTTGTATCCGTTAGAATAATCTTTATTAGGATTTTTCGTGACCTTTCTCTTCAAATATAGAACCAAATGTTTATTTACCGATCGGCGATTCGGTGAAATAAAGACATTTTTGAAACACTGAAACAGTTTGAGTTCTTTAGCTTTGATCAGTATCTGATTTCACATAGCCATGAGTCTACGCGTACTGCAAGCGAGAGGGCTCTGGTTAGAGCAAGTATCCGATGAACGGTGCTAGAGCTTCCATATGATGCTTCATCAGCTGTATTCCCAATACAATTCGAAGCGTGGCTTTTTTGCCATTTGTTCAAACACATCGCAAATTATATCCACCAGCGGGCTATATTTGCGCCCGCAGGCCCGCTAGTTAAAATGCCTGATATATCGCAGCCCGCTGTTACAGCCTGCTGATATAGCCCGCATGAAATTTGACCAGTAGCGATATAGTCTGGAGACAGGATAAGAGTTACACTTTATTTTCATGATCAATACTGTCGAATTGAACGTAGAGTATTTCTGAAAACAGTGAAAACGCAAAAGTTAGTAGGATACACTTTTTAACAGAGCAGAATATTTTAACTAGCGGGCCTATATACACCATATTCGTACAAATCTTTAAGTTTATCGAAATGCAGAACCTATAAGATAGGGAACAATTGAGTACATAAAACAGTGGCGTAAGAGAGGGCAAAACGTGATAAAGCTTAATAATCCTGGCAATGTCAGGAGTGCCCAAAATAAAAACATTCTAGTGAAAGTAAAAGAACAATTTTTCATTTAGTACACAATGAGGGAGTACTTAGGGACCTCACAATGCAAATAACACAATCTCTCTGTGTGACAGACTAGTGGGGTTGTATTGAGCTATTTTCCATCTGGTGGGGGGGGGGGGGGGGGGGGGGCATCTTGTTATACGACCTCTATATTGAAGCAGTTTGCTTATCTCACATTTTAATCTATAAACTTGAAACTATAACTATAACGTCAATTTTCGTTTTCGACTTAATATTTTAACTAAATAGTTTAAATTTACAATTAAAGTATAAATCACCGTAAAATAGATGTTAATTAACATGCTTATGAGAGTTTACAAAATAATATAAACAAATAAAACGTTAATTGTAGGCCTATCTTGAACTTAATATCAACAAATAAATATTATTTTAAGGTTGGCAGTTTTATACGATCAGATCAAGCATCCCTGCCATCTGGACTTTTTTGCAGATTTTTTGCTCGTTGTTTCAAATAAGCTATCGTAGTAATTTAATTTCATTTTGAGAATGTCGGGATAGACGCAACATTAAACCTAGCCTGTTTCAATTGAAACTTTAGTTGGCACCTTTTCCTAGAAACACATTACATATAAGAAACGGTTTGTCCCAAATATAACAGTGTTACACAGTACACAGCTCACAGGAAGTGTTTAATCATCTCAACTTTGCGGCTCACTTTGTCCGGGCAATCAGCCAGGTTCAGCTCCACTGGAATGTGGGTTTCCTGTTCACACCGCTGCTTGATGGACTCCATAAACTCGCAGAACGGGTGGTCACTGTTCGTATGTCCACAGGAGTCCCTGAATAGACCATATTCTAAAATACTAGAGTAGCAGGGTGTAGTTAGAGATTAGACAAAATATTCTAAAATACAAACAATATTCTCTCTAATGAAAAAGTAACTTTATTTCTGAAATATTATACAAGAAATGTGCACGAGTAGACCATACCTGATACAAGCTCGAGTGTAAAACTCTATTTGTTCATCAGAATGCATGCAGTGAGAGAAAACGTCTCCCTCTAGGATACTGCGACACTCCTCTTCAAAGATCCTCTCGGTTGTTTCATCTGCACAGGTGTTGGTGAACGGAGCTCCCACCTCGGCTGTTGTTTGAGGGCACTGCAAATCAGGCACAATCATTAGTATTTCTTTGTAAATATTGTAATTTATCTGGATTTGAAACTTTTAGGCTTCTAAAATATCCTTTAGAAGATTGTGGACAGACTCGTCTTGCTCAAATTTCAAGGTGAAAACGATTCATTTTAAGATTGATCCGAATGTTGGATCTTGTTAGGACAACCTTCCTTATTATAAGTGTTAACAATTACAAATATTGTGTTAGTTCGCTGAAATTATCCCGTTGTCTTTTTCCCGCTTCATAAATAACCCCGGCAAAGTTTCTATAATCCCACCCCGCTTTGGTTCAACTAGATTTGGTTCGTTTCAATATTCCCATGAGAATCTCATTTGCGCACTGTCACGTGTTTTGATGACGCGTGACTAAATACTATGACGCACATTGGTCAAAATTGTCACTTGGCCTATGACTTAACGTAAGAACCATAGATCTGCTTGATCTACGTATTAGTCGAATTGCAGGCGCTGGCAAAGTTCCAGCACACCGCTTACTATTAGTATTACATTACTTGACCAGTTCCAGAACTTGTCTTGACGACTTGACGGTTATATTATATGAAATATTTGTCCGGTAAATTTTGTTGTAGCGATTGCACTGTTTGATATAATAGTCGTCTACTTTGATGAACTTCATGACACGATATATCGACTCCACCGTTTTTCGCTTGCCAGGCTTAACTCGACGCCCCTTATTGATATTCATTCAACGTTCGGATTGAGGAACTATTTAAAAATAGAACGCCAATTTCAACCGTCAGTACCTTAGTTTTATTTATCTAGTACTAATAGTAGTATAATATACGATCAAATTGCGAGCGTGCCAAATCACTCTACAGTCGATCTTCGAGATTGTTCTAAAAGGACCCCCGACAGTTGAAACCGACTTCAATAGATGTATTTTCTGACGCTGATTCCGAATCACCCACCATGACATAGGGTTAAAATGCTCCCCTGACGAGATATTGGCGAAAAACTGTCTCGATCACGTGATATGACCGTATAAGGAAGTGAGTCTAATTTATCGTTAGGGTTAGAGTTTCAGCAAATGCTTTTGTTAAGGATTGGATCAGGGTTAGGTTTGGGATCAGATTAGAGGGTTAGGGTTTCGAATAGTCGTTCAGGACCAGCTAGAGAACGGGTTGAAAAAGTCACGTGACAGTCGAGTGTAGAGTGATTGATCATCATCCATCAAATTGCCCTAGCACTTAGCAGCATCCTGGAGGAGTTTATAACACAAAACGCAGGCACGCTTAAGGTTATATTAAAATAAACCCCCGTGCTAAAGCACGTCAGCGTTATTTTCATAATAATCTTTCGTGCTTCGCACTCGAAATTATTATCAACTTTTCCCGCGCGTCGCGGGAAAATTTGAAATATAATCTCTGCGCGTGCCGGCGTTATGGCAGTGTGTTATTATATTTATAGTGTAGAGCGCTGAGTAAAGCAACGAAACGTCCAAAATTAATTTGAGTTAAAGTCATTATCAATTTAAAAGCAAGTTGGATAAGCTAATGTTAGGAGTAATCCAGTTTTGTGGGATCATGACGGCTACTTCCAGGACAAACATGTTTTAAATAATTCCAAACTTGTCTCTGCAAGTTGTAGAGCAGGAAGGTGTGCAGTGTATAGTGTATAGTGTATAGTGTATAGTGTATAGTGTATAGTGTGTTGTTGTAAACTCTCACCTGTTGAGCGAAATAGTCCATCTTCCAACTTCCTATCAGCTCACTAGGACTGTCATTCTCCATCAGTACATTATTATAGTAGCCACTAAACCAGCTCCTCTCTACATCATTATCTCCCTTACCACTGTGACCACCACAAAGGCCACAGCTGTCCATGTGGTGTTCTGCAATGATAGTAGCACTACTGTACCCGTCCCACGTCACTGAGATGCCATGCTGACCCATTGTAATCCTGGCAAGAGTTTTAAATGTTGTAGTATTAACATTCTCAAGTTCAGCTCAATGACTTGCTAAGTTATTAGGGGTGCTCTGAATAATACTGAATGTAAGATAATAACAGTTAAAACATACGTGTAAATGAGGCCATCTCTGTCGTAATCAATAGTGAGGCTGCCCAACGTGACTTGCCCGCCAGGAGCGATAATCTCCTCCGTGCCATTATTATTTACTAACCAACCTTGCAGGAACTGAAACATTATCTTCGTCTTAAAATTAAGGCTCGATACTGTAAATTGAAAATGTGTAATTTAGAGCTCTTATCAGTATTTTGCACTTCAAGCAGTCCGGAAATCAGGTAAAACCGTTACAGGATATCATAAAGAAAATCTAATAAAGAATAGGTTAGGTAGGTAATAAAGAATACACGTGATCTGAAAATACCTGGACAGCAGTACCGTCGGAAATAACAGTGATGGACTCAAGGCAGCTGGAGTCGGCTCCACAAGGTTTTATCCTACCGTACACGAACCATTTGGGGTGCTTTCCACAGTCCATAGTAAGAACATACTCACAGGCTCCCACAAAGCTGTACATGGAACCGTCAAAGGTAGTGACGTGAGGGTCCCCGAACACGTGACACACTTTCCGCTCGGTTTCCTGCATCTGTAGCACGTCCACACTCACAATCTGCGATTACGAGTTACTACTTCAACAATAACCAAATTTATTACAATCTACACGTCCACATCACAATCTGCGAGAGGGAGTTATATACCTGCATCTTAGCCAAAAACCCACACTCACAATCTGCAACAATAACCTATTTATTACAATCTGTAGGCACGTTCCCTCCCCCCCCCCCCCCCACTCACAATCTGCAACAATAACCATATTTATTACAATCTGTAGCACGTCCACACTCACAATCTGCAACAATAACCATATTTATTACAATCTGTAGCACGTCCACACTCACAATCTGCAACAATAACCATATTTATTAGCATCTGTAGCACGTCCACACTCACAATCTGCAACAATAACCATATTTATTAGCATCTGTAGCACGTCCACACTCACAATCTGCAACAATAACCATATTTATTAGCATCTGTAGCACGTCCACACTCACAATCTGCAACAATAACCATATTTATTAGCATCTGTAGCACGTCCACACTCACAATCTGCAACAATAACCATATTTATTAGCATCTGTAGCACGTCCACACTCACAATCTGCAACAATAACCATATTTATTAGCATCTGTAGCACGTCCACACTCACAATCTGCGACAATAACCATATTTATTACAATCTGTAGTACGTCCACACTCACAATCTGCGACAATAACCATATTTATTACAATCTGTAGTACGTCCACACTCACAATCTGCGACAATAACCATATTTATTACAATCTGTAGCACGTCCACACTCACAATCTGCAACAATAACCATATTTATTACAATCTGTAGCACGTCCACACTCACAATCTGCGATACGGAGTTACTAACTTCAACAATAACCATATTTATTACAATGGATTGACAGTGCATTTAAATGAAACGTTGAAAGAACTGCTGAATTGTAAACTTATGATATTATGTTGCTACTAGTGGGGCTATGTTGCTATGTTTTGTTCAGAGCTTAACCTTTCTGAATATCAATCCTTAGGCGAGGCTGTGAACCTTGTGAAAAATGTCAAATTGCTGTCCGAGAGAGGAGAAGAGCAAACGAAAAGCAAAAAAGCATCCAGAGAATGATGAGTTTTGAAAAGTGTGTTGACGCAGAAATCACCATCAATCGAGCTAGGGATAGCTACTATCTTGCAAAAGAGACTCGAAAGGGATCTATAAAGTCATGAATAAACTTTTAGATCTGCCCTAAAAGAAGCATCTATTACTGTATTAGGCCTGGACTCAAGAAACCCACCTTAGATGTTGAAGAGCTCAAAAAACTATCGACCGATTAGCAATCTAACATATTTGTCCAAAATACTGGAAAAAGTAGTTCATTACCAATTAAATGAATATGCTGATGTCAACAACCTATTTTCCTCATATAAATCAGGCTATAGAAAGTTATATACTCTATAGCTGTGAAACTGCAGTTACCAAGATACATAATGATATTCTAATGATGATTGATAGCAAATCGCAAAATGTTGTGTTTCTAATCAGCTGCTTTCCATAAACCATAATCCTCCTTACGAAACTCAAGAATGGTATTACAGAACTCAGATGAGTAAAGTGTAACCTAAATAATCGCACATTCAAGATAAAAGTAAAAAAGCCACATCTTCTGAATGCTATCTGGATATTGGTGTACCTCGAGGATCCATTTTAGGACCACTACTGTTCATATTGTATACTAGAGAAGAAATTGTCACAAAATATGGTTCTCGATTCATCTGTATGCAACAGGTGTACTTTGCTTTTGATGTTCACAGTTCTAATCCTGATTTAACAGCTGTGAAAAATTGCTTTCTTGAGATAAAGCAATGGATGACAGTTAACTTCCTAAAACTGAATGATGAAAGAACAGAGTTCATTGATTTTTTCGGCACCAATGTAATTATGGTTTTACCACCGTGTTTTGGTTCAGCCGAAATAAATTTTACTATGATGTTTACATAATGTTTATCACTCCAGCTGCAGTCTGGTAGTGTTGAGTCTCAGGAATATTTTTCTAGCTCTCTTTTTCCATGTTTTTGCCTCACAGGAAATATTGTGGTCTTTTCTAAATATAACTGTAATACATTGATGTAAAGTTTATTTGAATTTTGAAATAAAATATAGGACCATATGTCTATAGTCAGCCCAATCCAGACAATGGATTTAGGAGACCTCTCAATCAGTCCTGTTAGCAAGGCCAAGAACCTGGGATTCCTTTTTGATCACCAAATGATCCTGGACTCTCAAATAAATGCCGTATCCAAAGTATGCTACCTGAATCAAAGGTACTCAGTAAGAATCGGTTCGAAGATCTCCCATGACCTAAAAGTTCAGTTAGTTCACTCCAATATTCTCTGTTTTATAGACTACTGCAACTCAGTCTATTATGGTCTAACAGAAAATAATCTTTATAAGTTACAAAAGATACAGAACAATGCTGCTCGATTTATCTTTGGTCTTTACGGAAAAAATATACGTGAACCTATCATGCCATACCTCAAAAAGCTCCACTTTCTACCAGTTCGGTTCAGAATCAAGTTCAAAATATTCTGGTGTCTTAATAACATAGCCCCTTAGTACTTACAACGACACATCAATCTCAGAGAAGTACGAAGACAAAGTTCTAGACTAGATGATGACTTTTATTTGTTGAAAGTTCCTCCTGCTCCTCATTTCAGACGAACAGATGCTGCATTTATGTTTTGTGGACCAAAAATTTGGAATGAACTACCCTACTCACTACTCAGTAAGATCATTATCATCTGTAGAATGTTTTAAAAATGCCCTAATGACATTTTATTTCCACCTAGCTTTTGTTAATATTCCCAATATTTGTCTATAATGTCTGAACTGATAAAAAATTCCATAATCTTGGTATTTCAACACTAAGTCTCGCTTGAATGACTTAAATGTACATCTTTGTTGGGTATATTTTAATGTCGAAGCGTGTAATAAATGTTAGTATTTATTTATTATTATTTATAATTTTGTGCATGTCGTTGAAGAGTTATGTTGATAATGGTGGCACATCGGAGTAATCGCAAACTTGACACAATTCCCATGGAACCAAAGCGCCTGATTATCATTCGATTACTTATCAGTATCTAATTATCGTGTTCAATAATAAAATTCCGTCTAGAACAGATTAGCTAATTGAAACTCAAGGCCAGAATGTTGTGGACGTAGAGCCGCATCAATTATGTAATTATGTAATTATGCTGATATTGAACGTTTATGAAATGTAAACTTATAATATTATGAAATGTAAACTTATGATTATGTGGCTATGTAATAATTCACATTTTTTAGGGGAGATAATTTAAACTTCAGAGCTTATTTTCTATATGAAAAGCACATTTGAAAATCACAGTGACATACTAGAGTTACTGGGGTTTCCTGTAAGATCACAGTGACATACTAGAGTTACTGGGGTTTCCTGTAAGATCACAGTGACATACTAGAGTTACTGGGGTTTCCTGTAAGATCACAGTGACATACTATAGTTACTGGGGTTTCCTGTAAGATCACAGTGACATGCTAGAGTTACTGGGGTTTCCTGTAAGATCACAGTGACATACTAGAGTTACTGGGGTTTCCTGTAAGATCACAGTGACATGCTAGAGTTACTGGGGTTTCTTGTAAGATCACAGTGACATACTAGAGTTACTGGGGTTTCCTTTAAGATCACAGTGACATACTAGAGTTACTGGGGTTTCCTGTAAGATCACAGGGACATACTAGAGTTACTGGGGTTTCCTGTAAGATCACAGTGACATACTAGAGTTACTGGGGTTTCCTGTAAGATCACAGTGACATACTAGAGTTACTGGGGTTTCCTGTAAGATCACAGTGACATACTAGAGTTACTGGGGTTTCCTGTAAGATCACAGTGACATACTAGAGTTACTGGGGTTTCCTGTAAGATCACAGTGACATACTAGAGTTACTGGGGTTTCCTGTAAGATCACAGTGACATACTAGAGTTACTGGGGTTTCCTGTAAGATCACAGTGACATGCTAGAGTTACTGGGGTTTCCTGTAAGATCACAGTGACATACTAGAGTTACTGGGGTTTCTTGTAAGATCACAGTGACATACTAGAGTTACTGGGGTTTCCTGTAAGATCACAGTGACATACTAGAGTTACTGGGGTTTCCTGTAAGATCACAGGGACATACTAGAGTTACTGGGGTTTCCTGTAAGATCACAGTGACATACTAGAGTTACTGGGGTTTCCTGTAAGATCACAGTGACATACTAGAGTTACTGGGGTTTCCTGTAAGATCACAGTGACATACTAGAGTTACTGGGGTTTCCTGTAAGATCACAGTGACATGCTAAGGTTACTGGGGTTTCCTGTAAGATCACAGTGACATACTAGAGTTACTGGGGTTTCCTGTAAGATCACAGTGACATACTAGAGTTACTGGGGTTTCCTGTAAGATCACAGTGACATGCTAGAGTTACTGGGGTTTCCTGTAAGATCACAGTGACATACTAGAGTTAATTGATAGAAAGTATTTGTTGCCAAAGAATTGTCATAACAAATTTTAAAACATAGTTAAGCTAAACATGGTTAAAGTTACGATTCTATAAAAATGTACTTAAACTGCCTCTAAACAAACGTCTAATACTGTACAATGATTTAGTCGTATCAGTTCTTATGTATAACTCATCCTGTTGGGCCGTCCCCGAAATATTCCTTGAAAAAACTAGATGTTGTTCACCGCAGACGTCTTCGCACTATTTTGAATATAAAACAAAAACTTGTATAAACGCTGCAGTGCTGAACCGTTGTCAGAAAAAGTGGCCCATAGTCGGTGGAGAATGTTAGGATATGTTTTGCGGAGTCCTATTGATGAACCAGCGTTCTCTTCTCTCATTTTTGCCATCAATACACTGGACTTACCAGGGAGCAACCTAAAGCAATTTATTCTCACTGATTGTGCATGATGATTTATGTAAAAGAAATCTTTCTATGAATAATATTTTTGATCTGTATTATCTCCGTAATTTAGCTTATGATAAGAGATATTGGCAATGTCCTTAAACACTGACGATGGCATTCGTCCCCCCCCCCCCCCCCCATTACGTCATATCTACTTATAAAGAGTATTTAATTGTCATCATAGCAGTATCAAAACTCATCAGTCTTACCTGCTACACTAGTTACCATGACAACTACACTAGTCATCATGCTTACCTCATATTCTGCAGTTTTTTCAAGTCATTGAGAACATTTGACAAATAAATAGGGTTTATATTAGTAAAGATTACCAGCAACGTAACATTACTCTTGATTTATGGTTTACTCTAGTAGCAGTTATACTCACATTAGATCTAATAGATCTGTCGATACAGTTAGTTGCCATACACACGTACTTGCCGGACACGTCGCTTGACACGTCCTTCACTTCCAACAGGTCTTTGTTGGACATCAGGGCCAGGCCTGAACAAATTGAGAAAAGTTATAAAATGTACAATGTTCTCAATTGAGATATTTGACTGATAAATAATGTGACTTACTACGGTAAGGTTTGCTAATTTACAGCTTACCTTTACGTTCGACTCGGTACCAAGCCACATCTGGGCTAGGGGTACCGTGACTCCCACACTTCAGTCGCAGACTGGCTCCTTGTTGCACCAACATCTGAAGCAGAGTTATTTAAACATTCCAGTGGAGGGGGGGGGGGGGGGGGGTGGCAACATTCCACTCAATTATTTGAGGGGAGGTTATGGTATTGTCTACAATGTACGTGAAATTACACGTTGGTATTTTCATAAAAGTGGAGGAATTATATATTCCAGAACAGGAGATTGTATAATTAGCCTAATTTATCAGTAATACTGATAACAGTGAGGCATATGTCACTAAATGCTCAAATGGTGACCCCAAAACTATATTTCCATAATTATGAATTAAAAGAACTCCTCCAAGAAGAGATGCAGATTAATTTTTCCTTGTTATATAATCAACTCATTTGACTCAATACCAGTGTGCATTTTCCAATATCAATGTGCACTTTCCAATATCACTGTGCTCTTTTCAATATCAAACTTAAGAAATTTCTAGCAATATTGCACAGAATGTAAATAGATATTTCGTGTTTTGGCAAATGAAATTTCTCCTTCCAGTTTTATAAAAACCAACAATGAAACCATAGAAAAGCTTATTCCAGAAATACTGACCTTATTTTTGAGCTGGCTAACTTCCGGGTCCTTGATGACAGGACAGAGATTGTCCTGCCAAACAGTAAGGTTCTTACCGGACTGGCAGGCTTCTACCTGAGGGGGGGGGGGAGGATCATGTTGTTATCTAAATATTATTCTACCTGAGGGGGGGGGGGGGATCATGTTGTTATCTAAATATTATTCTACCTGAGGGGGGGGGGATCATGTTGTTATCTAAATATTATTCTACCTGAGGGGGGGGGATCATGTTGTTATCTAAATATTATTCTACCTGAGGGGGGGGGGGATCATGTTGTTATCTAAATATTATTCTACCTGAGGGGGGGGGGGGATCATGTTGTTATCTAAATATTATTCTACCTGAGGGGGGGGGGGGATCATGTTGTTATCTAAATATTATTCTACCTGAGGGGGGGGGGATCATGTTGTTATCTAAATATTATTCTACCTGAGGGGGGGGGGGATCATGTTGTTATCTAAATATTATTCTACCTGAGGGGGGGGGGATCATGTTGTTATCTAAATATTATTCTACCTGAGGGGGGGGGGGGATCATGTTGTTATCTAAATATTATTCTACCTGAGGGGGGGGGGGATCATGTTGTTATCTAAATATTATTCTACCTGAGGGGGGGGGGATCATGTTGTTATCTAAATATTATTCTACCTGAGGGGGGGGGGATCATGTTGTTATCTAAATATTATTCTACCTGAGGGGGGGGGGGATCATGTTGTTATCTAAATATTATTCTACCTGAGGGGGGGGGGGATCATGTTGTTATCTAAATATTATTCTACCTGAGGGGGGGGGGATCATGTTGTTATCTAAATATTATTCTACCTGAGGGGGGGGGGATCATGTTGTTATCTAAATATTATTCTACCTGAGGGGGGGGGGGATCATGTTGTTATCTAAATATTATTCTACCTGAGGGGGGGGGGGATCATGTTGTTATCTAAATATTATTCTACCTGAGGGGGGGGGGATCATGTTGTTATCTAAATATTATTCTACCTGAGGGGGGGGGGGATCATGTTGTTATCTAAATATTATTCTACCTGAGGGGGGGGGATCATGTTGTTATCTAAATATTATTCTACCTGAGGGGGGAGGGGATCATGTTGTTATCTAAATATTATTCTACCTGAGGGGGGGGGGGATCATGTTGTTATCTAAATATTATTCTACCTGAGGGGGGGGGGATCATGTTGTTATCTAAATATTATTCTACCTGAGGGGGGGGGGATCATGTTGTTATCTAAATATTATTCTACCTGAGGGGGGGGGGGATCATGTTGTTATCTAAATATTATTCTACCTGAGGGGGGGGGATCATGTTGTTATCTAAATATTATTCTACCTGAGGGGGGGGGGATCATGTTGTTATCTAAATATTATTCTACCTGAGGGGGGGGGATCATGTTGTTATCTAAATATTATTCTACCTGAGGGGGGGGGGGATCATGTTGTTATCTAAATATTATTCTACCTGAGGGGGGGGGGATCATGTTGTTATCTAAATATTATTCTACCTGAGGGGGGGGGATCATGTTGTTATCTAAATATTATTCTACCTGAGGGGGGGGGGGATCATGTTGTTATCTAAATATTATTCTACCTGAGGGGGGGGGGGGATCATGTTGTTATCTAAATATTATTCTACCTGAGGGGGGGGGGGGATCATGTTGTTATCTAAATATTATTCTACCTGAGGGGGGGGGGGATCATGTTGTTATCTAAATATTATTCTACCTGAGGGGGGGGGGATCATGTTGTTATCTAAATATTATTCTACCTGAGGGGGGGGGGGGGGATCATGTTGTTATCTAAATATTATTCTACCTGAGGGGGGGGGGATCATGTTGTTATCTAAATATTATTCTACCTGAGGGGGTGATCATGTTGTTATCTAAATATTATTCTGACAGTATTTACTGAACTTACATTTTACAGCCCAAAACATAAGTTGTAAAAATGGCAGCTTTAAATGCGGTAATGTCAGCCTCAGCAGATTTGAGGACTCCACTCCAGCTATAATACCTATACTACAGACTACGACTATACCTAAATACTATGTAGGTACCTTCAAAGTGCAGCGGTTGAAATAGCTGACACAGTTGTTTCCACAGATGGGTTCAATAGGTTCCTGGCTGCAAGAGTCCAGGGTGGGACAGGAACATGTCCCAACACCATTCTGGTTCTTACACACTTCCAACTGCCCACACCTTACATCCTTACAGGGATCAGACTGCACCGTCACATACGCGTCAGATATAAGGTAGTCGTGAGTGTTAACTGCGGCACACCTGGTAGTAATGAGTAATATCAACATACCAAACAAACACTACACATACCAAACAAACACTACACATACCAAACAAACACTACACATACCAAACAAACACTACACATACCAAACAAACACTACACATACCAAACAAACACTACACATACCAAACAAACACTACACATACCAAACAAAACACTACACATACCAACAAACACTACACATACCAAACAAACACTACACATACCAAACAAACACTACACATACCCAAACAAACACTACACATACCAAACAAACACTACACATACCAAACAAACACTACACATACCAAACAAACACTACACATACCAAACAAACACTACACATACCAAACAAAACACTACACATACCAAACAAACACTACACATACCACACATACCAACAAACACTACACATACCAAACCAACACTACACATACCAAACAACACTACACATACCAAACAAACACTACTACAAACCAAACAAACACATACACAACAAACATACACTACCAAACAAACACTACACATACCAACAAACACTACACTACCAAACAAAACACTACACATACCAAACAAACACTACACATACCAAACAAACACTACACATACCCAACAAACCTACACATACCAAACAAACATACACATACCAAACAAACACTACACATACCAAACAAAACACTACACATACCAAACAAACACTACACATACCAAACAAACACTACACATACCAAACAAACACTTCACATACCAAACAAACACTACACATACCAAACAAACACTACACATACCAAACAGTGTGCGATAGATGTAGTGGGCCCCCTGCCCCTACCCCACTGGTTAGATGTAGTGGCCCCCCTGCCCCTACCCCACTGGTTAGATGTAGTGGCCCCCCTGCCCCTACCCCACTGGTTAGATGTAGTGGCCCCCCTGCCCCTACCCCACTGGTTAGATGTAGTGGCCCCCCTGCCCCTACCCCACTGGTTAGATGTAGTGGCCCCCTGCCCCTACCCCACTGGTTAGATGTAGTGGCCCCCCTGCCCCACTGGTTAGATGTAGTGGCCCCCCTGCCCCTACCCCACTGGTTAGATGTAGTGGCCCCCCTGCCCCTACCCCACTGGTTAGATGTAGTGGCCCCCCTGTCCCCTACCCCACTGGTAAGATGTAGTGGCCCCCCTGCCCCTACCCCACTGGTTAGATGTAGTGGCCCCCCTGCCCCTACCCCACTGGTTAGATGTAGTGGCCCCCTGCCCCTACCCCACTGGTTAGATGTAGTGGCCCCCCTGCCCCTACCCCACTGGTTAGATGTAGTGGCCCCCCCTGCCCCTACCCCACTGGTTAGATGTAGTGGCCCCCCTGCCCCTACCCCACTGGTTAGATGTAGTGGCCCCCCTGCCCCTACCCCACTGGTTAGATGTAGTGGCCCCCCTGCCCCTACCCCACTGGTTAGATGTAGTGGCCCCCCTGCCCCTACCCCACTGGTTAGATGTAGTGGCCCCCCTGCCCCTACCCCACTGGTTAGATGTAGTGGCCCCCCTGCCCCTACCCCACTGGTTAGATGTAGTGGCCCCCCTGCCCCTACCCCACTGGTTAGATGTAGTGGCCCCCCTGCCCCTACCCCACTGGTTAGATGTAGTGGCCCCCCTGCCCCTACCCCACTGGTTAGATGTAGTGGCCCCCCTGCCCCTACCCCACTGGTTAGATGTAGTGGCCCCCCTGCCCCTACCCCACTGGTTAGATGTAGTGGCCCCCCTGCCCCTACCCCACTGGTTAGATGTAGTGGCCCCCCTACCCCTACCCCACTGGTTAGATGTAGTGGCCCCCCCTGCCCCTACCCCACTGGTTAGATGTAGTGGCCCCCCTGCCCCTACCCCACTGGTTAGATGTAGTGGCCCCCCTGCCCCTACCCCACTGGTTAGATGTAGTGGCCCCCCTGCCCCTACCCCACTGGTTAGATGTAGTGGCCCCCCTGCCCCTACCCCACTGGTTAGATGTAGTGGCCCCCCTGCCCCTACCCCACTGGTTAGATGTAGTGGCCCCCCTGCCCCTACCCCACTGGTTAGATGTAGTGGCCCCCCTGCCCCTACCCCACTGGTTAGATGTAGTGGCCCCCCTGCCCCTACCCCACTGGTTAGATGTAGTGGCCCCCCTGCCCCTACCCCACTGGTTAGATGTAGTGGCCCCCCTGCCCCTACCCCACTGGTTAGATGTAGTGGCCCCCCTGCCCCTACCCCACTGGTTAGATGTAGTGGCCCCCCTGCCCCTACCCCACTGGTTAGATGTAGTGGCCCCCCTGCCCCTACCCCACTGGTTAGATGTAGTGGCCCCCCTGCCCCTACCCCACTGGTTAGATGTAGTGGCCCCCCTGCCCCTACCCCACTGGTTAGATGTAGTGGCCCCCCTGCCCCTACCCCACTGGTTAGATGTAGTGGCCCCCCTGCCCCTACCCCACTGGTTAGATGTAGTGGCCCCCCTGCCCCTACCCCACTGGTTAGATGTAGTGGCCCCCCTGCCCCTACCCCACTGGTTAGATGTAGTGGCCCCCCTGCCCCTACCCCACTGGTTAGATGTAGTGGCCCCCCTGCCCCTACCCCACTGGTTAGATGTAGTGGCCCCCCTGCCCCTACCCCACTGGTTAGATGTAGTGGCCCCCCTGCCCCTACCCCACTGGTTAGATGTAGTGGCCCCCCTGCCCCTACCCCACTGGTTAGATGTAGTGGCCCCCCTGCCCCACTGGTTAGATGTAGTGGCCCCCCTGCCCCTACCCCACTGGTTAGATGTAGTGGCCCCCTGCCCCTACCCCACTGGTTAGATGTAGTGGCCCCCCTGCCCCTACCCCACTGGTTAGATGTAGTGGCCCCCCTGCCCCTACCCCACTGGTTAGATGTAGTGGCCCCCCTGCCCCTACCCCACTGGTTAGATGTAGTGGCCCCCCTGCCCCTACCCCACTGGTTAGATGTAGTGGCCCCCCTACCCCACTGGTTAAATGTAGTGGCCCCCCTACCCCACTGGTTAGATGTAGTGGCCCCCCTGCCCCTACCCCACTGGTTAAATGTAGTGGCCCCCCTGCCCCTACCCCACTGGTTAGATGTAGTGGCCCCCCTGCCCCTACCCCACTGGTTAGATGTAGTGGCCCCCCTGCCCCTACCCCACTGGTTAGATGTAGTGGCCCCCCTGCCCCTACCCCACTGGTTAGATGTAGTGGCCCCCCTGCCCCTACCCCACTGGTTAGATGTAGTGGCCCCCTGCCCCTACCCCACTGGTTAGATGTAGTGGCCCCTGCCCCTACCCCACTGGTTAGATGTAGTGGCCCCCCTGCCCCTACCCCACTGGTTAGATGTAGTGGCCCCCCTGCCCCTACCCCACTGGTTAGATGTAGTGGCCCCCTGCCCCTACCCCACTGGTTAGATGTAGTGGCCCCCCTGCCCCTACCCCACTGGTTAGATGTAGTGGCCCCCCTGCCCCTACCCCACTGGTTAAATGTAGTGGCCCCCTGCCCCTACCCCACTGGTTAGATGTAGTGGCCCCCCTGCCCCTACCCCACTGGTTAGATGTAGTGGTTAGATATACTGTTAAAAAAGAAGCACTATCACAGTTCTTTTAGCTGCTGTATATATTTCCAGGGTTTGTCCTAAAATAACTGAATAAGAACCTAATATCTATAATAATTATTGTCAGGATGCAATCAATTAGTCGAATATTAATTAGTTCGCTATTTGGCAGTATATTCCGGCTGCAGACAATAATCATATCCGGGTATATCGGTGAGCGGTGTAGTAGTAGTAGTAGTAGTGTGCAGGGCATACCTTGTTTACAGGTAGTTACCGTCACTAAAACCAATATTTAACTTTTAAATATTTCTATTGTTGCCACAGGAAAAAGGATTTTTAAATCTCATTAGACTGAAGCCGCAATATTATAGCGCTGTTCCTGTGTAATATTCAGGGGGTCAATTTACAAATCATATAAATACAGATTACTTAGAAAGCATGTTGTGTTTGAATAGCTGGTAGTGAGGAGTATACTCACTTATACTGATTGCCATTTTCTCTCTGAAGCCATTGTGCGTACACGGTATGTTACAAGTTCTATCATTGATATGTTTACATCTCTCTTTGTGCTGTTTAGTAAGATTACTTCATCTCATTATAATGAATGTTTTGATAAGCAACTTCTTGGCAAACTTATCCCAAATTTCTTATCGATTACTAGATCTAGTATGTAGTCACAATTACATTTCTTATTTAAAACGACTTGAAGTATGAACACTAGAGTAGCAGAGTGTAGTTAAATTAATAAATCTTCTAAATTCTGTTCTAAGTTAAAACGTTTATTGAGTACTGATATGTTTTTAAGCTGTGCAGAAACTGAATTCATTTCTTCGTATGCAATCGTGACCTAATCCACGCAATGTGTTTAGGTTTAGGTAACATGACCAGAATACAGCTCTCTGATTGGTTAGTTTGTATCACGTGACCAGAATACAGCTCTCTGATTGGTTAGTTTGTATCACGTGACTAGAATAAAGCCTCCTGATTGGTTAATCGTGACCTTATCCACGCAACTTCTTCTTCATAGTGCAACATCAAGTTAAACACAGGTATTCGATTAAATATGCTCCTGTTTGCATGGAATGCGCCTGGTACAATATGCCCCCCCCCCGTCTACACTCTACATGCTGCGTGTCTATGGTAGTATTAGTTTCTCTGTGTACGTACCATAAATTATAAGATATGTTTGTAATAAATTCCGGTGCAACATTTCTACATTTTTGCGATCGCTATTACTGCCCTCTTTTTACTTAGTGTTATTGAATGTTTATTAAATGTTGGTCCTGTTCTCCGGTGAATCTATCTTTTGTCTTCGCAATATAATTACTTATTTTTTAGATTTGTATTAATCTTTAAATTATACTTCAAGGCTAACGTTTTCCTTTGTAAAAATATATCAAGTTGTTCTGTTCTGTGTATTGACTTGCCACTTTTATATTCGCCGACTGACTACAGTATATATTTAACAACTTTAAATAACGAACGACCCCACAAAAGTAATGATCAAATGATGTTAATCTGTACAATCAATTATAACAATTTAGCATCATGTATATTGTATATCATGTAGTTTCATATTTTCTATTATAATGTAGTAATCACAGTTGCAGTTATGATGTTTACCTTAGATACTATTACTCGTAATGATAATAGTACAATTATCTTGATAGCAAGGAAGTACTGCTACTGTTATATTGTGTAGGCCATGTACAATTATTGTGTACATATATAAATATATCTTGCCCTAATTCAAATCCTTAGTAGTAGAAGTAGTCTAATCCTTGATAACCTCAACCGAAATCCCTGATGGCTGCCGGAGCAGAATATGACAGAACGAACATAACAACCATCAGCTCCCTTGATGATTACTTTCCGTACTCAGACGGAGTGTTTATCTCCCTGGCCGGACTAAACATACTCATTGTTCTTATAGCGGTGCTGGGTAACTGTATCGTGATCTATGGAAGTAAAATATATAATGCCATCAAGATAGACAAAGTTTCCCTCATATTTCTGGAAGCTCTGGCTGTAGCAGACATCCTAATAGCGATAGTGTTCTACGTGCCCATAACAGTGACTCTAGTCAGAGGAAGCTGGGTGCTAGGCAACAGTCTGTGTTTTGTAAACGCCTTCTTCACCTCTACCCCCAGCATAGCAGAGATCCTCATACTGACGGCTATCTCCCTTCACCGCACCTGGGCGGTGAGGAACCCCTTCAACGCAGATGTTAACCCCACTCTTGTAATGGTCCTGATCCTGGTGTTGTGGCTGGTAGCTCTGGTGCCCCCCCTAGTGTGGATAATACTAGACATGTTCTCTTACTACGACCCTCACAACCTGTCCTGCGTGTCCTCTGTGTATACTGACCCTGCTATGAGGGGGGTCGCAGCTGCTGGCAGTGTCCTGCTCGTAGGGTTACCTCTGTTGGTGGTGGTCATTTGTAATATCTACCTTCTCTACGTCTCTATTGCTCACAACAAACGTATGGGACAGTCGCCTTCCAGGTGGGTTCATTATTAGGTAACTTCCGGCACTTTCACTTTTATTATTATAAATAAGACGATCTTTTAGAGTATTCTTTTTGAGTATTATTTTAGATTATTATTTTAGAGTATTCTTTTAGAGTATTATTTTAGAGTATTCTTTTAGAGTATTCTTTAAGATTATTCTTTACGAGTATTCTTTTAGAGTATTCTTTTAGATTATTCTTTATGAGTATTCTTTTTGAGTATTCTTTAATAGTATTCTTTTAGATTATTATTTTAGAGTATTATTTTAGAGTATTATTTTAGAGTATTCTTTAAGAGTATTCTTTAAGAGTATTCTTTTAGATTATTCTTTATGAGTATTCTTTTTGAGTATTCTTTAATAGTATTCTTTTAGATTATTATTTTAGAGTATTATTTTAGAGTATTATTTTAGAGTATTCTTTAAGAGTATTCTTTAAGAGTATTCTTTAAGAGTATTCTTTTTGGGTATTCTTTAGTTTGACAATTTCTATTTTGCAGGGTAGCAGTGGTGACTATAACCATTATCTGCTGGACCTTCGTCATATCTTGGTTGCCCTTTGTGATAAAAGTAATTCTGACGGCGGTGATGGACGAGGTCCCCGCATGGATATACGTGGTACAGATTGAGATGCTGGGTCTCAATGTAATGCTCAACCCTGTCATTTACACCGTCACAAATAGGAGGTTCCGCGACTTTTTGGTGAGGAAACTTTTCAGGCGACGAAAGAAGCCGACTCATTACTTAAACCGGAGTTTTAGTCCGAATAGGGATCTGAATGTAGTGCAGAGGATATCGGCATTTTCTGATTCATCTCCCAACTTGCACAGAAATACTGCACCCAATTATAGTACAGGGAAATCCGTCTGAAAAAATCGATTTGCCGACACACAAAGCTTACAAAGGATTTTTGACGTTTTTGAGTCCTAATAGGTGTCCTTTATGGCTGACCAACTTTTCCAAACTTTTCCACGTGTCTTAAGGCCACTTTTTGCCACTTTACCACTTTTTACCACCTTTTTTGTTTGTCAAATATCTTTAGTTGTGAACATCGTAGAAAGTTGCAGATTAAACGAGGGTGTTTATATTATCAAGAAGAAAAACTTTTGTTCAGACAATTTTTTCCTCAGATAATCAATTAATTGGATAATTATCAATTAACTAATTAGCAAAAATTTAAAATTTTTTTATTGGCTCAAAATGATTGGAATAGCTTAAAACACGGAGAAAAGTAGTTTTTAGAAAAACTTCGAAAATTTTTCACTTACATTTTTTTTTCAAGACTTATAAAAAAATTTCGAATTTTCGAAATTTTTTTCGCCAAAAGTTATCAAATTGCATGAAACGTGGAGAAAAATGCTTTTTAAAAAACTTCGCGAATTTTTGTTTTCAAGAATACTAAAATCACTTATAGTTGTAGTTGGAGTTCAGTAAATCTCGGCAGATTTTAGTAATCAGGAATTATTAAATCGAAATAGATAAAAGGACTGAAACTGAAAAACGTTAACCACAGGATATTAGAGTTTATAATTAATTACAGTATATCCTTATCGATTTTTACAGAAACTGCACCAAAGGCACATTTAAGATCGAGCCGATAGCCTGCTGTACTACGATAATATGTAATAAATAAAACATCTCTGAGTCTGTACCGTCAATCGTGCTAATCTGAACCAGCCTACCTGGATTACCATCTACCTCTTCTTTTCATCAATAATTAGACCGAGTTGTGCAAGAAATGTGATTAATCATAGCTCATATTGCATTTAGTGGGTGATGTAAGTACTTGTCGAGCTGTATTCAATCACAATAGTAATATACGACACAATACCTTTGTATTAGATGGCCCTTAATGCGGTATATGAAACGCTTTATACCTCGATAGACCCGGTATAGTTTATCACGAAAACGTCTACTTGGCCTCATGGCTCATTTACAGCTCGAAGAAGGCAATAAGAGACCATGGATACCAAGGAAGAGCTAGGAAGTAGGAAACAAGTGTAAATACACCTTCCAACATCTATTGTGACTTGTTTTCTATTGTTCTGCGTACCACTTCATTCGCTATGCGAGATACCTCATACCTCAAATCACCCCCATATGTCAGGGTTGGCTAAATTCAAAAAGAGTAATATACGGGCAGAGGTAAAATCTAGAATCTAGATACAAGCGTCCGACATGGGCAAGAGCAGTGGGGTAGTAAAGAAACGGTAATGATTATGTTGGTTTGCAATCCGGATGTTGTGAAGTAAAAAGACAGGTTCTTGCCGCAGGATATTTGGGGGCCATGATGATCAGCTCGGGATCAATATGGGACGGATCGAAGAGGATTAAAATGTGCGAGTTGACATTTTAGGCTTTCTGATGTTTTCTTGCCTTCTTCGAGCTGTCAATGAGCCATGAGGACAAGTAGAAGTTTTCGTGATACAGTAAAACCTCTCTATGCCGGCCTTTCGCGGGAGAAACGAGAAGTGCACGGTATAGTCTATAGATTTATAGAAACACCCCGATAAAGAGCATTTCATATACCGCATTAAGGGGCATATGATGTACACATACTGTGTTTTATTGTGATAGTGTGATTGAAAACAGCTCGATATTATTTACAGACCCATCAAATGCGATATGACTCATATTGCATTTGGTGGGTGATGTAATTATTATGAGCTATAATAATAATAAATCATATTTCTTGCACAACTCGGTCTAATTATTGATGAAAAGAAGAGGTAGATGGTAATCCAGGTAGGCTGGTTCAGATTAGCACGATTGACGGTACAGACTCAGAGATGTTTTATTTATTACATATTATCGTAGTACAGCAGGCTATCGGCTCGATCTTAAATGTGCCTTTGGTGCAGTTTCTGTAAAAATCGATAAGGATATACTGTAATTAATTATAAACTCTAATATCCTGTGGTTAACGTTTTTCAGTTTCAGTCCTTTTATCTATTTCGATTTAATAATTCCTGATTACTAAAATCTGCCGAGATTTACTGAACTCCAACTACAACTATAAGTGATTTTAGTATTCTTGAAAACAAAAATTCACGAAGTTTTTTAAAAAGCATTTTTCTCCACGTTTCATGCAATTTGATAACTTTTGGCGAAAAAAATTTCGAAAATTCGAAATTTTTTTATAAGTCTTGAAAAAAAAATGTAAGTGAAAAATTTTCGAAGTTTTTCTAAAAACTACTTTTCTCCGTGTTTTAAGCTATTCCAATCATTTTGAGCCAATAAAAAAATTTTAAATTTTTGCTAATTAGTTAATTGATAATTATCCAATTAATTGATTATCTGAGGAAAAAATTGTCTGAACAAAAGTTTTTCTTCTTGATAATATAAACACCCTCGTTTAATCTGCAACTTTCTACGATGTTCACAACTAAAGATATTTGACAAACAAAAAAGGTGGTAAAAAGTGGTAAAGTGGCAAAAAGTGGCCTTAAGACACGTGGAAAAGTTTGGAAAAGTTGGTCAGCCATAAAGGACACCTATTAGGACTCAAAAACGTCAAAAATCCTTTGTAAGCTTTGTGTGTCGGCAAATCGATTTTTTCAGACGGATTTCCCTGTACTATTACGGGGATGCGCGGATTTAAATGGCAAAATCTTATCAGAATATTTGAACCGAGAAGATATAGATTTTAATTCAATTTTTACTCGATGAAGTAGCGGTCTTTAAAATATTGAAGTCACGGGAGTTTTTTATTTGAGCGTAATTGATGTGTTCTGTAAATCATTATACATAAGTGCACGTCTTGTCGTCTGCAATGTCTTACATTTCAATTTTCATCATAACAATAAGTTTGTTTTTCTGGGCAAATCGATTTAAAACATTAAAATCAAATCACTGAAAATACTCTGAAGTTGGTAATTGGGTGGAGAAGATATTTGATACGCGACCTACACTCAATACTCTGAACGTAATATGATTGATTACAAATTGCAGGTCTGCAATTTGCACACAAACTCTCAATTCTCATTAGTATCCAAAAGTCAGGATACAACTTAACAAGGAGCCTGCCATCTAAGACACAGCCTTTATAAGGAGCCTGCCATCTGGGACACAGTCTTTATAAAGAGCCTGCCATCTGTGACACAGTCTTTATAAGGATCCTGCCATCTGGGACACAGTCTTTATAAGGATCCTGCCATCTGTGACACAGTCTTTATAAGGATCCTGCCATCTGTGACACAGTCTTTATAAGGAGCCTGCCATCTTGAACACAGTCTTTATAAGGAGCCTGCCATCTGGGACACAGTCTTTTTAAGGAGCCTGCCATCTGGGACACAGTCTTTATAAGGAGCCTGCCATCTGGGACACAGTCTTTATAAGGATCCTGCCATCTGTGACACAGTCTTTATAAGGATCCTGCCATCTGGGACACAGTCTTTATAAGGAGCCTGCCATCTGGGACACAGTCTTTATAAAGATCCTGCCATCTGGGACACAGTCTTTATAAAGAGCCTGCCATCTGTGACACAGTCTTTATAAGGATCCTGCCATCTGTGACACAGTCTTTATAAAGAGCCTGCCATCTGTGACACAGTCTTTATAAGGATCCTGCCATCTGGGACACAGTCTTTATAAAGAGCCTGCCATCTGTGACACAGTCTTTATAAGGATCCTGCCATCTGTGACACAGTCTTTAAAAGGAGCCTGCCATCTGTGACACAGTCTTTATAAGGAGCCTGCCATCTAAGACACAGCCTTTATAAGGAGCCTGCCATCTGGGACACAGTCTTTATAAGGATCCTGCCATCTGTGACACAGTCTTTATAAGGATCCTGCCATCTGTGACACAGTCTTTATAAAGAGCCTGCCATCTGTGACACAGTCTTTATAAGGATCCTGCCATCTGGGACACAGTCTTTATAAAGAGCCTGCCATCTGTGACACAGTCTTTATAAGGATCCTGCCATCTGTGACACAGTCTTTAAAAGGAGCCTGCCATCTGGGACACAGTCTTTATAAGGAGCCTGCCATCTGGGACACAGTCTTTATAAGGAGCCTGCCATCTGGGACATCCAGCAAACTAAGTTGACGTAGCTTTAAGAAAACGTATCATGGAGAGTTTGCACACATTTAGTCTATTATTAGCATTCTGATATAGTGTCAGTGGATGAGGCAGAAGGAATTATATATATATATATATAACTATATGATTAGTATATATATATAATAACTATCAAACTTCTTTCTGATCTGTATCAGTGTAACAGTGTTTTTAATTTGAAAGTATTTTATCCGCTGATCTGATACAAGCTGTCAGTTAGCAAGTCATCTTACATAACACGTGACATACCACGTGACATACCACGTGACATCACGTACAAAGCAAGAATATCATCAAGTAATGTCAGAATTTCTATTCCAGTAGTAACCGTGACATGCGCAAGATCGATTTGGGCTAGGCCTAATTAATATCTTTTAACAAAATTGAAAGTTTGCCTATATTTTGCAGTTATTTTGTAGCAGGCTTGGAATGGCCATTATTGGCGAGAATTTTTGTCATACCACTATTTTAGCGCTTCACAGATCGCAAAGGTTTACAGTGCACGACCAAATATTATTCGCACATTCTAATAACGTTTAAAATATTAGAAATATCTAATGATCTAATCCACATGCAGGCATGCTAATTAAATTATTACGTGATTAAGAAGAAGTTTACCTGTACCAGCCCTCGTTCTCCAGGGTTATATCGAATATAGTGAACTCGGAGTGGACGTCCCTGTACCCGGTATCTACATTTCGGTATCTAAAATAAATATTATTAGTCTCACAGTTCGTAAGGGACATCACACACAAAATAGAGTTTTATTAGTTTCATTTACAGATTAGCTGCAGATTGGTGTGGGCATTGTGAACATTTTCTGGAAAATGATTTGTCACAAACATTTGTGTGCAGGAATGTTCATAGTCCCAGCAATTAGTTGTAAAAAAAGATCTGATGAGCACAACTAGCTAGCGCATATTATGTTCTCCATGCGCTCTAAGAACACTCTTTAAAAATGTGTTTCTGCCATTAAAAGGCACTGAGGGACTCAATAGGGGTGACAAATTATTGCAATATTTTGCATAATGACTGCAATAATCAATATTCACATTATGGCAAATAGATTGTTTGAAAATTCTCAGACCATCGCGTATAAAAGATGTTTTAATTTTCGCCTCAACTTTTTGGACCACAAATCGGAATATAATCATTTGAGGACATATTGTTTCAAACCTTGCATATTGCGGCCATTGCGGAAAATTTTGTCACCTATTTGAAAGTCTTTGAGACCTTTTTAGCTCAGTTTATAACAAACCCATATTTTTGCAAATAGCCAAGCCAAAAATTAGTTTTTCGCCAATAATTCGAAAAGTAAGTCATTTACTTTTAGGGCATATGCCATATGCTGCTTTATAAGTTCTACACGAATATGTTGGTTTCAGCTATTTTACACTTATCCAGAAGTCTGTATTATCTTCCAAACAAAAGTTAGGAAACTTTACCAAAAATATCAGAGATTTTTAATTTTTTCCAAAAATTTAAAAAATCTCAAGTCTCTGGTCTGAGCACTTTACACCACGTGGTGTGACGTCACACCACGTGGTATGACGTCACACCACGTCAGCCTTAATGTGAATATCGCAGTAATTTAGCACCTCATATTGAGCTCCTGGGTGCCTTCCTAATGGCAGGAACACATTTTAAAAGTTTGTTCTTAGAGCGCATATCTAGTTGTAGTTATCAGATATACTTTTACAACTCATTTGGGGTGAGACTATTTACAAGAGGGTTTCAGTACCTGTTAGAATATCTCAATTTCCGGTACATTTGTTTGGTTGATATAGCCACTCTGGGAATTGGGTTACCTGGGACAAAGGTTAAAGTTAGTGTGTGCATCATGTGAATTTCTAATCCACTACTTCAATATAATAATAATATACATAATATATCTCAAAAACTCTCCCGCCCAAAAAAGACTTTCTTAGATTTTGTATAATTAACGTCAGAAGTGATAAAAAATAAACGTTAGAATAATGGCGTTATTTTATTTAAAGTTAACTACGTCGTCGCTTAGCAACCGCAAGATATTGCACGTGCGCGAGCAAGCACTGGTTAGCAACGCGCGTTGCCATGGTTTATGATACGTCATACCTAGCTTACATTTACGCTCACGCTATGACTATTCATAACTTTGGTTGTGATTGATATTTGTTGGTGCAGAAAATTGAGGGTATAGAATATAGATGTGGATTCTGGGAGGTGGGGCATATTTGTTGACACGTGACAGCGATTAACCAATCAGCGGTTCAGCATCCACTATCGACCAATCAAATCACTGTCACGTGCACAACCTCTCCAACAGAATCCACATCTATATATTGTAGGATTATTTCTGCAACCTGCAGATATTGTAATTTATTCTAAAAAATATCTATTTCAAATATGTTAAAATCTAGTTTATTTCGGATTTAAATTATCTGTAGAAGTTTCCTAATATTCTGAGATCCACGCTTCTTATTATTTTGGATGGCTACAGTTTCAAAAAATTGTTCTAGTCACTTTTTTGTTTCAAGAAATGTGAGGCGATATGGTGATGGCAGCTGACTGAAAGGCGACGACATTTATCTCCCGCAACTTATTTAGCAGCCAATACACCCCAATACTCCAAAACAATGTCCTGACCAAGAACTTATATCCAGTTGACAACTTATTACAAATTTCAAAGTTATTCATCATACCGGTAATCAAATTTGAAAGTAGACCGTACAAAACTGAGTTGGCCGGACAACAGCCTCCTAGTCTAGAACTGTCTCTCTGTGTTCTCCGTGAACTGGAGAGTAGGTATCAAATGTCGTGTGATTTGTAACCACCATTATATAGTCGCCAGATGGGGGAATTTGCCAAACTTAGAGCTAACATTTCAACAGGCACCCACCTCACCAACCTAAAGACGAATAACACAGAGTTCAACCCAATTAGGATGTGCAAACTGAACATTCATTTCAACCGCACCTGTGTTGACATCAACTTTCTATAAAGCTGATATCCCGCACAATGTGTTGACAGCAACTTCCTACAAAGCTGATATCCCGCACAATATGTTGACAACAACTTCCTATAAAGCTGATATCCCGCACAATGTGTTGACAGCAATTTCCTACAAAGCTGATATCCCGCACAATATGTTGACAGCAACTTCCTATGAAGCTGATATCCCGCACAATATGTTGACAACAACTTCCTACAATTTCCTATAATTTCCGAGTGGCTTAATCAAGAAACCGGTAAGTTATGCGGAGTGGTACTAAAGTGTCTCACTTTTTTGGATACGCTCAGAATTAAATTGACAGTAATGCGGCCGTTTTCGTTCATGCTTCACTGCGATAGTGAAGTCCCGGCCGAAGGCACGGGTTACACTAGTAAGATATAATAGAATAAAGATAGCATACTGTAAAGATATCTTACCTGAAGCGACGCAGCGTAAAGTGATTGTGTCACCTTCTTGCACTGTAATATTCCTTAACTCCGTGACGAAGTAAGGGTTGCTAGTAGCAACCACTTGACTACGGTAATCGTCGAACTGGGCTGCTTCTGCTGCTACCTGCAATATTCATTGTTAGGAAAATGAAAGTTTGGTTGAACGTATTTAATATTTATGTTCAAACAGGAAAAGGGAATTTTCGAAACTGCACCATATTGATAACAGAGCCTGTTGCAAAGGAATTATTTCTCTTGTCTCAGGTGCAGCTGTATAAGTTAGTCGAGTGACCATGTTTGATTTTGAGCAATTTACGACTCATCTTTTGTTCATATTTCCTATTGTGTCTGTTTATATCTTGATTTATATGATGAGATTGCGTCATCATGGGTTAAACATTCTATCCTTTGAGAGTGATCTAAACCCAACCTAATATCATGACCTAAGGTTAATAGCAGGCAGCACTGTCGTCACAGCCTCCCCTTATATTATTTACAGAGCGTTTCCAAATATTCATCTTAAAGAATGTCGACAATGTGTGCAATCATCACTTATATACCAATATATACTATGACATTTCAAATTGAATGGTTAACAAACCATGAAATTATAATCAGATTCTTCCCAAATTCTAATTCGTGTCCGACAAAAGATTCTTTTAACAAGACTTGTTAAAAGTTAGGCTATGTGACAGTAATTAATTAATAATAACTCTTTATATTAGATCAGATCCTTATTTAAACGCTGCTACACATTTAAACCCTCTTAAATTAATTAATATCAGCCTCCAGGAACCAGGCTGGCTTGAAAGGAGTAAAGTTTACAAAGGAGTAAAGTTTACAAACCACCAAATCATGAGATCCTATTAAAACTCACGTTGTTCTCCGAGAGTGAGGACACTAAACTATTATACTAATATAAACCGTTCTCAACACTATAACGTATACCAGAAATATACTAGAATGGGTTCCAGTTCCACAAGTTACAACTGTCAGTCTGTAACTTCAAAACTTACCCTAACAGTAACGTGGAGTTACTAAAGATTTCTGTGCAACATCCCATGCCAGGGAAAGAAATATTTCTTAATTTTCAAAGTTTCAGAAAATGCAATTCGATCAAAAATTGTTATCCAATTAACAGATTATCTTTTAGCAATAATTTTTTCTCATTGATGAGATAAACACCCTCGATGAATCCGCAGTCTTCAACGACTAGGAGGAGACCTCTTCATGTATGTATGTATATTAATAAGCCAAGTCATTAAGACTTCATATAGCGCTAGATGTAGTCCACTTATCCGTGGAGTCTCATAACATGGCCATGTTTTATAGTTGAGACCTGTAACTTTGCAAGTGGAGTCTCATAACATGGCCATGTTTTATAGTTGAGACCTGTAACTTTGCAAGTGGTATACTCTAATTACTTATTCGAGGATTCCGTCCCCGAAGGGCCACACCCAATCAACATTGAATTGTTTATACTCTGTTATATATAGTGCACTAATAGTATAACATGCTAGAAACATATCACAGTCGTCTGCTCAACACCTGTGTAAACACAAAACATAGAACATGGAGTTATTGATCACCTGTCATGGTGCCATATACTAATATAAGAGAATATACGGTCTGTGGATTGCTGTATTTATAAATTCCAATACTAATAAATGCCAATACTAATAAATGCCAATACTAATATTATAACAGAAGAATCGACCATATAGAGATTCCATAAATATTTATTTATGTTACTGTTAGTGAATATTCTATATGTTACTGGGGACGATATGTAGTTTGTAAGCTTGCTAGTCACTCTACTACCAATCTGCAGCCTTATAACCGTGTGTGCCTAATATCTATGGTTGTGAAATGCCCCCCCCCCCATATCTATGGTTGTGAAATGCCCCCCCCCATATCTATGGTTGTGAAATGCCCCCCCCCCATATCTATGGTTGTGAAATGCCCCCCCCATATCTATGGTTGTGAAATGCCCCCCCCCCATATCTATGGTTGTGAAATGCCCCCCCCCCCCATATCTATGGTTGTGAATGCCCCCCTTATATCTATGGTTGTGAAATGCCCCCCCATATCTATGGTTGTGAAATGCCCCCCCCATATCTATGGTTGTGAAATGCCCCCCCCCTTATATCTATGGTTGTGCAATGCCCCCCCATATCTATGGTTGTGAAATGCCCCCCCCATATCTATGGTTGTGAAATGCCCCCCCCCCTATATCTATGGTTGTGAAATGCCCCCCCCCTTATCTTTGGTTGTGAAATGCCCCCCATATCTATGGTTGTGAAATGCCCCCCCCCCCATATATATGGTTGTGAAATGCCCCCCATATCTATGGTTGTGAAATGCCCCCCCCATATCTATGGTTGTGAAATGCCAAACCCCCCCCATATCTATGCATATGGTTGTGAAATGCCCCTCATATCTATGGTTGTGAAATGCCAAACCCCCCCATATCTATGGTTGTGAAATGCCCCCCATATCTATGGTTGTGAAATGCCCCCCCCCCATATCTATGGTTGTGAAATGCCCCCCCCATATCTATGGTTGTGAAATGCCCCCCCTCCACATATCTATGGTTGTGAAATGCCCCCCCCCCATATCTATGGTTGTGAAATGCCCCCCCCATATCTATGGTTGTGAAATGCCCCCCCATATCTATGGTTGTGAAATGCCCCCCCCATATCTATGGTTGTGAAATGCCCCCCCCCCCCATATCTATGGTTGTGAAATGCCCCCCCCCCCATATCTATGGTTGTGAAATGCCCCCCTTATATCTATGGTTGTGAAATGCCCCCCTTATATCTATGGTTGTGAAATGCCCCCCCCCCATATCTATGGTTGTGAAATGCCCCCCTTATATCTATGATTGTGAAATGCCCCCCCCCATATCTATGATTGTGAAATGCCCCCCCCATATCTATGGTTGTGAAATGCCCCCCCCCCATATCTATGGTTGTGAAATGCCCCCCCCCCATATCTATGGTTGTGAAATGCCCCCCCTTATATCTATAGTTGTGAAATGCCCCCCCCCCTTATATCTATAGTTGTGAAATGCCCCCCCCCCCATATCTATGGTTGTGAAATGCCCCCCCCCCCATGTAACGAGGCCAGTAGTTGTGGAGAAGTCTGAGAACTACTGAAATACGGAGAAGAGACGTTGCGTCTAATTGTAGCACTACTACTACTACTTGCTGTAGCACTGTTATATCTAATTGTCTAGGATATAGCAGTGCTATTAGCACACCTTATACACACAAGATAAGATCCTATAATGAGCATATTTGTGGAGTGATCTAACATATTGCCCTCCAGACTGCAGCACTTACAGATAAAGTCTATATAAAACTCTACATAGGCTTCCTTCACACTTCAACAGCACTTGTACTTGTAAGATATCCGCAATAACAATGCAGGTGGGGAGAACTGCCAGATTACTTTAAGAATTTCGAGTGCAAACATTTAAAAGCAGGAATTTTAATCGCTGTAATTATATAAAAAGTATGTGGTTTGCAACGTGGCGGGTGTTTTCGTCTGGTCGAGAATTTTGAGAGCCAGCCGAAGCGCAGCACGGTAACACACGAGATAGTATCTACTTGTCGCGAGATAGTATCTACTATAGTAAATACTATCTTTAGATCCCACGCAAACTTCAAGACTGCCACGTATTACTAACAACTCTTAGCATGTCTAAGAATTACTTCTTAATTTTACAAATACTCCAAAACTACCCTACTACCCTACTACTCCCCTCCTCCTCCTACTCCCCCCTCCTCCTACTCCCCTACTCCCCCCTCCTCCTCCTACTCCGCCCTCCTCCTCCTACTCCCCTACTCCCCTACTCCCCAACTCCCCCTCCTACCCCTCCTACTCCCCAAATCCCCCCTCCTCCCCAATTCCTCCCCCCTACTCCCCAACTCCCCCCTCCTCCTACTCCCCAACTCCCCTCCCCCCTCCTCCCCCTCCTCACCCCCTCCTCCTCCTACTCCCCCTCCTCCTCCTACTCCCCTACCTCCTCCTACCCCACTCCTCCCCCCTCCTCCTCCAACTCCCCCTCCTCCCCCCTCCTCCTCCTCCCCCCTCCTCCTCCTACTCCCCAACTCCCCTACCTACCTCGGAAATCAAACACAAGCCCCAGCCGGAGACGTGTAAAATAGGACGAGCTGTGGACTACCTACCCCCCCCCCCTGTATTATCATAGAAGAGGCCTGTAAACCAGTCTTTTATCCGTGACTATACCGCCAAAAACAGATGCGGCACTGGGAATGTGCTGATAAACATCTTTTGTATTAGATTAAAAAAGGAAATGTTAGAGGCCTTACGAAGTTATGACGATTATGCACTGATTTCAGCGTTCTGCGTACTAGTTAGTTATGACTAATTATATGGAACCCACATTGAGATCACGGATGATAAATACATTAGGTGTGACTTGTAACCCCCCCCCCCTTGTTATATGTTGTTGTTGATGCGAAACAGTGGAGCCTACAATCAGGGACACGTGTGAGTTAGGAGCTGGCTGGTGTATATTAGGAGGAGGGAGGGGTGGAGGGGGAGTAGGAGGAGGGAGGGTGGAGGGGGAGTAGGAGGAGGGAGGGGTGGAGGGGGAGTAGGAGGAGGGAGGGGTGGAGGGGGAGTAGGAGGAGGGAGGGGTGGAGGGGGAGTAGGAGGAGGGAGGGTGGAGGGGGAGTAGGAGGAGGGAGGGGTGGAGGGGGAGTAGGAGGGAGGGGTGGAGGGGGAGTAGGAGGAGGGAGGGTGGAGGGGGAGTAGGAGGAGGGAGGGGTGGAGGGGGAGTAGGAGGGAGGGTGGAGGGGGAGTAGGAGGAGGGAGGGGTGGAGGGGGAGTAGGAGGAGGGAGGGTGGAGGGGGAGTAGGAGGAGGGAGGGGTGGAGGGGGAGTAGAAGGAGGGAGGGTGGAGGGGGAGTAGGAGGAGGGAGGGTGGAGGGGGAGTAGGAGGAGGGAGGGTGGAGGGGGAGTAGGAGGAGGGAGGGGTGGTTGTGAGGATTAAAATAAATGCTATTTTATAAGGCTGTCTGTCGAATTGAAAGGGCTGACTATATAATTTACTGGGACAATTGACCATCGTGTATAACATTTGTGGAGGTTATCACTGTCCTGAATTAAGCGTGCTCTGTAATGTTTATTAGATAGTGCTCTGTAATGTTTATTAGATAGTGCTCTGTAATGTTTATTAGATAGTGCTCTGTAATGTTTATTAGATAGTGCTCTGTAATGTTTATTAGATAGTGCTCTGTAATGTTTATTAGATAGTGCTCTGTAATGTTTATTAGATAGTGCTCTGTAATGTTTATTAGATAGTGCTCTGTAATGTTTATTAGATAGTGCTCTGTAATGTTTATTAGATAGTGCTCTGTAATGTTTATTAGATAGTGCTCTGTAATGTTTATTAGATAGTGCTCTGTAATGTTTATTAGATAGTGCTCTGTAATGTTTATTAGATAGTGCTCTGTAATGTTTATTAGATAGACATTGTTAGCAATCTCAATTAGAGAGCACAGGTGATATGTGCAGCAGGGGTGTAGGAATGGATACCTTAGTAAAGTCTACACGGATAGTAAAGCAGAGATGCTATCTGAGCAAATGACGAGGCAACAATAAAGTAGTCCATCAACTTGGGAAGGATGTATTGTCTGCAGGGAGCACATTAGTTCTAGATTGTATAGAAATATTGAGAAATATTGAGAAATATTGAGAAATATTGAGAAATATTGAGAAATATTGAGAAATATTGAGAAATATTAAGAAATATTGAGAAATATTGAGAAATATTGAGAAATATTGAGAAATATTGAGAAATATTAAGAAATATTGAGAAATATTGAGAAATATTGAGAAATATTAAGAAATATTGAGAAATATTGAGAAATATTGAGAAATATTGAGAAATATTGAGAAATATTAAGAAATATTGAGAAATATTGAGAAATATTGAGAAATATTGAGAAATATTGAGAAATATTAAGAAATATTGAGAAATATTGAGAAATATTGAGAAATATTGAGAAATATTGAGAAATATTGAGAAATAAGTTAGGTTCAGAGTGTACATGAACATCCTTGATAATGACGTATTATAAAAATTACTGTTCAAAGGTAGACACAAACTAAATTGAATCATGACCTAAGGTATGCACACGACTCTAACTTCTTGATCATACATTTTCAGAAAAGGAGGACTGAATTGTGAAATTTCTTAAGTACTAGCCAGACAGGCTATAATTTGTAATATTACTCTGTAAATGCTGCTGTCTGCAATCTAGCGAGGTCCACAGTTTTTATTTACTGGACTGTACAACAGATTGAGCACTAGGTATTTGACTATGAGAGGTCATTTAGTCCTACACATTACATAACCAGTATTTTAGGGCGTGATTTAATCCACATTTACAACAACCCCGGGCAGCTACAAATAGCCCCTGTACGGATGAGTTTTCAAATGGTAAATATTATAAAGGAGCAAATGAAACCGCGCTTTTGGGTCGGGTTACGGGAACACTAAAAAATAAAGGTACATTTGAATCTCTAAGTGGCATGAACCTAATCACACTGAGCGTGCTGACCATATAACACTTTATTCCCTGCTAATTGATAAATTTCACATTTTCAAATCATTATGTGAATTGTAAGGCGTGCTCACAATGTACTAAACTGGATCGAAGTTTTTCCCTACGAACGATTACAATTCACGATTTCAGGCCACTGTGCTAGTAGACAGATTGATATGGGCCTTTTGAATAGAAAATGTGAGGTATGTGCGATACTAAGATAAGATTAAGTTGTTATATATAGGGATGTTGTAGTTGGGTGTCTTACACGATCAGTACAAGTAATTACTTAATTAGATAAAGTAATTACTTAATTAGATTCACACTGCCACCACCTTAACCAATTTCACCCTTACAGATCATGGTTAGAACCTGGGTAACCTGGTTACTTTGTCGCCTGCAAAACAGCAATTCTATTTTATGTTGCCTGCAAATTAAGTGTTATCATCAAGTGTTATTAAACACAGTAAACTACACTGTGTGTATACTCAATAGCTCACCTTAAGGGCCACTTTCCGTTCATTCTTTCGGTTACAAATCCTCGCTAAACTTTGAAGATATAATCCACAAGCCTGAAAGTTATATATATATTGTAAAGATTAACAAACTATTACAAAATATAAATAGGATCATAATTCACACGCAATTACTATAAGTCGCACTTTAGCAAAATGTAGGGTAAGTTTGAACACACAAGTCACCGTTGCTCAGCATGCACAAAATACAACAAATCATCGGCTCTCGTCTTCGACAAAGTGTGAAACATTTCCACACCAGATGTCATAATAACAGAATTGCTGTGAAAGATAAACTCAACCCCAAAATACCTGTCTCGATTTAGCTAGTATAGCTAGTGTAGAAGGTATAATATTGTTAATATGCAGTGGTGCCGGGTGGAGTGTTCTCGGTAAAATTTACACCTCAATAACAACCAGAGACTACATTAATTAGAACACTCTGCAACCCCACACACAGCTTATGCTGTTAGTGTTAATCCAGTCTGGAACTTACCTCAACATATTTACTCCGGAAGTCAATGTTTCTACTAGCTACCACAGTTACACTACTAGTTACCATAGTTACACTAATAGTTGCCATAGTTACACTACCATAGTTACCATAGTAACAGGAAAGTCTGGAACTTACCTCGACATATTTACACCGGAAGTCAATGTTTCCCTTGTAGCAATCCATAGCAGTGATATCATCAGTCGTGATAGAGCCTACATTGTTGTAGAACCGCAGTCCTTCAGCCAGACCGCCGAGGCTGAAGCGGAGAAAACATTAAAACTCACAAGTTAGTGCATGTGCAGTAGTAATGGGCCGGGGGGGGGGGGGGGGGGGCAGTAATAATGGGGTAGGGGTGTAAACTTCAGATATCACACAATCAAGTAGGTGTTACTAGCAGTACTACTTACTACTAGAGTAATATTAAATTAGAATTTTCTCATTACTATTTTAAGTTCATTTGCTAAATATTAACTTTCATTCGATAAATACTGCTGGATCGGGTACCGATACAGCAGTTTTCCTTTATTTAACCAGCCCAAAAATGATTATCACTGATAATGTCATTCTCTTAAATAACTAGTTGTCAGTATGTATCTTGTCATTCTCTTAAATAACTAGTTGTTAGTGTGTATCTTGTTACACATGTCCTCTATTAAAGGAGATTATGAAGAGGTAACAATAATTAGAAATAGTTCAAGCCATCAACACAGCTCTTCCCACGCTCAACTACTTTCTGTCACCACTTACTTTATCAGCAATACATTATGTTTTATAAACACAAAATTTCGCAAATATTTTATTCTATAATAAACAAAACCTGTGATTTGGAATTATTATGCTATACTTTGTTTGATAAATAAATCCTGATATGTCTAATATCCAATATCTATGATAATGTAATCCCAAGACTGCCTAACTATTGGAACACCCCTCACCCCCCTCTCATTTGAACTGGGATAGAGAAAATTCAATTAAAAATTAATTGTCAAGTTTATTCAAAAATTAATTAAGTCGGATAAGTTCTTTGTTAATTTTGAGAAATAAACAATAGCTCACCTTATCAATAACAACACAAACAACATTTGCTCAGTATGCAGGAGGAAGCAAGAAAACTATACACGATCGGCAGCGAAACAACAGATACTTGGATAATAACTTGGATAATCAAGTAGTTCACTTGCACGAGAATATCTTCTAGACTAATGTGGTTGAAACAACTGATTGCAAACAATTGTTTAAAATCGGTTACTGAATCACATTGGTGCAGTATATATATATGTCTGGAGAGGAGTAAACTATGCGAAAAGTGCAGCTGAAGATGTAGACAAGTGGATTTAGAGGCTCACAACGCAACGCCCGAGGTCACGTGACACTGGACTGGCTATTACGTCACGTGGCGGCACTCTTAGAGTGCGCGCGCCATCTCCTCTCTACTGTGAGCTAGGTTACGTCGCTTTACGTAGGGACTTCTAATTTACTTATTATTTACAGGGGCGTGCTATCATCATTGTTCAAACTCCAGGCGGATGGGTAATTGAGAAGTTACGCCTATTAACGGATATAGAGATATAAAATAAAAGTGATTGTAGAGATACTTAGATATTTCATTGCTAGCTTCACGGAAAACACAATCAGGACAACTACTGAACCAATTCAACCTCGGACACCACTCTAATAAACTACTGAACTAATTAACTACTGAACTATTAAACTACTGAACTAATAAACTACTGAACTAATAAACTACTGAACTAATAAACTACTGAACTAATAAACTACTGAACTAATAAACTAGTAAACTACTGAACTAATAAACTACTGAACTAATAAACTACTGAACTAATAAACTACTGAACTAATAAACTACAAATCAGATTAGATTTAAACCTTAAAAGATAATTGCTCGTGAAATACTAAGTGTTGAGTGACAGTACTTTATAAAGTAGCTAAATACCTGGTATCATATAACTTATACTATTGGGGCAGAAATAGGAACGCAACATCCCAGTCTCTACTATAAGCAATCGCATCCAGGCTGTATCATTTCTATAACACAATCCAAAGAGTTCAACACACATATTAAATTAAGTTATTAGACGCGATCCACGCAGCCACCCTGTAAAATCTTGAATGGAACTGAGTACTGACCCTGCACTAATGTTAACAGTTTAAAGTTTGGATCAATTAATATTAATATTAGAGTCGATTGTTAGATACGATAAATTCACACAAAAACAAACCAAACTTCGGTGATGCTCATTTTTGGCGCACTGATGACAAACAATAAGTCGTTTTTACTACATTATGTCGCCGCGCGCTGCGTAGAAATAACTTGTCATGACTAAAATTCAGAAGGACTTTCGACAAATCTGTTCCAAATAAAAAGTTCGAAAATCGAGTGTTTTAGTGAATAACTTAGAATATATTTTTGATTTTCTCAAGATCTGACAAATAGATTTTCTTTAAACTTTCCAGATAGTTACATGGCTATATGACGGATAATGTGTGAGAGTTTGGGAGAATTTTTATATGTTAAACTTGAGATATGACTTCAAACACAAGAAAATATCTCCAAATTGGCGGTTTCTAGAGGAACGCAGGCACATATTTCGAGATCCTACTGATAAATTTTCTTTAAACTTTCCAGATAGTTACATGGCTATAGGAGGAGGAGGAGGACTGAGGAGGGGGAGGAGGACTGAGGAAGACTGAGGAGGAGGAGGAGGTGTAGGAGGAGGTGGACTCAGAAGAAGAAGGAGGACTGAGGAGGAGGAAGAAGTGGAGGATGTGGAGGAGATGTACTCGGGAGGACTCAGGAGGAGGAGGACTGAGGAGGAAGAGGAGGAGGAGGATGAGGAAGACTGAGGAGGAGGACTGAGGAGGAGGAGGAGGAGGACTGAGGAAGACTGAGGAGGAAGAGGAAGTGTAGGAGAAGGTAGACTCAGAAGGAGGACGAGGACTGAAGAGGACGGTGGAGGAGGAAGAGGACTCAGGAGAGTGTGGACTCAGGAGGAGGAGGAATCAGGAGGACTCAGATGGAGGAGGACTCAGGAGGAGGACTCAGAAGGAGGGGGAGGATGAGGACACAGGAGGAGGAGAAAGAGGATGAGGAAGAAGAGGAGGAGAAGGAGGACTGAGGAGGACTGAGGAGGAGGAGGAAGAGAAGGAGGAGGAGGAGGAAGAGGACTGATGAGGAGGAGAAAGACTGACGAGGAGGAAGAGGACCGAGGAGGAGGAGGAGGATGATGACTGAGGAGGAGGAAGACTGAGGAGGAGGACTGAGAAGGAGAAGGAAGAGGAGGAGGAGGGACATGAGGGAGAGGAGGAGGAGGAGGAGGAGGAGGAGGAGGAGGAGGAGGAGGAGGAGGAAGCATATAAATGTTATTTCCATTTTTCCCTTTTTCCATAACATCTTTGTTCCGTTTTTGTCCGTTTTATTCTGTTTTTGTTCGCCCTACTTTTTGTCCGTTTTGAAAATAAAGGGTACCGAACGGACAGAAACGGACACAAAACATGATCCCCCTTTCCAGATAATTGTAGGGCTATGAGACAGATAATCAAGAGGAAGAGGAGGATGAGGAGGACTGAAGAGGAGAATGAGGAGGAAGAGGACTGAGGAGGAGGAGGAGTAGGACTGAGGAGGAGAAGGAGGAGGAAGACTGAGGAGGAGAAGGAGGAGGAGGACTGAGGAGGAGAAGGAGGAAGAGGAATGGGGGACTGTTATAGCCATACAAATATCTGGAAAGTTTAAAGAAAATGTATCAGTATAAGATCTCGAAATATGTGTCTGCGTTCCACTAAAACGCGCTAATTTGAGATATTTTCTTGTGTTTGAAGTCATTTCTCAGATTTGGCACATAGAAATTCGCCCAAAATCACACAGAATATTTGTCTCATAGCTATACAACTATCTGGAAAGTTTAAAGAAAATCTATCAGTAGGATCTCAAAATAATCGACTTTCGTCAAATATCGTTCCGAAACCGCCAATTTGAGATATTTTCTTGTGTTTGAAGTCATATCTCAAGTTTGGCACATAGAAATTCGCCCAAACTTGCTCAGATTATCTGTCTCATAGCCATACAACTATCTGGAAAATTTAAAGAAAATTTATCAGTAGGATCTTGAAATATGTGCCTGCATTCCGCTAAAACACGCCAATTTGAGATATTTTCTTGTGTTTGAAGTCATATCTCAGGTTTGGCACATAGAAATTCGCCCAAAATCGCACAGAATATCTGTCTCACAGCCATACAACTATCTGGAAAGTTTAAAGAAAATTTATCAGTAGGATCTCGAAATTTGTGCCTGCGTTCCGCTAGAAACCGCCAATTTAAGATATTTTCTTGTGTTTGAAGTCATATCTCAAGTTTGGCAGATAGAAATTCGCCCAAACTTGCTCAGATTATCTGTCTCATAGCCATACAACTATCTGGAAAATTTAAAGAAAATTTATCAGTAGGATCTCGAAATATGTGCCTGCGTCCGCTAAAACGCGTCAATTTGAGATATTTACTTGTGTTTGAAGTCATATCTCAGGTTTGGGCTTTGGCACATAGAAATTCGCCCAAAATCGCACAGAATATCTGTCTCACAGCCATACAACTATCTGGAAAGTTTAAAGAAAATTTATCAGTAGGATCTCGAAATATGTGCCTGCGTTCCGCTAGAAACCGCCATTTTGAGATATTTTCTTGTGTTTGAAGTCATATCTCAGGTTTGGCACATAGAAATTCGCCCAAAATTGCACAGAATATCCGTCTTATAGCCATACAACTATCTGGAAAGTTTAAAGAAAATTTATCAGTAGGATCTCAAGATAATCGACTTTCGTCAAATATTGTTCCGCGGAACAAATGGAACAGAAAGTCCAACTCCTAAAATTGCAAGCCCGAAAATCTATCGTTTTGAACAATTACTTAGAAAAAATTCTCCCAGATCCTACAATACGATTTCCTTCAAATTTTACAGATAGTAACATAAGTATGAGAATGACATAATATGCAAGTTTGAGTAAATTTTGAGTAAATCTTCGGAACGCAGGCATATATCTGGAGATCCTACTGCACTCAGTTTGTTTTATAAAGACGGTTAATTTTGGCGAAGGCTTCAGCGTCTTTAATTTTGACCATTTTGAAGCCTTGCCGTCTTTAATTTTTTTTTCATTTGAAGGCTCCGTCTTTATAAAACAAACTGAGTGTATCTCAAATTTGGTACATAGAAATTCTTGCACTGACTATCAATCTTATACAGTAATAGCTAGCTGTCTAAGAAATGTGAAGAAAATTTTGAAGAAAATCGTATAGAAAGATCTGGATTAATAATCACCTGCATTAGTGTACCATGGATTTAAAAATATTTTCAACACATCTCAAATTTGGCACACGGAAATTAACCAAAACTCGCATATTATATTGTCTTACTATCTGGGAAGTATTAAAGTAGAATCACCAGATGTATACAGTATATACATTTACGGATTTTTTTTAAATTTTACGGAACGTAGGCAATCATCTGATATATCAGATGATTGCCTACGTTCCATAAAATTGGCTATTTTGAAGATATCTTATAGTGTTTAAAAAGATATTTTAAATTTGGCATAAACTAATAATAATAAAATTCGCCCAAACTTGCAAAGATAATCAGACTTTTAGCCATCTTACTATCTGGAAAGTTTCAAGAAAATCGTATTATAGTAGGATCATATTGTATATATATCACCAGATAATCTATCATGATGGAGGCAGGCTGGGTATAATTACAAAATCGTAACAAATTTAGCAACAAAATCGCCGATATACAGCAAAACCCCGATTTAAATCTGCGTACAGGGTGGACAGCCACGAACAGGGTGGACAGCCACGGATGATTTTGTCTCTGAGTTTTTCATCACTTCCTGACACGAGCCAGACCTCAGCTGGATCCTTCCATCCCTTTTTCTCAGCTTCCCATGCAGCCTCCCTCTTCATTATCGGTTAGAGCTGCCGTGCTCTCGAACTTTGCTTCCCATTCAGCCTCCCTCTTCATTATCGGTTAGAGCTGCCGTGCTCTCGAACTTTGCTTCCCATTCAGCCTCCCTCTTCATTATCGGTTAGAGCTGCCGTGCTCTCGGCAGTCCACCACGGCACCCCTCAGCCACCCAATAACTTCCTCACCGAAGCCCTATCTACAATTAGTTCATGCCCATCAGAAATCAACGTGGAGCTACCGAAACTAGAGTCCCTCGCCAGAGTTGTCTACCTCAACAGACTTAGTCCCACTTGTCACTGAGTTCACTGAGAGAGGAGGTCAGCAGCTGAGCGGCATTTGGAAACCTGTTTAACTGTTAAGTTATTTCTATTGACGATCGGGTTTAGTTGTCGTTTCAAAGTTAATTTAAATTAGGTAGACTGGTTGGGTTTATAATTATTTTCCCAAGCTACCCTGTTTAGGAAAAGTCCAAATTGGGTTCAGTTTTCCGGTAGCCTTTTCATGATCAATATGGAATATTATATGAGACGCCATCATGGATTGGAAAATTGAGCGGTCATCCACATAAGAAATGCGGCCACATTTCGTGTTACTTTTTCTGTGGAAGAGTGTTTTGTAAACAACAATGAAACTCAGTACTAAAAAACTGAAATAAATTATCTTCTGAGCTCTATACATATATATTTACAAAGTTACATTATAATCCTATACCTGGCAACAATACCGCTCACTTAGTCGCGTCGGCTCCTCCAGATTTATCAATGTATGTAACTCGACTTGTTAGACCCTAAATAAAAACCACGCCCTTTTGACCACGCCCTTTTGACCACGCCCTTTTGACCACGCCCTTTTGACCACGCCCACTTATCTCACTTTCTCACCACTAATATATTTTCTCGAAACCACGCCCTTTTGACCACGCCCTTTTAACCACGCCCTTTCGACCCCGCCCACTTATCTAACGCAACTATGCGAGCAGGATTGTTGCCACGTATAAGATAATATAGTTATAATTTAAAACTTAGAGTTCCTTAACCCATTAGGGACGATAGGGTCGTTTACGACTCATCTATTCTAGAGGCTATAGATGACAAACCAAAATATCTGATTACACAAATTTTATGCACGGATGTTCAAAATCTATTGGGCTACATTATTTAGTTCGGAATATGGGCCTAATGAGTAACTAACAATTAGATAATTAAGTTAATTAGTCGTGATAATTGGAAATTATTCCAATTAACTTCTGGCCTTTATTGGTTCATTAAAACTTCATGAAGGCCACGGTTGCTATGTAATGCGACAAAAGTTGCGGGCAACGATTTTCTGAATGCTAGCGAAAAGCCCGTGATAATCAGATGTTCACAAACAGAGCTAGACGCTGTGTCCTAACTGCGGTTGCATACGACCCACTCGTCCGGGTCGCAAACAACCCATCAAGTTTAACAACGTCATTAATAGATTAATTATCAGTACCAATATCATGCGGTTCCATCATCATTCGTATCGCTGGTGACGTTCTACTCGGACCCCGGTATTCTAGATGCAGATGTATATCAAGAATGCAGAATGATCACGAAGTAAACTTTGATACGTAATTATAATTCTCTGTAGAGAAACAATAGGCCTTAGAGGACATTTGTCTATGAAATATGGGCTTGTTAAAGGGCAATGCCAATATTGCAATTGATTCTATAACAAAGCATTAAGCAATAAAGCACACGATAATGCTATCAAAGTTTCTATTTTTATCTTCGAAGTTCGAATTTTACCGATATTAATTTTATTAAGGATTTTTCATGACTCAAGACTTAATATTTCTGCATTTTTGGAAATTAAATTCAATTAATGATATTATAATTATATAACTATATAGTTACTAGAACTATATAATAATGATGTAACAAGGTTATATAGCATAGGAGCATAGTTCAAGTATGCAGAAAAATATAACTTCTATTATCTTGCCAAATTTATCGCCGATAACCGATATTATCGCGATTATTTTGAAAAAGTTATCGATTATTGCGATTTAAAAAAATTATACCGATAATGGCAACTCTATGTCGTACGTCACCTCAAGATCAGGTAACAGGGAGCTGACCAGGCAAGAAACCAATTGATTGGGTCTGTAATTACGTGATTATGAGCCTGAGGTCACGTGACTATGACATCATCAGAGCTTGATGAATGTGGAATGTGAGTGTATGTGTACTTAAAAAGTCTAGAAAACAAAATAGTTTACTGCTTGAAAGCTTAATAATAAACTGTGAAAGAGTGGTTAACGTAAATAAAACGTGGTCAACGTAAATAAAGCAACGTAAATAAAACAAAGTAAATAAAACAACGTAAATATAGGAGGCCGAGCTGCAGAAAATCCTGTCTACGTCGCATAAGATCATATTTTCAAGCCAAATGATGTAATGATCTAAGGTGGAATTTGCGTAGACGATTTTATGCTTAATGTCAGTCTGTGACCCAAGACTTTTACTGGATCATTATTTCAATAAAGCACCGCTATCATCTAATTCGATTGGAGAAGCAACTGCAAGAAATAGACAGACAAACTCGGTCTTATCCTCAATGATTAGTTTGTGCAAGGGTAAAAATGATAATTATAATAAACTTGCAATAGAGTGGAAAATTAACATATTATATATGCAACAATAAAAATGCAAATTCAATAAATCTTGGAATTTTTATCTCGTCGTTATTGACCCAGTTGATCGATTTTAAAATGTAAATCAGCGTACAGTCGTAATTGTAGTAATAAATTATAAGCAAGTGAGCCGAGTGGGTCGTTTATTTGTTTATTACCCAATTTCTGTATTTAAAAAAGTTTAGAGTCACACAGTATCGGCGATATGTTTTTATTTTTAACTGCTACAGTTTGTATTTTATCCTAACGTCTTTGTTTCAGAAATAATAGCCGGAAAAACGTGATGGGTCGTTTGCGACCCAGACGAGTGGGTCGTATGCGACCATAGCTGTATCTTCTAAATTAAACGAGATACAGATTAGATTTTTTGGATATCTTATTTTAGCTGTGCAGTGACCTAGTGTGTAAAATTGCATCAAAATCGACAAACTTTAAAACTTGTCGTCCCTAATGGGTTAAAGTTTCTTAAAAATTAATTATCAAAGATTACTCTGAACGTCTAAAATATAATGTCTGGAATCTTGATAATATAACAGCTGTTTTAAAATATCGTTAAGCATCAGCCAGTCAAATAAATACACATGTATAATTAATAATCTACATTAATTGTTGGCAATCCTCACATTACAAATTCAACTTCAGTGACCGTTTCAGAATCGCAGGCACTCTTCGGTCCCCTAAGAGAACCTTGTCTCTCTCTATTTTTCTTGTGTTGGATGTTTGCCATGATTACCTCGTCTCTAGAAACCACGGTTTCCTTCCCTGGACCATTCTTCCAAGGGGAAATATGCTGGGGAGTGTTTATTTTCGATTGAGGTCTTTCTTTTTGATCGTTCCATTCTTGGACTGCCCGTGCGGTTGCTTCTTCTTTTTCGCGTTTCTTTCGTATTTCCAGTTTTTGTCGTTCTTGCTTGACTCGGTTAGCCTCAGCTTTAATTTCACGCGTTTCATCGTCTTTAGCTTCTCTCCTGTAAATGTTTCAGCTGATGGGTATAAATACTTATCGTTATGAAACAAAGTTTGCCTAGAGGATAAGACACTGGGTTTGCTTACTTTAATAGTTTGACATAGTTAGCTACACCATGTCATCCAATAAGGTACAAAATATTGTGCATACCAATATCCTCAAATACAAATGAATGTTTTACTGAGGGATCAATTTAATATTGTTCCTCACCATGCTTTAAAAGATTTCTGAGATTCAATTTCCTTCATTTCTTTTTCATCTCTCTCCTGTTCTCTCTTTTGCTTTTCTTCTAACTTTTTCTTCCTTGCTTCTTCTATCAACTTAGGGTCCTTGTTAGTCTTCCAATTATTAAACGTCTTGTCCGCTGCCTTTCTTTTCTCCTCTAATTTGCTTTCTTCTTCGCTTTTCTTCTTTTCTTCTTCCGACCGCTTTTCTCGAATTTTTCGTTTTCGTTCTTTATCTTTCTCTTCCCAAAGACGTCTAGCGATTGCTTCGTTTTTCAATTTCTGTTCTTTCAGTACTTCTGTCTCGCTCTTTTTCACTGCTTTAGCTTGGTTCTGTTCTTTAGTTTTCTTGTCAGCTTCCACCGCCCGGCACCTGTACCACTCTTCAAACCGGTCCTGGAATTAGCATCAGTTACTAGGGCCGGGGTAATCAAATAACCTAAAATATTCAGACAACTTGTTATGTTAGCATTGTTTATTGTAAATAAACAACACAATGTTTAAATCGACGCGACGTATAAAGTTGGTTTCAGCCACCACTTAATTAGTGGCTTGGAATTCTTGCAATGTTGACAATAGGTAAGAATGTAGCATCTAAATGCGAACTAAAAATACCTGTCTAATGTGCTGGGCAGACGGTCTGTCCTCTTCATCCTGAATAACGGTAACCAGATCAGCTGTCTTCAAAGTCTTGTTCTCCTTTTTCTTAGCTATCCACTTCTTGAAGGCCGCCTCTCGTAGACTGGTGCTGTCCAGTTCACACTGTGTGTCCGCAGCTGCTTCTTTGGGGGGCAGCCCTTGATCTGCTACAAAAGATTAACAATTAACCCTGTGGCCTTAACAACATGATATTTTATTATGGATTAACAACATGTTATTTTATTATGGATTAACAAACAAAATGAAGATAAGCTTGAAACCATAGAGTGGTCAGATTATTGACAAGTTATGAATAATAAGAATAACATTATAACAATTTTCGGGATAATGGGAGATTTAGTTTTGGCTGCACGATAATGACTCACATCTTGTTTTCCAATCAACTGGTTGGGGTGGTGCAGGGTAGACCCACTCACTGATGGACACTTCTCTCCTGTAGCCTAACCCTGCACAGTGGTGTATTACTATCAGTGTACGGGAGGGGGGGGGGGGGGGGAATACTAACCCTGCACAGTGGTATATTACTATCAGTGTACGGGAGGGGGGGGGGGGGGGATATTACTATCAGTGTACGGGAGGGGGGTATATTACTATCAGTGTACGGGAGGGGGGTATATTACTATCAGTGTACGGGAGGGGGGGGGGGGATATTAACCCTGCACAGTGGTATATTAATATCAGTGTACGGGAGGGGGGGTATTAACCCTGCACAGTGGTGTATTACTATCAGTGTACGGGAGGGGGGGGGGGGGGGTTATTTGAGTTTTACGAAATCACAGACGAATGCTATGTCAGTATGTCAAATGTCAATAAGGCACAATTTTTGTAACATTTTATAGATCTGGACACTGTTGGGGAGGTAAACCCACACGTGACAGTGATTTTTGGTTTTGATTTGTAATTTTGGGAGCTGGTTGGTTAATGGCCTTCACGTGTCATACTTACTAGGTTTCATTTCCTCTTTCTTCTCCTCCGTCTCCTTCTTTAGAGCTATCTTTGGTTTGGCGTAAGCACTAGTGTATGTTCTTGCCAACTTCTCAGACAGTTTATTAATATGTTTCGGAACGGGTGGTGCTGATTTAACCCTGTCAGTCTTAACTTTTGCAGCCAGTGCAGTCACAGATGTACTCCGTGACAATGTTGTTTTGGGTGATGTACTCCGTGACAATGGTGTTTTGGGTGATGTAGTTCTTTTGTTTTCCTCTTCTTCACATTCCTTACTTTTCTCTTCTTTCAGTACACTCTTTTCTTTGTCGTTGGAGATTGTAACTTTTATTTCGATGTTTGGAGTTTTTTCTTCAGTTAAATCTTCTTTTCTATCCTTTTTCACTATCGACTTCTCTCTTCCAGCCTTTGGTGATTTTTTAGGCGAACTCTTTTTCTTTGGCGTTTTTGGTGATGGTTCTTTCTCCGCTGCTTTTTCAACTTTTATCTCCGAACTAATTTCCTGGTCAGTAACTTGTTCTGCAGGAAGTTTCAGATATTCCGACATTTTGGCCTCAAGACTGCCGGGTTCAGGGTCTTTGTGTGTCTCCCAAGGAAAGAGAGCTTCTTTGCTCTGATTATAGTAAGAGCTGTAAGAGCCTGTACTTGGTTTTGTTTCGGAGGGTTGGACACTTTCTGAAACCTTCTGTTGCGAGTTATAAATTGAACTGTAACTCCCACCTATCTTTTTGGGCTCTTCTTTTCCGAATATAAACATATCGTTCTTAGACGTGGAATTTACCGCCGATTTCTCCCAAGGAAAACTTGCTTTCTTCACGTCAAAAGGATTTGTTTGACTGCCTCCTGCATACCCACTTCCTGAAGTTCTGGATTCCCAAGGGTTTTTTGCTCCGTAATTTGGGTCGGCAGTTTGCCAGTGATACGAGTTCGCATTCTGGGGAGTCTGCCATTTATAGCTGGATGAGGAATCCACTGGATTCTGCGGACCGGAGGAACTTTCCCGTTTTTCCCATGATAAAGCTTTCTTTTCCCATGGAAAGGATGTCATTGTCATAGCAGTCGTATCTAAACTGTTAAGACTGATATTAAATTTATATTGATAATAATTATTTCAAACATTTAAATCTAAAGTGAATGATAGGTAGATATAGGTAGATACGTAGGGAACATGATTTAACAAATTTCCACTTTTCGATTGATTTGGTATCAAAACATACACCGACACTTCATTGGACTCTGCTTGAATAAGGACTCGATTTTAGCAAGGATCAAATAAAGATGACGTTAAATATAATACACTATACACATTCAATATACATTTCTGTTGCTTGACAAATAACATGATCAACATGTAATTGTCTATAAATACCGTTGCAGTATTACAACTGACAATAATTTGAAAGCTCTAAAATAATAGCATCAGGGTCTTGGGTCTAAGGAACAACATCCTCGATTTAAAGCCAGTTTAAAAAATCATTACACTGAAAAATAAACCTAGTACTCAGCTGTTCTCTCTCTCTCTCTCTCTCTCTCTCTCTCTCTCTCTCTCTCTCTCTCTCTCTCTCTCTCTCTCTCTCTCTCTCTCTCTCTCTCTCTCTCTCTCTCTCTCTCTCTCTCTCTCTCTCTCTCTCTCTCTCTCTCTCTCTCTCTCTCTCTCTCTCTCTCTCTCTCTCTCTCTCTCTCTCTCTCTCTCTCTCTCTCTCTCTCTCTCTCTCTCTCTCTCTCTCTCTCTCTCTCTCTCTCTCTCTCTCTCTCTCTCTCTCTCTCTCTCTCTCTCTCTCTCTCTCTCTCTCTCTCTCTCTCTCTCTCTCTCTCTCTCTCTCTCTCTCTCTCTCTCTCTCTCTCTCTCTCTCTCTCTCTCTCTCTCTCTCTCTCTCTCTCTCTCTCTCTCTCTCTCTCTCTCTCTCTCTCTCTCTCTCTCTCTCTCTCTCTCTCTCTCTCTCTCTCTCTCTCTCTCTCTCTCTCTCTCTTTCTCTCTCTATGCAGTCTCCTGATTAACCTTCTTATACTCAACAAGCTGGAAGAAGATGTGTTCCAGGATATGTTTAGCATCCCTAGGTCCTGAACTGTCGTTGGTGATGCCCAGAATTCCACCACATTCTCGTATGTAATACTCCAAATCATCATCACCACACTTGTTGGTTATTTGGGCGAGCTTGGTTTTGCTGGATGCAAATTGCTCGTCCAGGTCGAACAGATCCAGAGCGGGACCCGGCAGTTCTTTGAAGACAGGAGGAAAGACCCCCGGTTGCAATGGTGGGAGAGGGGTTTCAAAGTTAGGCTGGATTAGAGATAGGGGCTCGTGTTTCATTTCCAATACTTCGTATGATCTGATGACCTGAAACGAGCGAAAAGTGAGAGAGCTTAAGACCAGAGGGGAGGGGGGGCCGTTGCCGGGGAAAGGGAGGGGGGTCGAGGAAGGGGGGCCGGGGGGGGGGGGGGCCGGGGAGGGCCCGTTGCCGGGGAAAGGGAGGGGGGTCGAGGAAGGGGGGCCGGGGGGGAAGTATTTTCGTATAAGTTAGTACAAGTAAATAAGTTATATCCAGAACTATGGATTAAGGCAGCAATTAAACAAATTAACTACCACGACTCAATACCTTTTTTTTTCTTTTTTTTTTCTAGTTTATAGAGAGAGTGTTACCTTAGGAACCAGGGCGTTATCTAGTTTATAGAGAGAGTGTTACATTAAGAACCAGGGCGTTATCTAGTTTATAGAGAGAGTGTTACCTTAGGAACCAGGGCGTTATCTAGTTTATAGAGAGAGTGTTACCTTAGGAACCAGGGCGTTATCTAGTTTATAGAGAGAGTGTTACATTAAGAACCAGGGCGTTATCTAGTTTATAGAGAGAGTGTTATCTTAGGAACCAGGGCGTTATCTAGTTTATAGAGAGAGTGTTATCTTAGGAACCAGGGCGTTATCTAGTTTATAGAGAGAGTGTTACCTTAGGAACCAGGGCGTTATCTAGTTTATAGAGAGAGTGTTACCTTAGGAACCAGGGCGTTATCTAGTTTATAGAGAGAGTGTTACCTTAGGAACCAGGGCATTATCTAGTTTATAGAGAGAGTGTTACCTTAGGGACCAGGGCGTTATCTAGTTTATAGAGAGAGTGTTACCTTAGGAACCAGGGCGTTATCTAGTTTATAGAGAGAGTGTTACATTAAGAACCAGGGCGTTATCTAGTTTATAGAGAGAGTGTTATCTTAGGAACCAGGGCGTTATCTAGTTTATAGAGAGAGTGTTACCTTAGGAACCAGGGCGTTATCTAGTTTATAGAGAGAGTGTTACCTTAGGAACCAGGGCGTTATCTAGTTTATAAAGAGAGTGTTACCTTAGGAACCAGGGCGTTATCTAGTTTATAGAGAGAGTGTTACCTTAGGAACCAGGGCGTTATCTAGTTTATAGAGAGAGTGTTATCTTAGGAACCAGGGCGTTATCTAGTTTATAGAGAGAGTGTTACCTTAGGAACCAGGGCGTTATCTAGTTTATAGAGAGAGTGTTCGAATATCTTAGTGAAGTCACGTGGAATCTCATCACCCTCCTGTAAACAGGCCTTGAGTCTGTCTGCTAGCTTGGGGGTGTCCGGCAGGAACTGGTAGTCTGAGATCTCAGGGTCTTCTGCGTCTATGCTATTCAGATTAACCTGGCCAAGGGAAACTGGTGAACATAATATATTATCGTGTTAAATATTTAAATAACAATAAGCTTGAAATGATATATAATTAAATATAGTGTCAACTTTCAGAATATAAACTTGATATAAAATCGACCTTCTCAAACTAATGATTTGTAACCAACCTTTTCCGAAGTAAGATAATCTATGATAACGTCGAATACTTTCCCATTTTCCTCCTTGTCAATGAACTGGTCGGAGAAGATGTGGGAGGAGCCGAGTACACACAGTTTCCCGCCAGATTGTGTCTGGTGGAACGCACAAACTGGTCTGTTGATGGGCAGCGACGTGGATCCTTTTGGGGGTAATTTCTGTCAGTCGTTGGTTTCTCGTAACCCCTCCCCCCCCGCCCCCCCCCCCGGCCCTCATAATAATTAATTATCACCCAGGGGTTCTTGTCATTGCAGCTAAATTGGGTCCCCCACTTTACTACCCAAGAGATGGCCACTCCAAAGAGATCTAGATGGCTGTATCCTTGATAAAGTTTTCAATCCACAAACACGTATAATACCTTACGAGACATATTTATGTTCGACATAATTCCAGTAACCTAAATGATGTGGAACCGAAAATATGGATTTTTTTCCTCAAAAATCCGCCAAATTTCGTACCCCAAATTAAATCATGATATTTGGGGATTTTTTCATCTCTTTATTTCACAAAAATAAAACCCAATATTTGAGAAAATTAATAAAATTAAATATAAGTTTGAAAAATTATAACTCAATTTCTTCGTCTTCCTCATCTAGTGGATCAGATACGTTTCTCTCGAGCTGTTCTCCAGTGTAGTCCCATGTGTATGCTTCACTGATCAGCTGTTTCATCTTGTAAACAATTTCTCCGGAGCCTTTCGACTTAACTTATAATCCTCCAGAGGGTATAGGAGACCGACGGGTCTGTAATTATCTTCTACTAGTCCCGAAATTTCACCACCGTGGAGCCGTGGCCAATAAAGTAGTGACAGAGCTTGCCTCTAATGGAACGTGTCCAACTGTCACCAATCGAGCATTCATTTGTTTGAGGAATCATATTTATAACTAACTTCAACTATATTAATAGTAAATCGATTTTAAGTCATAATTGAGCAAAATATAAGTGAAAAATAACGTGGGAGAAATAATGACGGTGACCTAAATTTGAAGTACGGAAATATGGTTTTTTTCCGACAAACCACAGAATTTCGTACTATATAAATATGTCTCGTAAGGTATATACTATATAATAAGCATCTTTAGCATTGAGTAAGATTATTTTGGCCTTCTTCCTTCTGGTCGACTTCTGAGAAGTTTAAAAACAAATTCTGAATTATGAACAGGATTTTGATGTTTTAGGTTACCAGCCAGGCCCGCGTCTAAATTTAGACAGTCTTAATTATTATCATAATAATTTCCACCGGTCTTTTGAGTTTGACGATATCCTAGGGAAAATTTCTAAAATTAGGTAGAGCGGTTACGGTTACGGTTGGGGTTACGGTTACGGTTAGGGTTACGGTTACGGTTGGGGTTACGGTTACGGTTACGGTTAGGGTTACGGTTACGGTTACGGTTAGGGTTACGGTTGGGGTTACGGTTACGGTTACGGTTACGGTTAGGGTTACGGTTACGGTTACGGTTAGGGTTAGGGTTACGGTTAGGGTTACGGTTAGGGTTTAGCTGTTCGGGAATACCAGTCGGGCCACTTGGATAAATTTGTTAAATACAGGGGGGGGTGTAATACACAAAGTCATAAGAAAGGAAGGAACTTAGTCTAAAGTAATCTTACCTGTGGATAGGACTGGAACTGAAGGCTTAACCACGTGTAGGGTAGCTCCATAGGGGTAAACATACGTCAAACATTGTCCTGGCATTATTAGCAGGGGTAAACATACGTCAAACATTGTCCTGACATTATTAGCAGGGGTAAACATACGTCAAACATTGTCCTGGCATTATTAGCAGGGGTAAACATACGTCAAACATTGTCCTGGCATTATTAGCAGGGGTAAGCATACGTCAAACATTGTCCTGACATTATTAGTAGAGTAGTAGGGGTAAACATACGTCAAACATTGTCCTGACATTATTAGTAGGGGTAAACATACGTCAAACATTGTCCTGGCATTATTAGCAGGGGTAAGCATACGTCAAACATTGTCCTGACATTATTAGTAGAGTAGTAGGGGTAAACATACGTCAAACATTGTCCTGACATTATTAGTAGGGGTAAACATACGTCAAACATTGTCCTGGCATTATTAGTAGGGGTAAACATACGTCAAACATTGTCCTGCCATTATTAGCAGGGGTAAACATACGTCAAACATTGTCCTGGCATTATTAGCAGGGGTAAACATACGTCAAACATTGACCTGACATTATTAGCAGGGGTAAACATACGTCAAACATTGTCCTGGCATTATTAGTAGGGGTAAACATACGTCAAACATACGTCAAACATTGTCCTGACATTATTAGCAGGGGTAAACATACGTCAAACATTGTCCTGGCATTATTAGTAGGGGTAAACATACGTCAAACATTGTCCTGACATTATTAGCAGGGGTAAACATACGTCAAACATTGTCCTGACATTATTAGCAGGGGTAAACATACGTCAAACATTGTCCTGGCATTATTAGCAGGGGTAAACATACGTCAAACATTGTCCTGGCATTATTAGCAGGGGTAAACATACGTCAAACATTGTCCTGGCATTATTAGCAGGGGTAAGCATACGTCAAACATTGTCCTGACATTATTAGTAGAGTAGTAGGGGTAAACATACGTCAACCATTGTCCTGACATTATTAGTAGGGGTAAACATACGTCAAACATTGTCCTGGCATTATTAGTAGGGGTAAACATACGTCAAACATTGTCCTGCCATTATTAGCAGGGGTAAACATACGTCAAACATTGTCCTGGCATTATTAGCAGGGGTAAACATACGTCAAACATTGACCTGACATTATTAGCAGGGGTAAACATACGTCAAACATTGTCCTGGCATTATTAGTAGGGGTAAACATACGTCAAACATACGTCAAACATTGTCCTGACATTATTAGCAGGGGTAAACATACGTCAAACATTGTCCTGGCATTATTAGTAGGGGTAAACATACGTCAAACATTGTCCTGACATTATTAGCAGGGGTAAACATACGTCAAACATTGTCCTGACATTATTAGCAGGGGTAAACATACGTCAAACATTGTCCTGGCATTATTAGCAGGGGTAAACATACGTCAAACAGTGTCCTGACATTATTAGCAGGGGTAAACATACGTCAAACATTGTCCTAGCATTGTTAGCAGGGGTAAACATACGTCAAACATTGTCCTGACATTATTAGCAGGGGTAAACATACGTCAAACATTGACCTGACATTATTAGCAGGGGTAAACATACGTCAAACATTGTCCTGACATTATTAGCAGGGGTAAACATACGTCAAACATTGTCCTGACATTATTACTTTTATAGATGTGAAATTCACTCTCGTTAAAAGCAATATCATATTTACCAATAAACAGGCTTACCTAGGGTGCTCTCGTTGTCGTAATCAGAAACTCCGGGAACAAATTTGCCGCCCGCCTTATTTATTTCTCTGTTTAACACTCCGTTTGCTATAAGTGCTTCCTGAAAGAAAGAAATAAGTTTATATAACTATATTATAATTATACAGAACAATTTGTTTGACTTATCCTAGTGCAATATCATAGCCCGGATTTTAGAAAAACCCGCCTTATTAATTATTATGTAGTATCATATTCTGACAGTATTTCTTTGAAAATAAGTTTTACATTATTGATTACCTTGGGGTGAAAGTATTTGTAATAGCTGGTTCTGACAACACTGTCACTGTTAACCATTATCCCGTAATCTTCCAGCAGGAAGTTTATGTTAGTGTCGTATTTGCCCTCTCCTCCGTCCCCCAATGATAATAGCAACTGATGGAGGAGATAAAGCTGTTACAGTTATATATAACATATGGATACATCATTCTATAATATACTAGTAGTACAGTAATAGCACTAATACTAAGTTAATTATTAATAATGACAAGTTATTAAATGTACTAGTAGTACAGTAATAGTACTAATACTAAGTTAATTATTAATAATGACAATAATGTTATTTAATGTTCAAGTTGTGACTCACCGATCCACCGTTCCTTACAAATCCGTTAACAGCGTCGAACTCTGTTTTAGTGAACTTCTCCCTAGGGCCAATAAAGATGAGGAGCTGGGCTGATGACAATGAGTTCTCAGTCAGGTCATCTTTAAGAGGCTGAACTTTCCAGGAGGAGCGCAGACGGCGAGACATGCTCTTGAGACCTGAGACAAGCTGTGAGTAATGGTCTCATTATAAAATACATTATATACTGAGACAAGCTGTGAGTAATGGTCTCATTATATACTGAGACAAGCTGTGAGTAATGGTCTCATTATATACTGAGACAAGCTGTGAGTAATGGTCTCATTATAAAATACATTATATACTGAGACAAGCTGTGAGTAATGGTCTCATTATATACTGAGACAAGCTGTGAGTAATGGTCTCATTATATACTGAGACAAGCTGTGAGTAATGGTCTCATTATAAAATACATTATATACTGAGACAAGCTGTGAGTAATGGTCTCATTATAAAATACATTATATACTGAGACAAGCTGTGAGTAATGGTCTCATTATAAAATACATTATATACTGAGACAAGCTGTGAATAATGGTCTCATTATAAAATACATTATATACTGAGACAAGCTGTGAGTAATGGTCTCATTATATACTGAGACAAGCTGTGAGTAATGGTCTCATTATAAAATACATTATATACTGAGACAAGCTGTGAGTAATGGTCTCATTATAAAATACATTATATACTGAGACAAGCTGTGAGTAATGGTCTCATTATAAAATACATTATATACTGAGACAAGCTGTGAGTAATGGTCTCATTATAAAATACATTATATACTGAGACAAGCTGTGAGTAATGGTCTCATTATAAAATACATTATATACTGAGACAAGCTGTGAGTAATGGTCTCATTATAAAATACATTATATACTGAGACAAGCTGTGAGTAATGGTCTCATTATAAAATACATTATATACTGAGACAAGTTGTGAGTAATGGTTTCATTATAAAATACATTATATACTGAGACAAGCTGTGAGTAATGGTCTCATTATAAAATACATTATATACTGAGACAAGCTGTGAGTAATGGTCTCATTATAAAATACATTATATACTGAGACAAGCTGTGAGTAATGGTCTCATTATAAAATACATTATATACTGAGACAAGCTGTGAGTAATGGTCTCATTATATACTGAGACAAGCTGTGAGTAATGGTCTCATTATATACTGAGACAAGCTGTGAGTAATGGTCTCATTATAAAATACATTATATACTGAGACAAGCTGTGAGTAATGGTCTCATTATATACTGAGACAAGCTGTGAGTAATGGTCTCATTATATACTGAGACAAGCTGTGAGTAATGGTCTCATTATAAAATACATTATATACTGAGACAAGCTGTGAGTAATGGTCTCATTATAAAATACATTATATACTGAGACAAGCTGTGAGTAATGGTATCATTATAAAATACATTATATACTGAGACAAGCTGTGAGTAATGGTCTCATTATAAAATACATTATATACTGAGACAAGCTGTGAGTAATGGTCTCATTATATACTGAGACAAGCTGTGAGTAATGGTCTCATTATAAAATACATTATATACTGAGACAAGCTGTGAGTAATGGTCTCATTATAAAATACATTATATACTGAGACAAGCTGTGAGTAATGGTCTCATTATAAAATACATTATATACTGAGACAAGCTGTGAGTAATGGTCTCATTATATACTGAGACAAGCTGTGAGTAATGGTATCATTATAAAATACATTATATACTGAGACAAGCTGTGAGTAATGGTCTCATTATAAAATACATTATATACTGAGACAAGCTGTGAGTAATGGTCTCATTATAAAATACATTATATATACTGAGACAAGCTGTGAGTAATGGTCTCATTATAAAATACATTATATACTGAGACAAGCTGTGAGTAATGGTCTCATTATAAAATACATTATATACTGAGACAAGCTGTGAGTAATGGTCTCATTATAAAATACATTATATACTGAGATAAGCTGTGAGTAATGGTCTCATTATAAAATACATTATATACTGAGACAGGTCTGTGAGTAATGGTCTCATTATAAAATACATTATATACTGAGACAGGCTGTGAGTAATGGTCTCATTATAAAATACATTATATACTGAGACAAGCTGTGAGTAATGGTCTCATTATATACTGAGACAAGCTGTGAGTAATGGTCTCATTATATACTGAGACAAGCTGTGAGTAATGGTCTCATTATAAAATACATTATATACTGAGACAAGCTGTGAGTAATGGTCTCATTATAAAATACATTATATACTGAGACAAGCTGTGAGTAATGGTCTCATTATAAAATACATTATATACTGAGACAAGCTGTGAGTAATGGTCTCATTATAAAATACATTATATACTGAGACAAGCTGTGGGTAATGGTCTCATTATAAAATACATTATATACTGAGACAAGCTGTGAGTAATGGTCTCATTATAAAATACATTATATACTGAGACAAGCTGTGAGTAATGGTCTCATTATAAAATACATTATATACTGAGACAAGCTGTGAGTAATGGTCTCATTATAAAATACATTATATACTGAGACAAGTTGTGAGTAATGGTTTCATTATAAAATACATTATATACTGAGACAAGCTGTGAGTAATGGTCTCATTATAAAATACATTATATACTGAGACAAGCTGTGAGTAATGGTCTCATTATAAAATACATTATATACTGAGACAAGCTGTGAGTAATGGTCTCATTATAAAATACATTATATACTGAGACAAGCTGTGAGTAATGGTCTCATTATAAAATACATTATATACTGAGACAAGCTGTGAGTAATGGTCTCATTATATACTGAGACAAGCTGTGAGTAATGGTCTCATTATAAAATACATTATATACTGAGACAATCTGTGAGTAATGGTCTCATTATAAAATACATTATATACTGAGACAAGCTGTGAGTAATGGTCTCATTATAAAATACATTATATACTGAGACAAGCTGTGAGTAATGGTCTCATTATAAAATACATTATATACTGAGACAAGCTGTGAGTAATGGTCTCATTATAAAATACATTATATACTGAGACAAGCTGTGAGTAATGGTCTCATTATAAAATACATTATATACTGAGACAAGCTGTGAGTAATGGTCTCATTATAAAATACATTATATACTGAGACAAGCTGTGAGTAATGGTCTCATTATAAAATACATTATATACTGAGACAAGCTGTGAGTAATGGTCTCATTATAAAATACATTATATACTGAGACAAGCTGTGAGTAATTGTCTCATTATAAAATACATTATATACTGAGACAAGCTGTGAGTAATGGTCTCATTATAAAATACATTATATACTGAGACAAGCTGTGAGTAATGGTCTCATTATAAAATACATTATATACTGAGACAAGCTGTGAGTAATGGTCTCATTATGAAATACATTATATACTGAGACAAGCTGTAAGTAATGGTCTCATTATAAAATACATTATATACTGAGACAAGCTGTGAGTAATGGTCTCATTATAAAATACATTATATACTGAGACAAGCTGTGAGTAATGGTCTCATTATAAAATACATTATATACTGAGACAAGCTGTGAGTAATGGTCTCATTATGAAATACATTATATACTGAGACAAGCTGTGAGTAATGGTCTCATTATGAAATACATTATATACTGAGACAAGCTGTGAGTAATGGTCTCATTATAAAATACATTATATACTGAGACAAGCTGTGAGTAATGGTCTCATTATAAAATACATTATATACTGAGACAAGCTGTGAGTAATGGTCTCATTATAAAATACATTATATACTGAGACAAGCTGTGAGTAATGTTCTCATTATAAAATACATTATATACTGAGACAAGCTGTGAGTAATGGTCTCATTATAAAATACATTATATACTGAGACAAGCTGTGAGTAATGGTCTCATTATAAAATACATTATATACTGAGACAAGCTGTGAGTAATGGTCTCATTATAAAATACATTATATACTGAGACAAGCTGTGAGTAATGGTCTCATTATAAAATACATTATATACTGAGACAAGCTGTGAGTAATGGTCTCATTATGAAATACATTATATACTGAGACAAGCTGTGAGTAATGGTCTCATTATAAAATACATTATATACTGAGACAAGCTGTGAGTAATGGTCTCATTATAAAATACATTATATACTGAGACAAGCTGTGAGTAATGGTCTCATTATAAAATACATTATATACTGAGACAAGCTGTGAGTAATGGTCTCATTATAAAATACATTATATACTGAGACAAGCTGTGAGTAATGGTCTCATTATAAAATACATTATATACTGAGACAAGCTGTGAGTAATGGTCTCATTATAAAATACATTATATACTGAGACAAGCTGTGAGTAATGGTCTCATTATAAAATACATTATATACTGAGACAAGCTGTGAGTAATGGTCTCATTATAAAATACATTATATACTGAGACAAGCTGTGAGTAATGGTCTCATTATAAAATACATTATATACTGAGACAAGCTGTGAGTAATGGTCTCATTATAAAATACATTATATACTGAGACAAGCTGTGAGTAATGGTCTCATTATAAAATACATTATATACTGAGACAAGCTGTGAGTAATGGTCTCATTATATACTGAGACAAGCTGTGAGTAATGGTATCATTATAAAATACATTATATACTGAGACAAGCTGTGAGTAATGGTCTCATTATAAAATACATTATATACTGAGACAAGCTGTGAGTAATGGTCTCATTATAAAATACATTATATATACTGAGACAAGCTGTGAGTAATGGTCTCATTATAAAATACATTATATACTGAGACAAGCTGTGAGTAATGGTCTCATTATAAAATACATTATATACTGAGACAAGCTGTGAGTAATGGTCTCATTATAAAATACATTATATACTGAGATAAGCTGTGAGTAATGGTCTCATTATAAAATACATTATATACTGAGACAGGTCTGTGAGTAATGGTCTCATTATAAAATACATTATATACTGAGACAGGCTGTGAGTAATGGTCTCATTATAAAATACATTATATACTGAGACAAGCTGTGAGTAATGGTCTCATTATATACTGAGACAAGCTGTGA